ACCTATAATTCACAAGTTGAATGCTTTATAGGAGAATGAGTGTTATTAGAAGCAAAGATCTCATATCAATTGGCTTACAGAAAGGGACTTTAACACCTCATTTTTCGATACGCTAATCGATGACATCACCAACCAAGTCTTAACTTGCCTAATCTCTAAGGAGGAGGTTCATGAGGATGTCTTTCAAATGGACAGTATGAAAGCCCCGGGACCCGACGGCTTTGAGAGTGTTTTTTACCAGTCATATTTGAACACTTTGTGTGATGATGTGCATGGTACAACTGTTGACTTCTTTAATGGTGTCTTATCCCCTCAAACTCTCAATCTCACCCATATTGTCCAGCATATTAAAGCCTCATCTCACCATAATTATTTCTAATGGCCGTATGAAAGCACCAAGCCCCGACGACTTCGAGCGTGTTTTCTAACAGTCATATTTGGACACTTTGTGCATGGTACAACTGTTGACTTCTTTAATGGTGTCTTATCCCCTCATACTCTCAATCTCACCTATATTATCCTATTGTCTAGCATATTAAAGCCTCATCTCTTCAAAATTATTTCCCATAGCCAGAACGCCTTTATTCCTGAAAGGCAAATTAATTACAATATTGTTAGAGCCCATTAGACGTTCCACTACCTTGAGCTTTTGAAATCTAAAAAAAAATTGAAATATGTGTAAAGTTGGACATGAACAAAGGATATGATAGGGTTAAGTGAGACTTTTTGAAAGCTGTGATACTAAAGATGGGGTTTTGTCGGTACTTGGGTCAGCTTAATCATGAATTGTGTTAGGAGTGGAATTCGATGTGTTCATCGATGGCCAGCCCCATTGCAAATTCAAGCCTACGAGGGGCCTTACGCAAGGTGACCTCGTGTAATCGGTCTTATTTTATTATTATTGTAATTGAGGTTCACTCTATGCTCATTCACAACAATACGATGCTCAACAAACTTTTTACTCGATATTAAGTTGGGATCAAGCGGCCCGGTTCTCACATATCTTATGTTCGCAAAACTGCCGCAACATGGTTCTATTACTTGATCCATTTAGCCACGCCTCAGGTTAACAAGTCAATTTGGGTTTTGTTTTTGTTTTTAACCGTAACTCATTCGAGGATCTGTACCGTAATATTTGTGAGACTTTAGGTATGTCAGAAGTCAGAAATCTTGGAAATTACCTCAGCCTTCCCACAATATGAGAGAGAGCAAAGAAGGAGGCTCTTGTTTAAATAAAAGAGAGATTGGCAAAGGTGCATGGGTGGAAACAACAATTGTTATCTCGGGAAGGTCACATATGAGTAGCAAGAAATGCCGCAACCTTTTCTATGAAGGATCAAGTTAATTGGTGACTGACTCTGCAAAAACATGAGAAACTCTTACCATCTAACATATGTTTAAGAATAATGCTACTCTTACCACATTTATATACCACATTCTCATACCACCTTATGTGGCAGATGAGGTGGACAACACATCAATTAAAATTAATTTAAAGTTTTCTTATCTTTTATGATTTATTGACACTTTTTAATTAATGTGATTGTCCACTTCATTTACCACATAAGGTGGTATGAAAATGTGGGATATAAATGTGGTAAGTGTAGCATTCTCCACACCTAAAATAGAGAACCCAATCATAAATGAAGCAGCAATTTGTACGGCTCGCATGCTTCCATGCCAAATCAATCATAATAGCCTTACATTTTCACTAAAAAAAACATAATATTGTCATTATATATGTAAATATATATTCACATTGACAGCCATGATAAAAACAAACAAAATTAGAGTGAGCTACATGGCCTACACCTAAATAAGATTACAACCAACTAGACAACAAGTGGGCACTTGTAATAAAGATTTGAGATATCAAGACTATAAAAGTTAAATGAATACACTAACGTTGTAGAGCTAGTCCCTGTCCAACAACTCCATCTAGTAAGGTGCTTATGTCCTGGAAGCATTAGAGTATTTTCTTTGCAAGGGGTGTAAATTGGAGGTGTAAAGCCACATGTACATCTAATTTACACCTCCAAAATATGTAAATGTGGTTTTTCATCCAATGAAATAGATGTTAAATTTACGTATCTTCTATAAAGTTGATTTTGTGGATGTAAAGTTGATTTTGTGAATGAAATGGACCTTGCACTGCTAGCTTTGTGCAACGAGTAACCTAGCATATGCGGGTTTAGGAGTGTGACTTTCTCTTTTTCCTCATTTTCTACCCCACTAGCTTTCATATCTCATCATTATCTATTGTGGAGTTTGCTACTTTGGGTTGTAAAAATTGATGTAAATGTGGATCAATTTTCCCATCTTCAGCCATTTGTGTGTGTGTATATATATATATATATATATATATATCCATACACACCTCTGGGTTGGAGTGTTTTTCGATGTCTGGGGATGTAAAAATAGGATATACTTTATTTTACACCCCAACAATGTAGATGCTCTAACAAAGTAAGTTAGTATTTTAGCAACTTCCACATGAAGCCTTTGCTTGTTACAATAAAAAATTTGAAATGTAATACAATGATTACTTGGAAAAATCCGAAACTAGTAATTAATAGAGCGAGAAAACATAGTGTAAGTTTCAAAAGTTGAGTTAAATACAAATATAAAATGCAACAGATTTCCCTATTGAAACACTTCAATTTCAAAACATAACATCTTGTTGATTCTGCTCTAACAAAATCCTTACACTTTTTCAAATATTGAGTCCCTTAACTGCACTATTATGTTTCTAGCCAATATATTTGACAGTGAAGCTGCAAATCCATTGAAAAAGAATCTAGGTTTTTGTTTGCATCTTTAAAAAACATAAGAAGTAAAGCCTCTCACTTGTAATTTTATTTTATTTCTAGACAAACTTTGTAAGGCTAATCTATCGAAAATAAAATTTCTATTATGATGGAACACATACAAGTATTTGATGCCTACCTGACATATACGTTCCCATAAATTGCAGGTCAAAATGACAAGGAGAAAACTAAATCAATGCAACTGAAATATTACCCTTAAAAAAGGATATCATATCTTAAATTACATTAGTATAAGATTATCTTACCTCAACCATGGAAGCAAAAACAACCACCAATATCGCAATTGCATCTCTAACATCAAGAGTAGGAGAACCCCAGTTAAACATATTTGGGATCTGTTTGGACGCGGTCACCAAATTCTAACCAAGTCAAGGAGACAAAGTTCCAAGAGGCCTAGCCAAGTAAGAAAATGCAACAAACAAATGGCAATAAATAAATAAATCCAACTAGTTGGGATAAAGGTTCAGCCAAGTGAAAAATCAAATTGGAACTTTTACTAGTTTATTTCAACAAGTGGCCAGATCTACTTGCAAAATGCTGTTGATAAGGTTCGTGGCTGGTTTGGAATTGGCTGGAGAAGAAGATGGCTGGAGTCTTCTGTTGAGTGGTTTGAAATTTAGTTGGCTGGAAGTGTATTAAAGAAGCCAACGTTGGTACTTGGGTTGGAATTGAATGGTTGGCTAAATATGTATACTGATGTTGGTGGTGATTGGTCAATGACCATTCCCAAAACAAATAAAATATTTTAATATGTATGTTGGTCAATGACCTTGCCCAAATGAAGTGTTCTAATGTAATGGCCAAAGAGTTGGCTGGAGAAGTGTGGCTGAGAAGATAGCAGTTGGAGGGGTGCGTGTTTGACAAGCTAAAGTGAGTTGGATTGGTCATAATGTTGTTTTGAATTCATGAAGATAAGGCATGTTAAATAGCATTCTGGCATAAAGAATTTGTGATATTTAAATATTAAATATGGAATGACAAGAAGTCACGTCACCTTAGCTGAGCTTCTTCAAAAGGCCAAATGGCCTATAGACCTATATCCAAAAGGTCTTATGAAAGTCGGATGACCATTTAATGGCCTTATACCATCTATATAATAATATATGGATATAATATTTATATATATATATTTGTTTATATATATATATATATATATGGTGCAGATGGACTCATTGAAATTCCAAGTCACCCAACATTGATGGATTATGTTCAATCAAAATTAGACATTCTGGCAGCCACATTGTCTAACCAGATGTTAGGCCTAATAAACTACATCAGACAAAGAGTATAGAGATATGAAGATTTGAAGGGTGAATGGTTTTGTTATTGTGACATTAAGATTTGATCACTACTACAATATCGTTAAACCACGACATAGAATAGACGACGGTGCACTTTAAAACCCTCGTCGTATTTTAAAAGATGATGTTTTTACAAAACCGTCGTGGTATATGATCTAATACACCACTAAAAGCAAGTTGATTTTAAAAATACGACGTTCTCAATTAACGAACATCGTCTTTTGAAAACACGCTAAACAAAAAGGGCACTTAAGTTTATTCGCCCTCGACCTAAAAATTTCAAATTTCCACACGGCTTGTCTGTCTCCCTCCTTTTGAAACCTTCCTCAACTCTCTGAATCTCCCTCAAATCTTCCCCTCTCATCGCATCTTCTTAGTCTCTTAAATAAATCTGTAACTGTTCGCTGTCGTCGTCCCCAAGCTCGTCGCCATAGGAGGGGTCACCGTTTGTGATTTAAAGTTTGCTGCCACTTTAGGCCTTTAGCTATCGTCGTCACCGAGCTCGCCGCCATAGGAGGTCAACTTCTTCAAGGTTAGCCTCCTCACCGTATCCCTCTCTTTCTCTCATTTTCTTTGATTCCCAAAACAAAGCACAAATTTCATCATCTTCCTCTTTTCTAGGGTTTATTTGGGCAAGAATCTGTTTCTAGGGTTATGTTTTACTGGTTTAGCTTTCTCAGCCCTTTACTGTTTCTAGGGTTATGTTCAATTATTATATGGATTTTTGTTTTGTAGGTGTGGATTTCAGTGTACATCTTCGTGTTTTGTTGTCTTGAGCTTTATTATTATTATTTTCACTGAATCTGACTGTGGCTGTAGTGTTTTTGTTTGATTTGGCTATTATATTGTGAATTTACTCAAATTTGGAAGCATGTTCATGTTAACTCGCGAGCTACCTCCTAGAAATGTAATGTAAGAGAGAGGAGGAAACAGGAGAATAGAATATAAGAGAGAACAACCTCTCCCTCCTCTGTTTTTTGTTTCTTAGTTTCCCTTCAATATTTATTTTGTGCTTGTTCATTTGAGTGCTTAGTTTAAATCAATATTCCAACAAGCAGTTGTTTAGGTTTCATGAATTTTGGTCTTCTAATTTCTTTGTGTTTGTGTTTGGGCTTGAACATTTATGTTAATCCCTTCAAGAGATGTTTGTTGTTTGGCTATTGGTAGAGATCTACCCTTCTATGCCTTTTTTACTTGCAAGGTGAGGTTTCATTTGCAAATTCTGTACAATCTTCTTTGAAAACTGCACTTGCAGGCTCTCTCTCTCTCTCTCTCTCTCTCTCTCTGTGTGTGTATTATTAACCATACATATACATACATACAAACACACACACACACACACACACACACACACACCACACACACACACACACATATAAGCTAGCTAGCTGGCTTATAAAGAAATAAAAAAATAAAGAAAAATACAACTAGACAAATAGTTAGCTTTGAACATGTCAACTTTTGAATTCCTTTTCTTGTTTTAGCACTCATAAGTTTGTTCTATAATTAGCATCATGAATTAACTTACTTTTTCTCTAATACCAATCATAATCCTCTGTTCACTAAACTGCAGTTCCTAAAAGAGAAGAACTTCAAGCAGACAATTCTTTATTATAAATGAGAAGAACTTCAAGCATGCAATTGATAAAAATTGAATCTTTATTATAAATGTCACAGCGGCTGATGTTTTCCTGTGGAGGGACAAGAAGGGATCGGTAAGTGTTCTTGTTGCGATAACGATCATATGGGTTTTCTTTGAATTGCTTGGATACCACCTGCTGACTCTGCTCTCCCACTGTTTGATTCTTGGCCTTGCTATGTTGTTCTTATGGTCCAACGCTTCAACCTTCATTAACAAGTAAGCATGCCTTTGAATTTTTTATTTATTTCTTTGTGATAGTCTCAGTTTTATTTGTTTGGAATGGTTCACTTAGCGCCACTTATTATATGTAGGTCTCCACCACGCATTCCACAAGTTAAAATTCCAGAGAAGCCAGTTCTACAGATTGCGTCTGCAATTACAATTGAGATTAACCGGGCTTTTGTTATCCTGCAAGAGATTGCCTCAGGGAAGGATCTGAAGCAATTCCTCTTTGTATGTTTATTGCTCTATCTTTTGCTTTCTCTGCCTTCTTTAATTGATGGTGTTCATGTTACATAAATTTTACCTGCTGCTATTCATGATGATTATTTAATAGTTTCTTTGAAATTTGATTTGATTAGAAATCCATCGCAGTATATATGAATTGCAATCTATATTTACGCTATTGGTACTTGCTACCATTCACGCTGGTTCAGCATGATATTAATAGACTGTTAAAAACGTTATGCAGATATATGCATAAATGATTGGCAATGTCATGATAGATGCCCGGTCAATTGGAAAATATTATCATTGTAAGTATATAGAATTTACATCTAGTTGATAAAAAATTATACATATTTATGTTTGGTATGTTAAGGTGAGATACCCGTCTTGTAGCTGCTATTTCAAATACGCAGTCTTATAACTGTTATTTTAAATACGCTGTCTTATAGTTGGCATGCAGTTTAAGGGCAACATTTCCTCTCCTCTCTCTCTAGCTTAGATATTTTCAAGTTCATGTATTCAATATAAATATTTAACTGAGTGTGTATGTCTGCAGTTGTACAGCTTATGGGGCGTGCAGCCTCACACATTACATTGGAGTGTGCTCTGCAAACCCAACCAAACATTACAATTATTGGAGAAGAGGTATTGCTTTCAAAGAGCCACTTCAATTATTCTTTGTACATGTTGTATTATTGCTGATCATCCTCAATCGTTAAAGTTATATAAAAGAACCACATAATGCAAATATCCAAAGAAGAGGAATGTTTTGAAATACCATTTGCTGTATATATCTAACTAATATTTTCTTATAGGTTGCTGCGAAGAAGCAGACTCTAAAAAATGTCACCGACTACATTGTGAATATAATCTTGAAGTGTGCTGACCTTGGTTATTGTATTAGGTATAGGAATTTTGGTGTATTATTGTAATTAGGCTTGTAGCTTGCAGCTAGTGGCTCTAGACTAGAGTACTTTCATGTTTTAGATTTTATTTTGTTCTATTATACTCTTGATATTCTATTTATGAAAGAAACAATTTTTTAGTATATATATGTATTCCGTGGGTAATAACATATTTGAGTATATATTTCTGATACCATAGGAAACAAGAAAAAAAAACTAAAATGTAAAATTATGTCAATTTTATAGTTAATAAATGTCATCTTAGAGTTAATAGACGACGGTTTTTCAAGAAACTGTCGTCTATTACATGTAATAGACGACAGTTTTTCTGAAATAACCATCGTCTATTAATGTAAAGACGAAGGTTATTTACCGTCGTAGTTTGACATTCAAAAAGATGACTGTCGATTTAATGACGGTTTGAAAAAGAAAAAGACGACGGTGTTTTCCCGTCATCTATTTCAATTTTTGTAGTAGTGGATCAAGGTGGAAAAGGAAATAAGAAGCCTAGAGTTCCTTTCGGTTGGGAGAGATATGGAGAATATAGAAAGCGAATTCCCAAAAAGGATATCAAGGATGAAGGTAGAAAACATGCAGGTTTAAAAAAGTGTGGATGATCTTTTCAATTAAAGGTTAAGAAGCTAGAAATAGATGATTATTAGATGTTGATAATAGTTACTGTAGTGCATAATCATATAGCAGCAATACATTTGGAGCGTCATTTATTTGATAGTAAATTATTATTGTCTGAGGAGACATTATTGTTACTTGATATGTCAAAAAGTTTGGTGCGATCAAAGGAAATTTTGACTATGTTAAAACGAAGATATAAGCATAATGCATCCACACTACATATAATGCATGTCAATATTGGAAGATCTCAAATGCAACAATGGATGAATAAGTTATTTGAGCATAATTACATTACGTGGCATAGGAGTTTCCCAAAGAAAAATATTATTTTGGACTTGTTTTTGATTCATCATACTTGTTTGGACTTGTTAAGTTCATTTCCACATATTTTAATAATTGATTGTACCTATAAGACCAATAGGTACCGCATGCCATTGTTAGAAATTGTTGGAGTTATATCAACCAACATGACATGTTGTGTTGGTTTTATATATCTTTATTCAGAACAAGAAGATAATTATGTATGGTCCTTAGGCCATCTCCAACCATGTTGGGGCTAAACTCAAATTTTCACTCCCCAAAATACAACTATTCATGTATTTTCAGGACTCAAAAATGTTTTTCCTCCAACCTTGCAGACTCATAATTTGAGTCCACAACTTTATTAAATTGTTTAAGAATGATTAACTCCTAAATTTTTTTTCTCGTTAATTTTTCTTGACATTATTTTTGTTTCAACATTCGTGATTTAATTTTCTAAACATTTTAACTTAAAAAAATAAAATTCCAAAACATAATAGAATTTCACTTAAAAATAAAAACAAGTACAACACCATACGTATGCTGAGAATAATTTGAACCCTTCATTGAAGCCATTGCCATAATTGTCTTCCATTTTTACTTTTACTTTTATTTTATTGGATTCTTTTATCCTTATTCAATAATGTTCTGAACTTTTGCCCACCTCCACTTGTGTTCAATTATTTTATGAACCCTTTCTCATCCCCTATTGTATTGTTTCAATCATGTTCTGAACCATTGCTCAACTTTGTCCATCTCACTTTATTGGATTTCCTTATCTTTCCCTATCTTTTCCTATCTTCATTCAATTATTTTCTGAACCATTTCCCATCTTGTCTTGTTTCAATCATATTCTGAACCATTTCTCATCTTTGTTCATCTCACTTTACTGGATTCCCTTATCTTTCCCTATCTTCATTTAATTATTTTCAAAATGTAGGTCATCTCATTCTCTTGTCTATTTAAGAAGTGTTATTTTACCAAATTGACCACACAATCTCCTTCAATCTCATTCTCCTTCTTACAATGAATTCACGTGGGAAGACTATACAAAATTTCTTCAATGATGATTCTGATGATGATGACCTTCATCAACAGAGAGTTACAATGGTCGTTCAACACCATATGTTTTTGTTGGAGCAATATGCTCAACAATCCAAACATGGTGGTTTTGTTGTAGGCCGTGAATACAAGAATCGGAAGAGAGAAAAACAAGAGCCTTATGGAGGACTACTTCTGTGAAAGACCACTTTATCCCCCTGTGGACCTTCGCAGGGGGTTTCGCATGAGAATAGAGCTTTTTTATCGCATCTTGAATGATGTTGTTGCACATGAGCCATACTTTACCTAGAAGATAGATGCTTGTGTACGACAAAGTCTATCCCCGGAGCAAAAGCTAACGGCCGTGTTTCGAATGATCGCATATGGATGCTCGGCAAACTCCATCGATGAGTACTGTAGATTGGATGCTCGCATATCCTGCCCATGAAATAAAATAAAAATCAAGTTAATAATTGAAAAGAATTAGAATTATAAATTTATGCATTGAAAAAAAATGGGTATTCACCATATCTTCAAGATTGGAGCCACTCACATGCCTTGCATTGGCCTTTGTCAAACGTGTCTTCCATAGAGAATATTGGTGGTTGATGATCTTGAACCAAGAAGCAATAACTTGCGGTGATCGTACCCCAGCTCCGCTCCTGCCCAGATCATTTTCCAAAAACTTTTGGTACACACGCAACCAAAATAAGTCGTTTGATTGATTTGTGCCAATAGACCCATCTTTAGATATAGAAACCCACCCTTTGCACAACTTCTTGTGGTTTCCAATTCACATCTCTTTGGTGTTTTGAGGCCATTCTCAACAAGAATGAAAGTAAAATGAAAAAATATAACAAAGGGAGAAAGGAAAAAAAATGATTTTTTGGTGGATTATTTACCAAATGAATGGCTATTTATAGAGTTTGGAATAAGTTTTGGGGTTGGGTCTGTTTTAGATTAATTATAAATATTATTTTGACCGTTGGATTTAAATTTGTGCCGTTGGATATGAAATTTTACCGTTCAGATTACCTAATTTAATTATAAATATTATTTGGCCCGTTACAAATATAGCTGTTGGAAGGAAAAAAAAACAGCACAACACAACTTTTGAAAATATGGCCATTGAAATGGAATCAACATGCAAAGGGCCAACTGTGTTGCATAACATGTTGGCCAAATAGCAAATGTCATGCGGGGCCCACCAATTTTTAGTCTTCACGTGGACTTCTAAGCCAAAAAAAAAGATAGTAAAGTTTGGGCCCACATAAAATACCAGTCCAGGCAATACTTGGACTGGAATTCCTAGGGATGACAACGAGTCGGGTAAGGGCTGGTTATGACAATATCATCCTTGTCCCCGTTCTCCATCCCTGCCCTCATCCCCAAACCCATCCCTATTTAATAGGTTTCGGGGAATCCTCGTCCCCGTCCCCATTGGGGGACTATCCCTTATACTCGCCCCGAATCCCCGATTTTTTTTACATACAAAAAAATAAGTAAATTTAGGTTTTAGCCATAAAAATTTTTTCACTTTTGGAAAAAGCCAAAGCTTTTTTAAAAAAGACAAAAAAACTTCTCAACTTTCAAATCAAAGACATGCAAGTGTAAATGATTTCTTAGGAAATCCAAAAATAAATAAGGGCAAATTTGTCCATTTTGGCTTCTTTTACAAAATTTCTCTCTCCTTTGGGTTTTTCCAAAGTCTCCCTAAAAAATATTTATCATACATTTTAACATTAAGTTTCATATTAAATTATCATTCAACACATCTAAATTAACTATAAAATTCAACTCAACTATTCAAAATCACATCAATATGAAATTCCAGAGTAGATTAGGAAGAATTAGGATAGGGAGGTTAACTTAGGGTTAAACATAAATATTATATTTATTTATTTATTTATTTATTTATTTATTTATTTAAATATAAACATATATATTTTCAGGTTGGGTTCAGGGATGGGATGCCAATACCATCCTCTCCCTATACCCATCGGGGATTTTTCAAGTTCGGGGATCCCCATACCCGACACCCATTTGACCATGAAATCTCCCCTCGTTAGGGTCGGGGAGTAGATGGATTTTTGCCATCCCTAGGAATTCCACCCCAAATTTGAGATTTCCCAATTTCCACCCCCACAAAATACATGGGTTGGAGAAGATTTTTGGACTCAAAACTCATAATTAGGGTTTCCACCTCTTGGGTTGGATGTGGCCTTAAGTGTATTGTGAAGTGTGATAGAGAAAATAGATATGCCTGATGTTATTGTGACATATAAAGAATTGGCTTTGATGAAAGCCATTAACATTGTGTTTGGTAAAACTAAGTATCTATTATTTAAATGGCACATTAAAAAAAAAATTGTACTAGCCAAGTGCACAGTTGAATGTAAAAGTAAGGATTATTGTGATAGGTTTTTGGTTAAATGGAATTCAATGGTTGTGTTCCCTATTGAAGCCAACTTCATAAGGGAGACAAGAGAACTATTCACTGAGTTTAGTAAGTATCCATATTTACTTTAAAATGTGACAGATACTTATTGAACCCATAAAACGGCAGATTTGTTGTCGCATGGATAGATAAATGCATACAATTTTGGAATACAACTTCAAACAGGTAATGCCAATTAGGTTGTTTTTTTTACTTTATTTGATTTATAGGTGCAAAAGTGATATATAATCTTTGAGTTTGACTTATAAGTTCCAATTATATTTTTCATACTTTATTTGAATCATATTACTATATACAAATTGTTTTAATGCGACTATACTTTTACTTCAACAGGGCTGAAATTTCACATGAAAAATTAAAAAGACAACTTGGAACAAGCCAAGGAGCATTGCCACAACATGCAAAAATATACATGCTTTGCTTGATTTGCAACACACTGAAATTAAGGCTTCGTTCGAAAAAAGTTTGACAGTGGTGCATTCTGATTTTAGAAGTTCATATTCTGAGGAAACTCAAGGTTTTGTCTCAATTCGTGCACTATATATGGTCCTCGAGGAGACCAAGCTAACTAACCTGAATGGTGTTGACTCTGAGGCGTGTGGATATGTCTTACGACAAACTCATGGGTGGCCATGTGCCTATGAGATTGTAAAATATAAGAAAGATGGTAAATCATATTCCACTTGAGTGGATTAATCCTCATTGGAGGAACCCCTGACATGTCCACTTAAAAGAAAAACTTCGGAGTGTTCCTATAATGCAAAGATGGAGTTATGTCATAAGCGTTGGATGAAATCTAATGTAACTTCACAAATTAATGATTCTTAAAAGGAAACTTATGGAGTTAGTAGCACCACAAACTACGTGACTTGTGGAACCATTTGTGAATACCAAGACTCAAGGTAGGCCAAATAAGACGATGGATAAATCTACTCATAGATGATTCTTAAAAGGAAACTTAAAGTGTTCTCAAGAAGCTGAACTTGCAAACCAACTTGTAGGTGGAGAACTTGAAACTGACTTTAGGCTTAATCAAATCTGTACATTACAATGAGTTGGAGCTACTCATTGGAGTTCTCATTTTGGTTCTATTAGGCGATTAATTGTCTTCTTTAAGCAATGTTGATATAGTTCCACAAAACATATGAATGAATGGACTCAACAACAAAATACATGGGGAAGCTAAGAATGCTTATAAAGCTTTGATGTATTTTGAATTTGTGTTTAACTTGCATTTGATGGATGAGGTTATGGGAATCACTAATGTTCTTTATAAACAATTCCAACTTCAATCTCATCGTAAATGCTATGAACTTGGTTTTAAGCACAAAGTCTCTTTTTTCAATGTTGAGGGAAAATGGTTGGGAAGCTTTCATTGGGGGTATGGTATCATTTTGTGAAAAGAAATGGATTGATATTCCAGACTTGAGAGTTCCTCATATAAAGGGTACATGTTGTTTTTGCCAACAACAAAATTTTATTACGGTTGAGCATTCATATTGATATATTTAATGTTGTAATAGATTTTCAGTTGATAGAGTTAGCAAACATATTTGGAAATAGCGCAATTGAACTGTTTACTCTTAGCTCAACATTGGATCCTTGTGATGCATTCAAATCATTTCATATTGAAGACTTTACGAGAAAAACAATCTTTCCTCAAGCGCCACATCTCTCTCTCTCTTTAACCTTAGCAGTAAAACAAAACCCCCCACCCCTTCAGCACCGTATCTTTTGGGGGGGAGGGGGAGGAAGGGGAGAGTTGGTCTACCCCTCCTCCCCTCCCCTCATTTTCCTCGTTCTCCTCCTTTTTCCAATCTAGTGGGATGAAGACTATGGGCATGATTTCCCCTATCACCACCATCTTTACCCTAGTCCTGCTCCATACCTACCTAAAATCCATGGCTCATTTGGATTCCTTTAGCTCCCCTTTGATCTGGCATCATCCTTGGTTTGTAGCTACAAATTTGAAATGCGTTTTGGCGCGTATTTATTGGAGGGTGTGTAGAGCTCTAGCTCAGGTGCTTGCACCACCTCCTTTCAGGTTCTTGGTTCTTTTCCTCCTGATTGTGGAATGCGTTTTCTCATTCTTTTTTTGTTGATTGCTGTCTTTTGGATGTATTAGTTGGGTCATTTCTGGATCTGTTAGTGAATCTCAGGTGGGCTATGTTTTGAGGAATGTTTGGCTTGGTTTGCTGACCTACGGGTGTTTGGTTCTTCATGGTGGTGATTGGTGGTTTGTCCATCTACAGTTGTGGAGTTTCTCTTTGCTGGTGGCGGCGGCTTGGAGTTTCTCTTTGGTTTTGGAGGCTAGGTTTCCTGTGTTTTATTTTATGTATTTTATATTTAATGTGGGCTTTATGCTGAATGTGGGCATAATGCCTCTTTGTGGGCTATATGTCTTTATGTGGGCTAAATGTCTTTTTGTTGGCTTTTGACATTTTAGTTTTTGGCTTGAGAACATGATCTTCATGCTATACTATACTAGTTTTAGCTAGATTTGTTCATGTTTGTTTTCTGTTAGTTTTATGGTCAGTGCTTTTGCTCGGCTTTGTTTGTACTGTTTTCTACCCCTTTGAGGGTTTGCAATGAATTGCAACTTACAAAAAAAAAAAAAAAAAAAAATTCTTTTTCATCATATATAAAATGAAAAAAAAAAATATGTGGAGGGGGGGGTTTCTAGCAAGAAAGAAATTTCGATTCGTTCTTTTAAGAGAAGAGCTTCTACATTATGAGTTTGAGCTCTCTCATCTTTTACAATTTCATAATATGTATCTTTCTCAATTATTCCAAGAACTTGTTTTAAACAAGAAATACATTTTATTTGATTGAGAGACTAATTCGTTTGACTCTTTCAGTTTCTATAGCAACGATAGAGCGAGCTTTTTCATCTATGAACCTCATTAAAACCTGTCTTCGAAACAAGATGGAGGATGAGTTTCTTGGAGATATTCTCTACATAGAAAGAGAACTTGTTGATAATATATATATATTTATTCGATAATCGAGTAGTTTAATGCTGTGAAGACTCGTAGGGTACCACTTAAGTAGTTTAAGATTGTATTTGCATTGCATGTTTATTTAATGTATTGTTGTTTTTGTATCTAAGTGTTTAATTATGTGTAAGTATGCATTTTGATGGGTAAGGTTCATTGCGTCCCCTCTAACCATGTGTATATTCTCTTGCTTATCAATAAAATTCACTTGTACGGTCGAGTTTTGATTTATATATAATTAAAGTTTTTTTATTTTTTATAATATAGTTTAAAATATAGAAGTAAATAATAGAAGTGCTTAAATCAAGAACGGTTGAGCTCAAATCAACTTGATATATATAAGGACAGTCCCGTTCTCCTGGACCCCTGTAGTCCAAGGAAACTGTGGTCACCCACCATTAGATCTAATCTAATGATTGAGAAAAAACAAGTTTAAAAATCAACATGTTATCATTTTATATTAATTTTATTTAACAAAAACTAAAATTAAAAAAGTAAAAGAAAGCAAAACACGCTTTTTGGAGAAAACGAAGAACATGTTCTTGCATCCATCGACATTCACAGCCACCAATTCCGATTGGAATTACAACAAACTTGGGGAAGTGAGCTCTATGGCCTCAATAGGATTCGAAAACTGACCCATTTGAATGGTGGTGATGAAGGACCTGACCCATGAAAGAATCTGGTCATTGGTGGCAATCTGGTCGAGATGGAGGTTTATTTTTATAGAGATCTTGTTTTTAAAGATTTTATTTAGAATTTTCTAAAGGTGGAGATGGAGGTTGATCTTCTCCATTGTATGAAGGAGATGGTGGAAGTTGATCACGTGGTGGTGGAAAGTTCTGCCTTTTTTCAATCGGATGATGGTGGTGGTGGTTTGGTTTTTTTTTTAAAACATATTTTTAATTATCAAAATAATGTTTTGATGATACAATTATAATTTTTAAATTAGTTCTTTTTTTCTCAACCCTTAGATCTACGTAGTTGACTACAGTTTCCTTGAACTATAGGGTCCAAGAGAACGGGACTGTATATAAGGAATGTACTTCAACTCACTAATTCAGCTCATACTCTACAGAAGAAACATTTGCATGTTTCAATTCCTATAGTAAAAATATCAACCAAACTGGTGGAACAACAAAATTCATCAAAAAAGAAACTAATTTGGGGTGTTCGAGTTTGATTTTTTTTTGTGAAGGAGAAAAGACAATAGATTGTGAAGAAGAAAAGAAAGAAAAAGACAATAGAAAAAGTGGGCATTCACGTTCGGGTCTTCATCCCAGCCGTTGATTTCAATCCAACGGCGAAAAGTGTTGTCCTCAAATAATCGTTCGTACCAGAGAACATCTCCCGTATTTTTTATTTTTTGGTTTCCTCCTATTTATTTTTTTTTTTTTTTTTTTTTTTTTTTTTTTTTTTTTTTTTTTTTTTTTTTTTGGACTGAAACAAAACCCCATCATAAACCCTGAAATAACTACTCACTTCAAACTCTCGCAGCTCAAAAATGAGCCGAAGACGTTTGAAAACCCTCCTCTTGCACTCAATCTCCACCATGTCATCGTCCCCTCTTAAATCCAACCCCCTTTTCACCACAAGTCAATCACAAGCCTTCCCTTCTCCATCCAAATTCTTTCACCAAAATCTCAAACTTTGCCTGGCCAGATTCCTTTGCACTTCTTCGCCGGACAATCTTGATGGTCTGGTCGATCCTCACGACTTGTCAATGCCTGGGAGTTCTGGAGTTGAGTCTATTACGGCAGAGGAATTCGCCTCTTTGCACGATTCGGTGTTAGATACCAGTGCTGGTGATGGGTCTTCAACGCCAAAATTTGAATCAGATAAGTTTTCTAATAATGCCATTTTGATTTCAAATAAGATTAGGAATTATAATGATGCGTTTGGTGACCAAACCCAGAAGTTTCTTAGGCAGTTTAGGGATAATCTGAATGAAACTCTGGTGATGGAAGTACTGAAGCTCATTCGAAATCCTGAATTAGGTGTGAAGTTTTTCATATGGGCAGGTAGACAAATTGGGTATAGTCACACTGGTCCTGTGTATGATGCATTGTTAGAGTTATTGGAGTGTGGTAGTAATGATAGAGTACCAGAACATTTTCTCCGAGAAATTAAGGGTGATGATAGAGAGGTGCTTGGGAAGTTGCTTAACGTGTTGATACGGAAGTGTTGCCGAAATGGTTTGTGGAATGTGGCTTTGGAAGAGCTCGGGAGGCTTAAGGATTTCGGATACAAGCCAACTTGTGCAACTTACAATGTTTTGGTTCAAGTGTTTTTAAAAGCTGATAGGTTGGATACAGCACACTTGGTTCATGTGGAGATGTCGGATTTGGGGTTTAAGATGGATGAGTTTACACTTGGTTGCTTTGTTCATGCCCTTTGCAAAGCTGGGAGGTGGAAGGAAGCGCTCACATTGATTGAGAAGGAAGAGTTTGTGCCCAATACTTCTCTTTATACAAAGATGATATCTGGGTTGTGTGAAGCTTCACTTTTTGAGGAAGCCATGGATTTCTTGAACAGAATGCGGTGTGATTCTTGCATTCCTAACGTTGTAACCTATAGGATTTTGCTTTGTGGGTGTTTAAAAAAAAGACAGCTTGGTAGGTGCAAGAGGATTCTTAGTATGATGATCACAGAAGGTTGTTATCCAAGCCGTAAGATATTTAATTCTCTTGTACATGCTTATTGCAGGTTAGGAGATTACTTTTATGCTTACAAGTTGCTTAAGAAAATGGTAAAATGCGGGTGCCACCCAGGCTATGTGGTTTACAATATCTTGATTGGTGGTATATGTGGAAACGAGGAATTACCTAGCTCAGATATGTTAGATTTGGCTGAAAAAGCTTATGGTGAGATGCTTGATGCAGGGGTTGTGTTAAATAAGGTCAATGTGAGCAATTTTGCACGATGTCTTTGTGGCGCCCGAAAATATGAGAAAGCCTTTAATGTTATCCGTGAAATGATGAGCAAGGGTTTTTTGCCTGACACTAGCACGTACTCTAAAGTTATTGGCTTTTTGTGTAATGCATCCAAGGTAGAACAAGCATTTTTGTTGTTTGAAGAAATGAAAAGGAATAGTATTATTCCTGATGTCTATACCTATACTATTTTAATTGATAGTTTTTCTAAAGCTGGCCTTATTGAACAGGCTCATAGTTGGTTTAATGAAATGGTAGGAAATGGCTGTGCTCCTAACGTGGTGACTTATACTGCTCTTATACATGCATACCTTAAAGCAAAGAAGGTGTCTGATGCAAATAAACTTTTTGAGATGATGTTGACTGAAGGTTGCATTCCCAATGTTGTTACTTATACTGCTTTAATTGACGGTCATTGTAAAGCTGGTAGAATTGAAAAGGCCTGCCTGATTTATGAAAGGATGAGAGGTAATGTGGAAATCCCTGATGTTGATATGTATTTTAGAATTGACAATCAGAGTATGAAAGAACCTAATGTTTATACTTATGGAGCTTTGGTGGATGGTTTATGCAAAGCACACAAGGTCAAAGAGGCCCGTGACTTATTGGATGCTATGTCGGTAGAAGGTTGTGAACCTACCCATATTGTGTATGATGCTCTTATAGATGGGTTTTGCAAATATGGGAAGCTAGATGAAGCGCAAGAGGTGTTTACTAAGATGTCAGAGAAAGGGTACAGTCCAAATGTGTATACTTACAGCTCTTTGATTGATAGGTTGTTTAAGGATAAAAGACTAGATCTCGCTTTAAAAGTCTTGTCTAAAATGCTGGAAAACTCTTGTGCACCAAATGTTGTTATCTACACAGAGATGATTGATGGTCTTTGTAAAGTTGGGAAGACAGATGAAGCCTATAAGCTTATGCTGATGATGGAAGAAAAAGGGTGTTATCCAAATGTTGTTACTTATACTGCAATGATAGATGGATTTGGGAAAGCAGGTAAAATCGAAAAATGTCTTGAGCTCTTTAAAGAAATGAGCTCTAAAGGTTGTGCTCCAAATTTTGTCACGTACAGGGTTTTGATAAATCATTGCTGTTCAACTGGCCTTTTGGATGAAGCTCATAAGCTTTTGGATGAAATGAAACAGACATATTGGCCAAAGCATATGGTAGGCTACCATAAAGTTATTGAAGGTTACAACCGAGAGTTCATGAACTCTCTTGGGATTTTAGATGAGATGAGTGAGTGTGGTTCGGTGTCAATTATTCACATATACAGAGTTTTGATTGATAATTTTGTAAAGGCTGGAAGATTGGAATTTGCTCTTGAGCTGCATGACGAGATTTCATCATCTTCACCTTTTACATCTGTGAACAAGAATATTTATACTTCATTGATTGAAAGTCTTTTACATGCAAATAAGGTTGGTAAGGCACTGGAGCTGTTTGCAGACATGATAAGGCAAGGTGGTATTCCAGAGCTTATGACACTGTTTGACCTTATTAAAGGGCTCATTAAAATTAATAAGTGGGATGAAGCTCTTCAACTATCGGATAGCATATGCCAGATGGTTCGTCTCTCCAACTCACCTCATTTCTTTTACATAAAAATATATCTTTTTCTTTATTTATACTATGAACCATTTCATTTCATTGTTCTATTTTTTAGGAGTGAATGTTGTACACTATATGCCCTAGAAAATGAGGAAAATCTAAATTCTAACTGAAAATATTTGCATAGATAAAGTGTCAAACTATTTCTTTCCTAGAATTCTTTGAAGTTAATAGTTTTAAATATTGTTTGAAAAGTATTGAATTAAGGCGAGGGTTTTAGTATTGGGTGTGAGTACATGCACATTTAAGCAAGTGCACTTACATGTCTATTTCTCTCCGTATATGCATGTAAATTTTATGAGTGGTCATACGTTTTGCATGTATGCATGGACCCTTGAGCCATTATTTATTATCCAAGGACTGGATTAAGGAAATGCAATTAACTTAGAAGTCTTGTACAATTACTTGTACCAATTGTTTGTCTGTAAATCTTATAGTAAATGGTTGGGTGGACCTGTCTGTTAAGCGATCAACCTAGTGTCTGGTAGTTCGTCATCATTTATTGCAAAGAAAATTTTCTTTACATGTGTAAGATCATTGGTTAGTTGGAGAATTTTGCACTTGGCAGTTTTTTTTCCCCCCCTCAAGTTTGCCTTATCAGTAGCATTTGCTTACCCTGAAAAAATGTCGGTACCGATTGATGTGTTGTAGATGAAGCCATCATAACTACATTATGTGATTGAGCTGCCTCAAGCTGTATATTAAGCTACCTGTCAACTGTCTTTTGTGCTTTATTTTTAGGTTATAAGGACCCTTGACGTGGCATGTAGAGATCACTAGGAACTAGGAAGAATTGTAGTTTCATTTTGACAAGATCTTTACAATTGAATGAGCAAGAATAACACAGCAGTGGCCAGTAGGATATTTCACTACAAAAAGCATACATTGCCTTTGTTGGACTGTGCTGCAAGCCTTTCAGTCCAGGGATGGGCATGCTTTAACCTTTTGCTCAGCTCTGCTTTCTGGGTCCTAGAATGGGGTTTTTGTTTTTGCTTTTGTGTAAACTCAATCTTTAATGACTTTTTTCTCTTCTACCAAGTATTCTGTTTAATGACTTAGATAATATGTTTTGTTTATTTCATTTGCTCGTCTTTTTAATTTATAACTAGGAAAGCGGAATTTTTAAAGACTATTATCATTTAGAAGAGGGTAATCTATGCTTGTGTTGTGAAAACTTCAAAGTATTGGAAGCTCCAAGACTCGTCTAAATTGAGGCCAGCTTAACCTTACATGTGTCTACGTGATAGTTTGGACCAATAATCTGAAACGGTTGGTGCTGCTGATATCTAAGTTGCCTCTGTTTTTCACTGGACGTGTTTATTTATTTAATTATGTTTTGTTTATTTCTGTTTATTGTTCCTCCTTATATTCATTGTATTAGTCTCAACTAATTGAGCAGGACATCCATTGGCTTCTGCAAGAAGAGACATCTGACAGAAAGTAGTGTGTTTTCTGGACTTTTGTTGTTTGCCACTGATGACTCATTGGACCTTGGTCTAAGGTTCTCTTGAGGAGTGGAAAAGTATTTGTGCAAGCATATGCACCGTGAGGATATGAATGACAGTTGCCTGCTTAATGGAGTGACCCTACAGTTTTTCTTACCTTGCGAAGTGGCTATAAATTGCAAGAAAGCTAGAAGAAATTTCTGCTTGCTATTCAAAGGAGGTAAATCTTATTCAAATGTCCTAAGCATGATACTTCAAAAATTTCAGAATGGAGGATTTGATACCGATAAGGCATGCCTGACAGATACCATATGCTCCAAGTCTGTATCCAGTTTCCCTTTAGGAAAATTTAATTTTTGGATATGGCATGGATATGTGAGGCATACATGATGTATACAAAAGTAATCAAGATAGATACGAAAGGGGTTATTTGTAAAATTAGTATAGGAAAAACGGAGGTAAGAGTGTCATTTTAAAAGGTTTTGGAGTTGTTTCCGAAAAAGGGCATCTAAGTGTCATTTTAAGATGTTATAAGAGTTAATATGAAAACGAAAAAACAGTACGTTAGATAAGAAAAAGAAAATTAATTTCATTGTTGTATCCGTTGTGGTACCTGTATCTTGTTTTTGGAGGTTTTTGGTATTGTCGTATCGTCTCACAAATCCTATAACTGTATGCATGCAGCATAGGTTTTATATTCTGTGCCAAGGCTTACAGATGATGCTGCTTGAGTGTAAGCAGGTCACAGCTGCTAGAATTTATTTACGGCTCCAATAGGACCAATACCACCTTCCGTTATGAATCATCACAAGGTCAGGAACTTAGGATCTTATTATTCATACGTCCGGACAGTAGTTTTTAAGTATATCGTTGTTTTTACTAATTTACTAGGTGCAGATAAATTCACCATGTTCTTTGCTACTTGATCATGATAAGTATGATATTGTTCAGCTCTGTCACATACTGCTGATGTTGCTCGTTGAGTGCAAAGGTGGCAGGTGTTGTGGAATTCATTTCGTGGGAATTGTCTTCTTTTTCACGTGATGATGTCAAGGTAGGGTTGTTTTTAAATTATTCCTTGTGCAGTTTTGTTGATAGATAGGATATGCATGCAAACAAAAACAGAGGCACATACATGGTAGTTTGTAATTTACATTTCAGAATATTTGCAGGATGAAATTTCTAGGGTAGGGAGAAAACCTTAGAAAGGAATTCACAATTTCTTCTCTTTCTTTTTTTCTTTTTGTTCGTTTGTTTGTGTGCATGTGATTCAGTCTGTATCTGCTTGAACTTATTTTGCGTAGTTCCTGTTTCTTATAGCAATTATTGCTTATGAATTATAAATTGAATTTGATTAGTTAAGGATAAGGATGATGTGATTGGATTGGAGCTATCTGGATCTCCTCCACAGGATCTCTAGGGTATCAAATTTCAAACAGCAGGCATTATACAGATGCTAGGAGGCCAAGTTAAACTTCCTTTTAATGGCTAGCGTTGCCAGAAAAGTAGTGTATGGGATATGTTGTGGTACTGCAAGCATTTATTTCTACTTGATTTACCTTGAGGATAGTAGTTAATCCACAAACAAAATACTGTACTTGGTTTTATTAGGTACATCAGGTATGAGATAAAATAGTCTCTTATAAGGATGACCTTAGTTTAGCTAGAAAAGGGCTAATTACAATTTTGGTCACCTAGGTTAGGGTCGAATTTAATTTTGGTCACCGTGATTTCAATTTTCCCGATTTCATCACTGTACTTGCAATCGTTAACAAATCAGGTCCAGTCCTACATTTCCTTCAGTTTGGTACGGGCTTTGTTGTCCTTTCGTCCCAGCCCAGCTCTCTCTCTCTCTCTCCTCTCGCACAGTCGTATCCTTGTTCGTTCATCCAAACCCAGATCAAATCCCTCATCTTCTCTCTCTCTTCTCAGTTCCCAATTTCCATACCCAGCCCAGCTCTCTCTCTCTCTCTCTCTTCTCTGTCCAGATCAAGCTCTTCTCCATCCTCAGACACCGCTGCCATTCAAACAAGGGTCCCAGTGCAGTGGCCATTTCTTTGGTGCCTTTGGTGCCTTCCCTTGGTGCATGTACGAGGTGGGCAAGGGCAACAAGATCCAAAGCTTTTTTTAATATCTTTTTGTATTTAATTTCATATTGGTTACATGAGTTTTATTGTTTTGTGAATTGAAGGTTGAAAATTGGATGGGTTCTGTGAGTGTGTGAGTAGGGGGAGTGAGAGGTAGTGATCTTTGTTAGGGTTCTCTTGGTATTTCTTTGAGAGTTGGGCTAGGGGTGGAAGTTGTTGATTGGGAATTGAGAAGAGAGAGAGAAGATGAGGGATTTGATATGGGTTTGGTTGAACGAATGAGGATGCGACTGTGAGAGAGAAGAGGAGACAGACAGACAGACAGACAGAGAGCTGGGCTGGGACGAAAGGATAATAAAGCCCTGCTAAACTGACGGAAATGAAGGATTGGACCTGATTTGTTAACAACTGCAAGTACAGTGACGAAATCGGGAAAGTTGAAATCACGGTGACTAAAATTGATTTCGAGCCAAACCCCAATGACCAAAATTGTAATTAACCCTTTAGAAGAAGTAAGGATCTCGTAGTTTGAGCATGCCACAATGTGGTATAATGATCTGAGCCATCAATTCTTAAGTTCCTCTTCAAGGATGTTGATGCAACAATCAACAAGATCTGGAATCTTTTAGTCATCTAATTGTCAGTCAATAAATACATGGGCAAACACAATGTTTGTTTTGATAAACCTAGAAATGATCATGATGATAATCCATATTGAATGGCTTGCTGGTTAAACAGTGTCTTCTTTGTAATGTAATTTTTAGCTTCCTTGGACTTCTGTAGTTATTTTGTTCTGTTATACTTCCTGGGCAAGATTTTAGATTCTTTAGACTTCTGCTGTTATTTGTTGTCCTTCACTTTTAAATTGACCCGTATTAATGATAGTGATTTTATATTTATCATTTATATTGATTTATTTGTTCTCTGGGTGGGCTGTAGTGTATCTAACCAATATGATGAAACTACTCAACAATCTCTAGAGTCATGTTCGAATCATGGTGAAGTGGATTTCATTTTCAAGTAGGAGCGGTAGGACATGAGTTCGATTCACTAAGTGGCATTCTTGTGTTCAATAAATTGTGAGGGATGTCTGCTGCCTTGTTCGAATTTATTCACAAAAGGAGAAAGAAAAAGGATACAGATGAAACTATAAACGGAAATAAGTTGTGTTTCAAGCAAACTCAAGGTGACTGCAAATGCCATGTGATGGTAAAATGAGTGCTGGCATTTGCTAATGCCTAAAGTAATTTGTAGCTGAGAGCCTGAGGCCACCATTCTTTGAAACCAAAGTGTGATTGTTTGATGTTTGATTTTGATTTTATCTTCTACATAGCTTCGGCTTAAATATTCACGGAGGCTGTAACATCCAATTTGCAGTTGGGAAAAATTGTTGAGGATAAAATTGAGCAAAACGAAATGATTTTTGTTTGTCAAACGCTGGGAATGAATCATCCTACTATTTGATGTTAAAGCTTCGATTATATCCTGAACAATCTGCTTGTGAGAATTTGTGATCTTCTGGCTGAAAAAACCTTGTATATCAAAAGAAATAACTCCAGCTTTGCCACGGTTGCCGTCCAAAGAGACTTGTTTTGATGAATTATTCGACTTCACTATTTATATGATACATAGGTTAAGAATGTGCAGTTCTTTAATGAAAAACCATGTTAAGATCTGAATCTGATGGTGTAATTTAACCTTATTTCGGGTTACAGAAAAGGATATGAATCTTTCTCTGCTCTATATTTCATTTCTGGTTTTGGTACCTGTCATATTTTTATTGAGAGATGCTATCGCGCTAACATCATCTCCAATGCTAAATACAAATTCTTTAGCTGTTTTCGCTCCAATGTACGACTAAATGTTTGCGTTTTTATTTTATTTTTTTATACAACCCAAACAATATTGGAAAGAGGAAATTGAACTTAAGACCTCAAATACAGAGATAAATAAGCACTATCAGCCAGGCTTTTCTTTTCTTTGGGTTTTGAGTTAAGCTCAAACTCGTAGATGAATTTTGGGTTGATAAAAAGTTATATTGAGTTTTGTGTTTGTGCATTGGAGATGGCCGAAGGCGGTTGTTATTTTATAGTAAGGGTCTTATCTAAGGTTATTAGACGAGTCTCTATCTTTTAACTGTTAGATTAAACTAATTAATTTGATCTAACAGTAAGGGCCTTATCTAAGGTTATTAGACGAGTTTCTATCTTTTAACTGTTAGATTAAACTAATTAATTTAATTTAACGGTTAATTAATTTGATCTAACGGTTAAAAAATAGGGCTTACATTATAAAGACCCTACAGAAGTGAACATGGCAAACCCGACCCGCACTTGCCTTTGCTAAACCCCTTTCCCGTCTGGACCTTCTCACACCCCACCTTAATGCTCTCCCTGAGTAGAACAAAAAATGGAGCTCTCACACATTCTTCAATTCTCTTCAAAATTCTCATGCCCTTTTCCCAATTGTCTCCATTTTCTTCTAAATCCAATCCAAAATCCACAACCCAGAATCACATTACCACAATCCCAAGAAAATCCACTACAAGAAGACCCATTTCTCTCGCTGCACCAGTCCCACGAGTTCCAGACACAGTAAGTGCTTCTATTGTCAACTCAGTATGCTCTTTACTCTCTAAAGATACCCATGAAATCACAAGCATTGATAGTTTGTTGAAAAACTTCAAAGAAATGTTGAGCTCAGAACTTGTGCTTCAAATTTTGATGAATTATAAGCAGTTGGGTAGGAGTAAAACCTTGCAGTTCTTTTCTTGGGCTGGATTTCAAATGCGTTTTCAGTTTGATGACTCTGTGGTTGAGTACATGGCTGATTTCTTAGGTAGGAGGAAGCTCTTTGATGATATGAAGTGTCTTCTTTTGACTGTGTCTTCGCACAAGGGTCGAGTTTCCTGTCGGTCTGTGTCCATTTGTATTAGGTTTCTGGGTAGGCAAGGGAGGATTAAAGAAGCCCTTTGCGTGTTTGAAGAAATGGAATCAAAATTTGGGTGTAAACCCGATAATCTTGTGTACAATAATATGCTCTACGTGCTTTGTAAGAAGGAGTCATCTGGGCATTTAATTGATTTTGCACTTGCAGTTTTTCGGAGAATCGAATCCCCTGATACATATTCGTATAGTAACATGCTCGTTGGTTTATGTAAATTTGGTAGATTTGAGACTGCCGTTGAAGTTTTTGGTGATATGTGTAAGTCTGGCTTGGTTCCTACTCGGTCTGCAGTGAATGTTCTTATTGGAGATTTGTGTTTATTTAGTGCGAAAGAAGGAGCTGTTGAGAAAGTAAGAGTGAAAGATCCTTATAGAACCTTTACAATTTTAGTTCCTAAAGTGGGTGGAAACAGTGATGCTATACAGCCTGCAGTTGGAGTGTTTTGGGAAGTTTATAAATTGGGTTTATTACCTAGTGCATTTGTCATAATCCGGCTTATATCGGGCCTTTGTCAACTGGGAAAAGCGGAAGAGGCTGTCAAGGTCTTGAAGGCCGTTGAGGGTAAGAAGCTGAGTTGTGTCGAAGAGGGCTACTGCATTGTGATGAAGGCTTTGTGTGAACACTGTTACGTTGATGAAGCTAGCAAGTTGTTTGGGAGGATGCTCTCCCACTCCATGAAACCAAAGTTGGCTGTTTATAATCATGTTATCACTATGCTATGCAAATTAGGGAATGTGGATGATGCTGAAAGGGTCTTTAAGATAATGAACAAGAATAGATGTCTTCCAGATGGTATGACCTATTCTGCGTTGATCCATGCTTATTGCGAAGCTAGAAATTGGGAAACTGCTTATGGCTTAGTGATAGAAATGCTTGGGTTGGGCTGCTCACCACATTTTCACACTTATAGGTTAGTTGACAAAATTTTGAGGGAAAATGGGCAGATGGATTTGTGTCTTAAATTGGAAAGGAAGTTGGAAACCGTGACGTTGCAGAAGCTGTGTAAAGATGGCCAGTTAGAAGCTGCATATGAGAAACTAAAATCAATGATTGAAAAGGGGTTTTACCCACCAGTTTACGTGAGGGATGCTTTTCAGAATGCGTTCCGAAGGTATGGAAAATCGAAAATAGCTCAGGAATTGCTAGAGAAGATAGATGAAATAGATAGAACTTAGCTGTTGATGACCTATTAACAAGAAGTATTTTCCTCCATTAACCGAAGAGTTGTGAGTTCTAACCGATTTCTTGTTACAATTCTTTTATACATGTGGTTCCATACACGTAGCATCTGTGTATACTGTGCTGGGGCAATCAAATAGTCTCTTAATTTCAATGCTTGGTTGGTTCATGTGTGCTTATTTACTGTACAGAAACACTCTAACCGTTTAGTAAGTATATACAACGCTAACGCTTGTTTGAGCTCACTCCACAATGTCATCTCATGATCCGAACTGTTTGTGTGGGCCCACTCATTTTGTTGATTTATGTGTGCATATTTACTGTATGTGTTTCAATGTGTCAGTATAAATATGGGAGTCACTCGTAAGACGGGGCAACCAAAAGTTTTAATGTATTGATGTAAATCACTCACCTAACTGTAGCATCGTCTCTGTGGTAAACTGCTTCTTATCAAAGACTGGGATGGTAAGAGATGTTTTTGTCATCTTCATTTGTGCGCACATTTGAATCTGAATGTATTGGCCTAACTGTTGTTTTTTAGACTTTTTGCAATATATCTTAGAGTTGGAAGATTAATGCGAAAGGCACAGCGGAAATACTTGAAAATTAATCAGTTGTATGGTCATGATACTAGAGTTTTTAACGAATCCGTATCATATAAGCCCGCGGAGTTAAGGGTGGTGAGAAAATGGATTAGGTCACTCAACCATAAAACAGAGAAGAATTTCATTTTAAATCTCATGGAAAGGCAAAGGGCTCGTAGCTCAAGTGAGTAGTTACCCCTCCTCCCATATCACTTGTATGAAAGGTGTTTCTTTGCCTCTGGTTGAAAATTATTCTTGGCTCTAACTGCCCATTTCACATTGCTTGTTAATATGAAAGCTCTCCAAAGATGGAGAATCCATCATCTTGTTCCATGGAAGCCATTTGTGCATGCTTATCTTTCAAAATATGTTTTAAGTTACGGGCAAAACAATCTATTTTAATTATTGATGATAAAATATTGACGTGGGTATACAGCTTTAATCGGATATGCTTTCCCCTTGTACAATACAAAGAGACCTTGAACAAGTTTCCATCTATTCTTAATAAACAAGGCATGTATTTGTTTAGAGTCATAATCATACTTTTACACATCAATCATGCTTTGATCAATTTACTCCATCTACCACCCACGTTTTATTTTCTGCAAAGCCAAAGCATACGCTTTCTGTTGTCCTGCAATAATATCACAGTGAAAATGATAAGAGTCAGATGATGCAAGTTTCTCAAACCTAATCTATCTCCAGAAGAAACAAAATAAAATTGAAAATCCAAACTGTATTTGGGTTTTCAGAAATCCTTCCAACTGAGGACATCGTATCAGAGTCGTGTTAGATACATATGCAAGTTAGGATCGCAATAATGATGCAATACTTGCCAAAGGCGAAAGCAAAGATACCAACATTGTGGTATTTGAATTACATAAGCATGGTTGAAACTCTCAACTAAAGTTCACCTTACATTCCATAATTAGAAAAAGAGACCAGATCTCTTATGTGCTTGTTTATTTATATGGAAGGCAATCGAGAAAGTATCTATAAGACCCAGATCTGTCATAGACTAGATAATTCTAATCCTGGCGCCGATTCAATTCCCTTGCAGAACTGTTAGCTTAAAAGGAATAAATAACTAAACAGAGTATGAATTAGTTTATAGGTCACATTGTACATCATGTGAAAACACCCTTAAAGATCTTTAAAATCATCTGAACCATTCTATCATAAAATAAATGCCAACATAGCAAAGGAGGTGATGACATGTAGAGGGCCATGGGATTTGGAATTCAAATGTCCTTTACCAAAAAAAGGTTTTTTTCAACGAAAATAAAAAATCATTACACCAGTGCAACAGACTAATGCATATCCTTTCGTATAGAAACATATCAGACCTTGATACTCAAGAAGATTCCAATAGACTCTGGATGTCTTTCTGCACAAAGCAAAGAAAGATAAATCAGCAGTTGTCGTCAGCAGAACTGAATTGGTTCACCAAATACAAACAAACAAATAACCACAACAGCAATCTGACCTCAATTTTAAGAGGTGATGTCACAGGAGCATATCTCTCCACAACCTTTCCTTCTTTGTTAACCAAAAACTTGGTAAAGTTCCATTTGATGCCATTTCCAAAGAGCCCACCTTTCTGTAATTTCAGGAATTTGTAAAGGGGGGCCACATTCTTCCCATTCACCTCAATCTACAATGACCACATATAAATTTAATAACTTGTTCATGGATTAATTCATTTTAGTCACTTTATCTATGTGTAGTAGTTGCTAAATTATTAGCAAAGTCAAATCAGTCAAAGAATTATTTAAGGTAGAACCAGTTCTCTTAATGTTTATTAGTTTGAACAGCGCAGAGTCTTGTGCACAGAAAAATCTAGCATAACTAAACAGTAGCAAGAAGAAAAGAAATTTTAATTAGAATTTGCGTATAGATTGCTGAGAACTTTTCATCTCTTTATTTTCTTCAATAATAAGGATTACCTTGTCAAGATTGGGAATTCAGCTTTAAACCTCGTGCATGCAACTTCTTGAATCTCCTCATGTTTCCTGGCTCTTGTCCTCCAAACTGGTTGCAAGGAAATGCCAAGATCTCAAAACCTGCCACAAAATTGAATAAAATGTCATGGACAAGGATGAAACACATGAATCAACAAATTTTTGGCATTGCTCTGATAGGAGTCACATACCTTTGTTTTTGTACTTTCCATACAAAACACTTAATTCCTTGTAGTTTGATTGTGTTAAACCACTGCAAAAAATAAATAAATAATTAATTAATTAATTAAAAATTAAAAAGTAAGAATAGAGGCAATAGAGGATATAGAGTTGTAATACAGGTTGAATGCCTTAATTCATTTTGACACAAGCAAATTTATATAATCAACAAGTTCAACCAAGCATAGAAAACATGTAGAATCACCACCAAATGCTCCAAAAACAGAATGGTCTGCCAAGATCTTAGAAAAGAAAAGAAATAATTAGTGTTGCCTTTGAACCTTGAAGGATGAACATCTAAGTATCAGATAAAATGCTTTTTCATGGGGTTCTATAACTTGCTACACTGCTATAGAGAGCAATACAACTAAAATTCTCTTTTAAGAAACAATCCACAGAAATTTGATAGTACCCAACAGTTAGACATTGAGTACAATTTTAAAAGGAATTTTCAGATTCAAGTCCTTGATATATATTTATATTAATTATAGTCCAATGGCTTTTAAACTTTTAATTACAATTCAAGTAGAAAAGTCACTAACATATATATTTCATCCTCAAGGTGTGTAAGTTACAAGCATGCTATTGACTTTTAAAAAAAATAATACACCATAAATTTTCATTCCACTTTATAAAATTCATACTTTAGAAAACATTTCTTGAGATTTATCAAACGAGACCTATGATAAACTTCCTTGAACCACTGGTCCAAAAAGGTTTTATAGACCACAAGATTTGTATCATAAATTTACTTAACAAACATCCCGATTTAACTCGAATTAGCTGAAATTAATTGAACCAGTTTGAGCCACGATTAACATGGATTAAGAGTGAAGAGAAATAATTCACACAACAGATCAAGTTAATTACCATTGGGAAGCAACATTTACAATCAGGAGAACCTTCCCACCGTATTCACTCAGCTTTACATCGTTACCATGAATATCCTGCAATTAAATGAAATGGTATACAAATCCATTTCAGATCGAGTTATCAAATAAAATAGTTTGCAATTTCACTGTATTCACTCAGCTTTCAATCGGAAATTTCCAAAATCACTTCATCAAATATAATGGCAAAATAACTCCAGAAACTTGAAGCAGAAAACAAAACAAAAGACGTACCACCCCAAGTAACCTGATCTGGCAGGAACGGCCAATGACTTTTGAATTTTAAGTCTTTAAAAATAAATATCAGAAACAATTAGCGGAGATTGGGAAAGCTGGAAAAAATTTAGGGGAATTTTTACAAGCCACTCTTAAATGTTATCTTAAGAGACAACTTTACAGAAAATTATCTCACATCACCTATCAGTGATCAAAGAAAACCATATACAACATTGGAAGTTGAAAACCCACAAAAGTAAGCTGCAACTAAAAGCTAAATATCAAATCACTATAAAAACCCAACACTTTTCCACTCAGCAAAGGCAAGCTTAACACCACTATGGATCAAGGGTCCAGCTAAATGGATTCACATAACTTCTGTGTTACTTTGAAGCCAATAAAACTTATTACTGCAAAATATCAAATCTTTCTTTTCCCAGCAACCAAGCATAATTTATCAGAAAGCTATAAGAAGAAGAAAAAAATTGAAGCAAAGCCAGTACCTTGACTGTGAAATCGTATATTGATTTGGAACTTTCTTCAGCCATAATTTGGGAAGAAGAGAACTGGTAGGCGTAATAGAAGTACACGAAAGCAAAACCCAGAACGAAGAAAGAGACCCAGTTGGTGAATTTCAACAAACGCATACCCACGCCCTTCACCGAAAGGAGTAACGTGTGATAAGGTCGGCATTAATGTCAGCAGCATTGACATTTCTTGCCTGTTTCCCTCTTTAGGAAAAATACAATTTAATGTTCGAGAATTGTGACTACATTCATTTGACCTGATCACACCTTTTTCTTTCAATGTACCGGCCCATTTTTATGAGAAATTATAGAATTGAAATTAATAGCTGGAATTTTTAGTTTAATTCATAACTTTTGAATTAAAATTAAAAAAAGAATTTCCTAACAGCCACCTATCTCCCAACCGAACAACCCAAATCTCAATGACGGCCACCCCTCTCCTTCTACTATCTTCACCCCTTACTCCCATGTGTTTTGCATGGGTGTTTTATATTTTTTATTGCAAAGTTGAGTAGATTTTTGGCCTATGGATAATTTTGGAGAAAGAGTTTATTTACAATACCAAGAAATTAATACCCCCATAGCCCATATTGAGAATGACCCCAAATCTAGAAGGGGTCTTTTAATGTTAGTCTTTAAATAAATTAAAGAAAAAAGTTGAAAATTCTTTTTTTTTCCCCCATCCCCCTCTACACTCTCTCTCTACGCTCCTTCTGTTATTTCTCACCCACCACCTCCACTCTCCCCCTATCCTTCCAATTTTTCTCTCCCTTTTCTACTCTCCCCCTCTTCATGTAAAATTGTAAACCCACCAAACAACAGTAAATACCACTTAGTTTTCAATTGAGTTCGAGTCTAGTCGAGGAGAAGGGTAGAAAGACAAATAAGAACACCCCCCCAAAAGACAGTGGCCATTGGAGAAAAAAAAACAGTGGAAAGGGAGAGGGGCCATTGGAAGTCATATGTGCTAAAATATGAAACCTTCCTTATATGAGAATATTTGTTTGTGGGAGTTTTCTGTACCTTCATCTCCTTGTATGATGTCATATTTATAATACAACAGAGCCTTAGTGGCCAAGTAAATAATAAATTCATATTTCTATTTACAGTAGGAAATGAAGAATTAAAGTAAGTCAAATAGAATTATAATGGGAATTCTTGGTATGTAAAGAAAAAAAGTCAATGGTCCACAAGTCATGCCAACACTCCCCCCCTCACGTTGGTGCATAGATATTGCTAATGATTTACTGATTCAGTGAATTATGGAATGCTCTATTGGAAATACTTTTGTCAAAATATCCGCCAATTGATCCTCAGACTTCTCGAAAGAAAATTAAATCACTTTAGCCCCAAACTTTTGTTTGATGAAATGTCGATCCACCTCAAACATGTTTAGTGCAATCATGTTGAACCGGATTCTGTGCAATAGCTATAGTAGAGATTCATTGTGGATGAAGGCTTCTACCCAAGTTCAGTAAGCAACTTCCTTAACCAAAGGAGCTCACAAATTCCTTTAGTCATGCCTTTGAACATGGCTTCTGCATTGGATAAAGCTACTACCTTCTGTTTCTTGCTCCTCTATGTAACCAATTACCTCCCACGAATGTGAAGTAACCCGATGTGGATCTTCTATCTATTACACTGTCTGCCCAATCTACATTTGAATAACCATCAATATTCAGATGACCATATTTTGAGAACATAAGTCCTTTTCTGGGTGCAGACTTCAAATATCTAAGTATCCGAAGAACTGCATTCATGTGGTATTCATTTGGAGAATGCATAAATTGACTGATGACACTTACCGCATGACTTGTCGGTGTGTTTGTGGTAAAATGTTTTATCGGTTCGATTAGTTTTTCGATATTGCAGGACAAAATGCCAATCCTAATCTAAATATAAGAGGAGGATGAAGATTTCTCACACATATTTAGACTTGGCAAACATGTCGTGTTTGCTTTTGGTCGTATTCGTGTCAACCTCTCTCTCTCTCTTTCTCTCTCTCTCTCTCTCCCAATGTCCATCAAAGAAACCCCAACCCACCATGGCTGAAAACTAAGGAAAGGAATTTTAGTCATTCATCAAATGATCTTAGAAATTTCAATAAGGGGAATGCTAGCAACATTTTCTCTAACCTTCTCTTTTGGACATTTTCTCTTTCCCTCATGACATGTGTCATTTTTGTTACACTTAAACTAATGTTGTTAATACATAAGACAACCTAGCTTTTGTTTTCAAGTTTACCTTTATGCCTTAAATATATTGACACTTGACATGGTTAAGTCCAATTTTTTATTTTTATTTTTTTAAATAATCTTATTTCGCTCCCTAATCTTCTCCCTCGCCCCCTCACCCACCTTCTTCCCAATCTCCACCCATCGTAACCCCCCAACCCACACACCCAAAAAAAAATTCTCAACACACCCAACCCTCCCCACAAGTCCCTTCACTCATCTGTCTCTCTTCCCTATTGGAAGACTCACCGAAATCCCACCAGATCCTTGCATCTCAGCATCAAATCAGATTTGAGAGTGAATAATGATTATAGGATGACTTGTACGCCCCAACCTCAAATTATCAAACCATGCCATTAAATTTCAAAGTTTGGGTAAATTCTAGACATAATTTGGGTAAATCCAAATTTCAACTTTCAAAGTTTCAACCTTTTAGCAAGAATGGGTTGTCATTGGGTTGCTAGAGGTGGGTGAGGATAGGTGACTGTTAGGTGAGAGTGGAGTGGTGAAGAGGGGTATGGTCGGGGCCAAATTTCTGGGGAAGAAGGAGTGAGTAGAAGAAAGAGAGAGGAAGAAGGGGGAGGAGAAAGAGTGAGAGAGAGAGATAGTCAAAACTCGTACAAACATTTAGTTTTTACTAAGGGCATATATGGAAATATAATTAATATATTTTTTTGTAATTAATGACATTGTTTTAACTGAGAAACAAATGACACATGTCATAAAGAGAATGGAGAAGGTCCAAAGAAGAAGGCTGGAGAGAAGGTTGTTAGCATTCCCCTTTCAACAACATAGAATAGTAATAAAGGGAGATTCACTATTATACCCAATATAGGAGCCCAAATTATTTATTAAAAAAAAAACCCTATATGAAATGGACTTTAGAAACACACCCAAAGCCTATTTACAACATAACATAAAGGCGTTTAACTTCTTTTAAATTACAAAACTGCCATTGATTTCTTAAAACAAACCCAACCCAAAAGCCTCATAAAAAAGCGCAAAACACTTAATAGGACATCAAAGTAATTTAATAATCAAATTAAATTTAATATGGCAAGCTGTCATTTTTTGGGTTTTCTTTTGGGTTTGTTTATAAAAATTAAATGATGTAGAGTTTGTTTATAGTTTTTGTGCTAAGAATGGATATATGACTAAATATCTCTAATAGTAAATAGAACTATTTAAGATGTTGGCATATAGAACTCAACCACAGTGCGCAGAGAATGAGAAGAGACGCTGGAGCTGGGAAGATAAAGTTCTTCCTAATTTTATGTTTTGGAAAAATTAATATTGTATTTGTAATTATATTTATAAATATAAAACAAATTCGTTACTAACACATACTTGAATGCAACGCAATGGGGTTGAGTCTGTTTATTTGTGGAAGGCGTGGTGGGTAAAGGTTCAATTCCCCTCTGGGTAAATACTTTCCTCTAATTTTTCCCATTTTAATGCATGTAAAATTACAAAAATACCCTTCTCTTAACGACATGTTAGCTTAACGGGTTCGCCCGTTTTCAACCCACCCCAAGTGAAAATATATAAGATTTTGTTCCAAGCATGCCGGTTGTTTTTTTTTCTTTTTTTGAGTTTGCAGAGAGGGGTAGAAAAGAAGAGTTAAGGGAGAGGGGAACATCAATGTTGCTGGGGTTGGGGGAAGATTGGGACGCCCTCTTTGTGCAAAACCTAGAACCTATTCCCCCCACCCCTTAGGCGAAAATCAAAACAACAACCCTCCCTATGTTCTTTCTACCCCAACCTCCATACCCATTAATCAGCTTTCAAGTTTCATGCCTCCCATCCTAAAAAACAAAACAACAAAACAACGAAGAGAGAGAGAGAGAGAGAGAGAGGAGAGAGAGAGAGAGATTTTAAAGTTTTAAATTTTATGTTTGTATTTTAATTTTTTATTAATTTTTTTAACCATGATGGAGGTGGGCTCCACTTTGCCACATTACCCACTTAAATTTGTGAATAAAAAACTTAAATGCACAAAATTACTAAAACACCCCTACCACATCATCAAACTTAACAGATTTTTGGATGGAATTGACGGTATAGGGCACTATGGAACATCAAACCTTGGTCAATGGGGCAAAGTGAGTCACTTTAACTTCCATGGGGTAAAGTGAGAATTGACCAATGTTTCAAGGTGCACTGTACCAATTAAATAGAACTATTTAAGATGTTGGCATATAGAACTCAACCACAGTGAGCAGAGAAGGAGAAGAGACGTTGGAGTTGGGAAGATGAACTTCTTCCTAATTTTATGTTTTTGGGAAAATTAATATTTTATTTTGTAGTTATATGTATAAATATAAAACGAATTTGTTAATAACACAAACTTGAATGCAACGCAATGAGGTTAAGACAGTTTATTTGTGAAAGGCATGGTGGGCTATGTTGCACGGACACGGGAACGCGACACATCGACACGAAAAATCTCAAAAAATTAGGACACGGACACGGCTAGGATACGACAATTAAAATAATAATTAATTCTCAATACTTCAATGTCACATAATTCCATAAAACAAAACAAATAACTCATACCCACCCAAAACCAAACAAAAAAAAAAAAAAAAAAAAAAAAAAACATAAAACACACAAAAACAAAAAACATTTTATTATTTGTTGTTGTTTCTCTTAAAAAAACATAAGAAAAGAATCTTCACCTCATCACCAAGTCCAACTCTTCTATTGTTATGGAGGGACATAAGAAAAGAAAATAGAAAACATAAATAAAAGCATTTGAAAACAAAGGAAAAAAAATTGCAAAAACACTCACCTTTGCAAAAGCTGGAGAAGAGGAGAAGAGCTGCTACAACGGAAGAAATGAAGTGAAGTGGCTGCTACTTTCGTGAGATTCATTTAGGTTTAAAAAAGTCTTTTTCCACTTTCAACCCATCTTTTAAAAAATATTTCAAATCAGTCCACTAAAGTTTCAAAAATCACGTTTAGACCCCTATTTTTATTTTTAAAATTTCAATATGGTCCTTGCCGTGTCTTGACCGTGTCCCAGCCGTTGACGTGTCGGAGTGTCGGCGTGTCCGACACTCCGACACTCCAGCATTTTAGAGTGTCCGTGCAACATAAGTGGTAGGTAAAGGTTCAAATCCCCTTCGTTGTAAATATTTTCCTCTAATTTTTCCCATTTTAAATTTTTAATGCATGTAAAATTACAAAAATACCCTTCTCTTAACGGCCTGTTAGCTTAGCTTAACAGAATACTTCTCTAGACAGTCAAACCCTTTTTTTCCCTTCGGTTTTATCCCCATTGGCGCGTTTAATATAATGAGACATTGTTTTGTTCAGGAAATTTACGCCTCAGTTGCCTGTTCTGCTTTACCAAAAGACAGATTTGGGGTGCGACCGAAAAAAAGAGTGACAGTTTTGGGGATTCTGCGTGCATATATATATATAGATACAAATTTCGTTGTCTGCGTATAGATATATAGATTTCAGCTGTTTTTATTCTCTAACCTCTGTAAAACCCTAACCCTTGCTTCAATGGAGGAAGTCTGCGAGGGCAAAGACTTCTCCTTCCCCAAGCAAGAGGACACCATTCTCAATCTGTGGTCCGAAATCAAGGCGTTCGAAACTCAGTTGGCTCGCACTGAGGGCCTGCCCGAGTACGTCTTCTATGACGGTCCTCCATTCGCCACGGGCCTCCCACACTATGGCCACATATTGGCCGGCACCATCAAAGATATCATTACTCGATTTTTCTCGATGACCGGCCACCACGTCATCCGCCGCTTCGGCTGGGATTGCCATGGCCTGCCCGTCGAGAACGAGATTGATCGGATGCTCGGCATCAAGCGCCGAGACGATGTGCTGAAGATGGGGATTGATAAGTATAATGAGAAGTGTAGGGGCATTGTTACTAGGTACGTGGAGGAGTGGGAGAAGGTTATTACGCGAACTGGGCGCTGGATTGATTTCAAAAACGATTATAAGACCATGGACTTGAAGTTTATGGAGAGTGTTTGGTGGGTTTTTGCTCAGTTATTTCAAAAGGGTCTTGTTTATAAAGGCTTCAAGGTTGGTTGGTTGCATTGTGTTTTCTTCAACTGGGTATTGAGAATTTCTGAATTAAACAGGTTTTGGTCATTAGTGGTGGGAGATGGCATAATTGTTTTTCTTTTTTGTAGGTCATGCCATACAGTACTGGCTGCAAGACACCGCTCTCCAATTTTGAGGCCGGTCAAGAATATAGGGTTTGTGATACTTCTGTTGATATTTTATACAAATTTTGCTGAATTAGTTCTATCTTTGTTTGTATTGCTGTTGCTGAATCTTGTTAATGTGATGAGATCGTGTATTTTTCGTTTCCATGGTTAAGAGGCAGTCAAAGTTATTCCACTGGTGAAACTAGGAATTTGTCTGCGTTATTGCTCTACCATTAATTCCACCTTTTGTTTTCTTTCCTATTGTGTTTAAGAATCTCCTATCATATTTGACATATGTGGAGTAACACAGGATGTTCCTGATCCTGAAATTATGGTGGCTTTTCCAATTGTCGGAGATCTGCAAAAGGCTAATTTTGTGGCTTGGACAACCACTCCATGGACCCTTCCTAGCAATTTAGCCCTATGTGTCAATGCAAATTTCACTTACGTGAAGGTCAGTTACTTTGTCACTTAATTTTGCTGCTATAACAGTAGTTTTGATATCTATTTTCTATTTTGCTTTTTTAAAAGTGTATCCATTTATTTATTTATTTCAATGTCACTTTGACCATATCATGCAAATTTAAACCCATATTGGCGCATAAACTGTATTTGTTTTAATTTTTGTCGAAATACGATATCCTGGCCATCTATCGGTTATCATACTATTTTGTGATGTCATTAATTTTTTGTTCAACTTTATTCATGTATTTTTTATGCTATATCACGTGAGAATCTAATTTGAGGTGGGAAAAAATTAGGTTCGCAACAAGTACTCCGGAAAAGTATATGTTGTTGCTGAATCTCGGTTGTCAGCTCTTCCGAGTGATAAACCAAAAGAAAATGTTGCAAATGGATCTGTTGATGATTCAAAAAAGCTCAATTCCAAGACCAAGGGATCCTCAGGTGGGAAAAAAGAAACTGTTGATACTTCATATGAAGTATTGGAGAAAGTCTCTGGGGCTTCATTAGTGGGAAAGAAGTGAGTACTTCTGTTCCTTAATTTTTCAAATTATTGTCAGATTGGACTTTAGTCTGTGGTTTCTTTTGTTCACTTAGTTCATGTAGTTATTTATGCGTATCACAATTATAAAGAGACTGTGAACTGCAGGTATGAACCACTGTTTGACTACTTTAAGGAGTTCTCTGATGTGGCATTCAGAGTTGTTGCCGATAACTACGTAACTGATGACAGTGGTACTGGTGTTGTTCATTGTGCTCCTGCATTTGGTGAAGATGATTATCGTGTTTGCCTGGAAAATAAAGTAATCAATAAGGTATGCACCCGGATGCATGTACATGTTATAATATCAAGGGTTGAAATTTTCTGCATTTTCAAGTTCTTTTTGATTTTCAACACTCTGTGGAACTTCCCTTTACTGCTTTAATGGTGTTGAAAGTCCTGAAGATATTTTCCCCTTAAGTGGCCTATTAAATTAAATATTTTCCCCGAGAAATTTAAACATCTCAATTTTTGCAGTTTACTTTCAGGCCCACGTTTTTTATGTTTGCCTTTGTTTTTTTTGCATGTAGGGAGAGAACTTGATCGTAGCGGTTGATGATGATGGATGCTTCACGGAAAGAATTACCGACTTCAGTGGGCGCTATGTCAAGGATGCGGATAAAGCCATTAGTGAAGCAGTGAAGGTACTAGACAGTTTACACACACATATAAGTATGATGGTTTACTTACCCAACCCCCACTCAACAAGAAGAAAAGATATAGCTATGCCATTCAACTTTGAGAAGAAATAGACTTTTACAGAAATGTTCGGTTTTATATTCATCATTTAAACATGTTTTGACATCAAATAATGTCTAGGTTCATGTGTTCTGATGCTAGTTATTATTATTGTTCTTCTTGTTGTCATCATCATTAGTTGAAGGATCATAGTAAAAAAAGTGAAAAAAGTAGAAACCAGAGTCCTCTTCAGTGTGTGGATGTTCTATTCTCATGGAGATTTATTTGCCAAGAGATGATTTTGTACTTTTTGTACCTCTTGTATTGCTTTTCTCCTCTGTTCTGATGTAATTCTTCGTATTTGCTCAGGCAAACGGAAGGCTAGTGAAGTCTGGAACCTTTACTCACTCTTATCCTTTTTGCTGGAGATCTAAAACTCCACTCATTTACAGAGCTGTTCCAAGCTGGTAACTGCAGTTTTAACTAGCTAATCTCGTACTTCAGCTTTATACTCTGTTAATTTTTTATATATTAAAAGCTCAGTTTTCATTGGTCAATTGTTTTTTTGGTAGATTCTGTTCGAACAGATTCTTCCATGCATGCTAAATTTATTGCAAGTTCTTATAGTAGGACGACTTGTGTCAGTTTCAACCGTTTTTATTTCTTCTCCTGCCAACATGTAGTCTCATCCTAAATGAGTTTTGCCATTTGATTACAGGTTTATCCGAGTGGAGCAGTTAAAAGAAAAATTGTTAGAAAACAACACGCAGACTTACTGGGTTCCTGATTTTGTGAAGGTTAAATATTTTTTTTTCTGAACATGGATTGCTTTTCTGAACATGGGCAAGTGCGGCTGTACTATCATCTAATCCTATGCTTAAACTGTTGAAATTAAAAAGCTAAAAAAGATTTTTTGGTGTGGCTAAATTTTCATTTCTTGAACCTTGTGATTTGAAATTTTTTTTTTTTTTTTTTTGGCTAGTGAGAATGCCATTTTAAAATTTATTTTCGTGTTACGTGTTATGTTATGAAAAATACGCAGTACGTCCTCAGATGGGAGATACTTATGGAATTTTGAACTGTCGTGACAACAACTCCCTGGTTTCTATTATTTCAGGAAAAACGCTTCCACAATTGGTTGGAAAATGCAAGAGATTGGGCAGTTAGTCGAAGTAGATTTTGGGGCACTCCGCTTCCTGTGTGGATCAGTGAGGATGGTGAGGAAATAGTCGTCATGGATTCTATTGAGAAGCTGGAAAAGCTTTCTGGTGTGAAGGTTTGATTCCTCTCTGTGTCTGCATGTCTGCTATTACTTATGAATGCTGATTCCTTAGATTTTCAAGGATAATGTTTATTTAATTGTTGTTTCATGAATGAATTAATCTCATTTCATTTTTATTCTCTTAATGAATTAGAAAATCTAAACTAATATTTTCTTATGCTGATTTTAATAGGTTTTCGATCTGCACCGCCACAACATTGATAATATCACTATTCCTTCTAGCCGTGGTCCTGAATATGGCGTTCTTCGACGTATAGATGATGTAAGTACATTCAAGCTACTCTATTATGGTAGTAGCCGGTATTTTCTTCTTTACCTTGATGTTGATGTGTTGGTTTTTCTCTTCAGGTGTTTGATTGTTGGTTTGAGAGTGGGTCCATGCCTTATGCTTATATCCACTATCCATTCGAAAATGTAGAACTTTTTGAGAAAAATTTTCCTGGGCATTTTGTGGCTGAAGGGCTAGATCAGACTCGTGGATGGTAAGTTTGTTTGTTTTCTTTTCCAGATTTGAGTGTCTTCGCCTAGAAAGAAAATAGGTGACATGATATCTAACCCATATGTTCTGATTTATTGTTGGTTTCCTTCTCACTCTGCAGGTTCTACACTCTTATGGTGTTATCTACTGCATTATTTGGAAAACCTGCTTTTAGGAACCTCATTTGCAATGGACTCGTCCTTGCCGAGGATGGAAAAAAATGAGTAAAAGTTTGAAAAACTATCCTTCACCAATGGAAGTCATCGATGACTATGGGGCTGTAAGTTTATTGTAGTATCTTCAAGTTTTCATTATACATATGAAATTTTTGTACAGGTTTCTTTGTTTGAATAATGAAACCCTTTCTAGATGTTAAATCTTACCAATGTTTGGTCTGTTTTCTATTTCTGTTTTGCAGGATGCACTGCGGTTATACCTCATCAACTCTCCTGTTGTGCGTGCTGAGCCATTACGTTTCAAAAAAGAAGGTGTTTTTGGTGTTGTAAGTACTATTATATTTACTGTTCTTTTTATTATTGCATTGGAGTTCTGTTTGGTTGCATAGTTATCTTCAATTATATGGTCTTAAATATGTTTATTAGTGTTGGTTCCCTTCAATTAATTTAGAAGTACATTTTATTTATTCTTTTCAGGTCAAGGATGTATTTCTTCCTTGGTACAACGCATATAGGTTCCTTGTTCAGAACGCTAAGAGACTTGAAGTTGAGGGCTTTGCCCCTTTCCGCCCTATAAATCATGCCACTGTAGAAAAGTCATCAAATGTCCTTGACCAGTGGATCAACTCAGCCACACAGAGTCTTGTATATTTTGTCCAGCAAGAGATGAATGGTTATCGACTTTACACGGTTAGCTATATATCAACCATTATTTTCAAAGTAACTTTTATTTCCCGTAAAGTTTAGGTGGATTTGTGCTTTCTGGTTATATGCAGATTAGATAATTAGAATGCAAGATCCGAATATAAACTAAATTGTAACAGTTAATTAGAGATTTTTTGACGCTGCAATAAAAGTATCCTGTCTTAGGTGTTCAAAATATACTTGCAGTGTCTGGTTTCAATAATATTCCATGTGTGGGACAGTACCTTTTCATGAATATACATGAAACTTGTATATCTCTGCTGAATTATGATTTATGAAAAATCCACTAGTGAAAAAAATGGATAAATCAGAATTTAATTCTGGGCTTGTTTACGTAGACGTCATTGTCATCTTTGCTCGTGTATGCTTGCTTCATTGTTATTATCTCTTTGGATTCTATGTTTTGGATCTAATAGTTATAATGATTTTTCCCCCTAAAGGTCATTAATTATTTTCATGGTTCCCACATAGTTACTGTTTTTTTGGGATAAAATGTTTCTGTTTCGCATCGCATAAAGAAATGTGTTCATTCTAGAAATCATTCTATGCCTTTAATTATATATTTAATACATACTAACAAATGACCTGTAAACAATTTTATAGGTGGTTCCATATCTTTTGAAGTTTCTTGACAACTTGACAAATATATACGTGCGTTTTAATCGCAAGAGGCTAAAGGGTCGTACTGGTGAAGAAGATTGTAGGATGGCACTCTCAACTCTCTTCAATGTATGGTGATGGTAACTTTCTTGTGTTATGATGGTTATTCTCTTTTTGTTACTTTCCATTGTGTGACCAACAGCTATGTCTTTCATGAATGATGGTGTGCATGATTGGTTGAGTTTGCGATTCTTGGAATGTGATTTTGGTTATTTGTTTATTATTATTTACTTGATTTTTTTATCTACATTTTGCAATGCCTTTGTATTTAAGGCTCATTTGCATATGTAGTTTTATTTATTGCCTTAGGCATTTTTATATTCAAGTCTTGTTAATAGAAGAAACGTATACCTATATGCTAAAAAAAAAAAGAATCAACAGACTTTTTCTAAAACAATTTTAAATTACTATAATATTCATTTGGGAGTTGCTATGTTGACCCCCTCATCTTTACTATCTATCCCCCACCTGTCACCCCTTATACCACTAACTCATCATCTACCAACCCAAAGCCTTGTGGTAAAGCCTAACTAAACCCCATCCCAACACCTTTCAATCCTAACGTTGTGTAAAAAGATTGCATGTGATACTAGATTGTCTTTTGGAGGTCCTCAAATACGCTGTTGAGTGTCATTGGTGGGACTTTAAAGTCTAACAATGTGTTTTCATGTTTCTTTGGATTTTGGAATCATGTTCTGTTTGGTACTATACTATAGTACCCAATGAAGGGGTGATGTTCAGGCTATAACTACTGAGCAACTTTATAATTTTTATGTTTTTTCCAACTGTGAAACCAAGATGTTGTTTAATATTCTGTTGTTAACCAATAGAGGGTTCATTCTAGTTGGAGCAAAGTTGTAATTAACTCGAATGTACCTTTATATACCTGTTTGTTTTTGGACTGTAAAAGTGTCAATGGCTCTATTAATATTTTCTTATGAAAAAAAGACTCCTAGTTTCTAATTACTCTTCACTAAGAATCAGAATGCTTCATCTGCAAGCATAGTGTTGACTTGTTAAATTCTTTTCGGTCATAGTATCCTCCGTAACTAATTTCTCTCTGGACTTACTCCTCATATGCTCTTGTTAACTTATAAATTAGTATATGTAAGCTATCATCTACTTTTCGTATAACTGTGTTAAGTATCAGAAAATTTTCTACCTGGCATTCATTTTCTCATCTTTCTTTCTGCATACCATGGTTATAATTCTTATGAGCATCATTATCAATAATTATTCTCTACATGTTGCCTTCAACTATGAGTTAGTTTGTTACTTTTCAGCTCTTGAGATATGCAGTTTAGATTCACCATTAACCTCAGCCGTTTGTAACTATTCAGTTCTTGAGATATGACTTAGTGTGTATTGTTTATTTTGTGTTTACAGGTCCTTTTAGTGTCATGTAAAGTGATGGCACCATTAACCCCATTCTTCACTGAGGTCCTTTATCAAAATATGCGGAAAGTTTTGAATGAGTCAGAGGAAAGCATTCATTTTTGCAGTTTTCCTCAAGCAGAGGGAAAGGTATTTGTTTCTTTATGAAGATCTTATCAAACAATTTTTTATTGAAACCTTTTGTAGTTATTTAAGCTATGAATTTGTCAAGGTAATATTTCTAATGTGGAACAATTAAATAATGCATTTTTAGCGCCGCCTTGTGTGGCCGACTGTATTTCAATGAACTTAATTTTGACATATTGATCTTCTAGATTCGTTGAGACATTTTCACTAAATTTTACTTCCATTACAGAGAGATGAACGTATCGAGCAAAGTGTTACAAGAATGATGACAATAATTGATCTTGCGCGTAATATTCGTGAGCGTCACAACAAGCCTCTCAAACACCCCTCAGGTGTGCTCATACCTTCCCATTTGTTGCTTTGTTACTTTTGTTAAACTGTTCTGCCATTTGTCTCTTCATATTTATCTAACAAACTGTCTTCTTTTCTGAACATTAAAGGGAGATGGTTATAGTTCATCCTGATGCAGACTTTCTTGATGATATTGCTGGAAAGCTAAGAGAGGTATATTGTGCTTATACGTTTTCATACATGTAGAAATGTCTAGTTATTGTGGTACCAACTAATGGTATTGTTTGTGAAAGTGCCTTTTTGCAATCTACATGGTAGAATAATAGTCTTTCAGTTGAAACCACCAATCTTTTACATCTAATTAACCTTTCAGCTTTGTGTTGCAAGTAATAGGTTCCTTTTTCTTTCTTTGTATTACATGTGTCTCTGAGTAAGTGATCTGAATCAATGGCCCTAGTATCTTCTTGTTCAATCATGAACATTCTTTTAATTATGGATTTACTACCACAAATGCTTTCCACAATCTTTAGTATTTAATGTCTATTCTTAAATAACCTAAATTTTCAATTATTCAACCATTTTGTTTTGCCAAGATGTAATTTGTAACAAGTAGTTGTTTCTCCGATATTATCTATTTTCTGACCATCTTCTCTATCTATCAGTATATAAACGTCTCTGCTAGGACCAGTATTTGATACCATGTTCTGATTTTCTTGAAACAATGTTTAGTTGGTTACTCCAGGTTCTCAGCTATTTTATTAAGTGCATCAAACTCCAAATTTCAATACAATATATTTATAGTCTTAGCGTGTGTGTGTGTTCTCCTTGGTGTCCTTGACTGGTTTGGTTGTGTAAAACTTTTGGGAAATCAAAGAATGTGGCTACTTGATTAATTGGTTTTGCTCACTTTGTTTCTTTTTGTTTTTTCTTGCGAAGGCTAACTTTTGTTTGGGGCAAGGAAAGTCTTTTAAACCACTTACAATCAACCTTGAACTGGCGGTCATCTTTTTTGTTTTGGTTTTTTTTTTAATGTATGTGATCTATAACTGTGGTCAGTAGTAGTAGTGGCTCATTGCAGATCCCATGTAGATGAACTCATTTTTTCTTGGTCTTGGGCATCAGTCTTCCCCAACTAACATATTAGCTGTTTTTCTTTTATCCCAGTATGTTTTGGAGGAACTTAATGTACGGTCGCTTGTCCCATGTAATGATACACTGAAATATGCTTCGTTACGTGCAGAGCCTGATTTTAGGTATGAACACTGTATACATGAGGACTGTTTTGAAAGTTTTTGTTTTTGTTTTTTTTTGGGTGGGGTGGGGGTTGAAGAATGTGCCTTTGTATTTATGTTTAATGGCTTTGTTCGTTTGTTTTCTTATAGCGTATTAGGTAAGCGGCTAGGAAAATCTATGGGAGTTGTTGCCAAAGAAGTCAAGGCTATGTCCCAGGAAAGCATTTTAGGATTTGAGAAAGCTGGAGAAGTTACTCTTTCTGGTCATTGTTTAAAACTGGCTGATATTAAGGTGCTCATCTTCCATTGCTAAGATAATATCCTTTATCTTCTGTTTCCGCTCAACTTCTTTGCCATGATATCTACCTCACTTCGTTTGACATTTCTTTTTTATTTTATTTACAATAAAATGTTTTGTCCCTTGCAATCTATTTACATCACAGCCATTTTATATTAGCAGTTAGATCAATATTCGAAAAGAAAAGCTTAGCTTTATGGTATCAATGGTATTTGCATATTATATTTAGGTAGCCTTTTTGTATCAAAAGGATGATGGAAAAGACGAAAAAGATTTATCTTTTTTGAGGACAGCATTTTTGGCATGTGTGATCTTGCCTAAAATGCCGGCAAGAACGCCATCAATAGCATAACTCATTGAACTCCATTGATAGCATTAACTCATTTTTATTGTCATTCCTTTAATTTCCAGGTTGTTAGGGATTTCAAACGTCCTAATGGAACGACAGAAAAGGAGATTGATGCAAACGGAGATGGTGGGAATTTTGAGAGATCTTGTGATATATTTTGTGACGTGTATCTGTATCTTAAGTTTTTCTTTGTTCTACATTCCAGGTGATGTTTTGGTGATTTTGGATTTACGTCCAGATGAGTCGTTGTTTGAGGCCGGTATTGCTCGTGAGGTATTTATGCTACTTCTTGTTGGGTTATTGGGTAAACTCTTACTTCTAATTATGTAGAAGTATGTCTCTTTTTCGTGCAACATTGTCTCATTTTCCTCAATCCATATCAGATTGTTAACAGAATTCAGAAGTTACGGAAGAAAGCTGCCCTTGAACCTACTGACATGGTGGAAGCGTACTTTGATTCTTTGGATCAAGACAAATCTGTCTCACAACGGGTTTTGCACTCACAGGTACTCCTTTTCATCAGGCAGTGTGTTTGGCCCTTTGTTGGTGATAGATGTGCATGCGGGAATTAATTCTTTTTAGTATCAGTTAAAAGAATTACTTACCATAAGAAATACAACATAATTCTGCAATTTGTCGGTATATTTACCTCTATGAATCATATGTTTCTTGATTTTAAGGGTGGTTTATTTCTAGGGTTTAAAGTTTTCTATTTGCTGCCTTCCCCCATTTCCCTTTTGGTTTACTTACAATTCTTCCATTTGGAGTTCTCTTTCGTACTTTTCTCCAGAATAGCACGCTCCCCCAAGGAAATCAGTTTTTGATGCCTGTCTTGTCAAAGATCATTTCTGATGACATTCTATGTCAAGGGCTGATGAGTATTTTGTATGCAGGAACAATACATTAGGGATGCCATTGGTTTGCCACTGCTTCCTTCTAGTGTGATGCCATCAGATGCTGTAAGTTGCTTTCACTGGATGCTGCTTTGTTTTGTTTTGTTTTTGGTGTGGAAGTTAAATAGTCACTTGGAAGTTGACCAAAATATTATCTCCCTGATATTTCGAACATGTTCATGAGACTTCAGATACGCATACTTTATTTTACCAGGAATATATTAATGAGTTCATTCGCATTGCAGTAGTCTCTTTCATCTTCTCATGGTGACACATAGGGTAACCGATTAATTTCTTGTCTTGATATTTTTAATTTCAATGTTTTACACATTGCAGCTCGTTGTTGCGGAGGAGAGTTTCCATGGGATTTCTGGCATGTCATTTGTTATCAGTTTGGCCCGACCTGCCCTAGTGTTCAACTCAGATGCAATTCTCCCTCTGTATTCGGGTTGGTACTCTTCCCCAGAACCTAAAAGAAAAGAACAATAACGAAATAGAATTGATTCTAGACATATTTAATATGGTTTGACGGTTGCACAACCGAAGTCTTATCCGCTTCTTCCTCTTACAAACGTTCCTCAATGGTTGCAGGAAATGCTGAATCCGTACGGTGTCTGCAAACATACTTGTTATCAAGGGATCATGCAACTTTGAAGTCTGAGTTTCAGGCTGGACATGGAAAGGTTTGTTTTACATTCTAATCCGTTAAGCTGTTCGTATCGCAAAAAATAAAAAAAATAAAAAGGCATGTCATTACGTGTGCTCATTCTGCCTATCATACTTCTCTTTGTGCAGATAACCGTTGATTGCATTGAAAACATTCCTCCAGTGGATTTGGTGTTGGGGGAACACGTATTCTTGTGTGTTGGAGATTTTAGAACAAAATCTCAGTAGGTTTTCTTTTTGGACAATATTTTTGTAGGTTGATTTTCTTTTCTTCTTTTGCTTTTCGTCCGGTGAAAAAAAAAATATACTAGAAAACAAATACGGGCCCTTTTCGTGGGCAGTTATAAATTACCATTCTTATTTGCTGTACAAATGTAAAGACGTACTGACTTTTGTAACAGCTTGCCCTAATTTTTGTTTCAATTGCCTTGCTTTGCTGTAAAAGCAAATACGATATTTGTTTATTGATAAGAGCCAAATGAAAGGAGGGAAACACCAAGTGGAGCTTGAATATTCATTCAATCTGATTCAAATGTACAAGAATAATAACAATAATAATAATTCATGAGGCCGATTGGACGAAAGTCTTGGGAAAGAAAACCAAAGATAACCAACATTTGTACGTTAGATGAACATAAAAGAATGGAACTGTTTCTCTATAATCAGATCAGAAGTACGAGATATGACAAACTTGAAAAAGGAAATAGAACAAAGAACAAAGAGCACCAAAATATACAAGCAAGAATTCACCCACTAGAGACGGTGGTGGCCTATCTGCCCAGCAACATTGCGCCACCGCTCTGGAACCAATCGTCGCTGCTGCATGAGCAGCTCGATGTGATCCAACCCCACTCCACAACATCCAGAGATGAAGCAAGATGTCTGATTTCCAACACAATTGGAAGAATAGTCCAAGCCCTCTTACTCACTCGTCCATAAATACTAAGGTTCAAAATTTATGAGTTAGTCTCCATGATCATTCTTCTATACCCCAAACCAGCCACTAGTTTGAGACCTCGAATGGCAGCTTCCGGTTCCGCATGGAGAGCAGAACAAGAAGTTAAGCCTTCAGTGAGACCCCCTACAGTTTTGCCGCCTTCATTCCGTAACACTGTTAGATAAAAATATAAAAAAGTGATAAAAGATTCATCCAACACAATTTCACTCTTATTTATTGCAAATAAGAGTTTCTGTAGTTTGAGTAGGATCCATTTCTGGATGAAAATATCTCTTAGTAACAATCTCTTGTGAAAGTTTGTTTGATATTTATGGTTGCGTCTAGGGAATCTTAGACTGCCTACATACCCTTTTGGGGATCAAGCCGTTTGTAGTTGTCGGAAGAATTTAATTGGATTTTCAAGGAGTGAATGACCCCTTGAAAGCATTTTATAATGATGTAAATAGAGGAATTTTGGATGTGGAAAATATTTATGGAATTTAGATGAATATGGTTAAATCAGAGATTCAATTTAAGAAAGTAGTTTTGTGGTTGCATCCAGATTGAATTTCTAGTTTGTCTGCGTATACCTTGGTGGAACAAACCGACGGTATTTCAAAAAGGTAATAATGAGTATATGACCAACTAGTAATTTAGTGACCTTTTTTGAATAATTTAGAATAAGTTGTGTATTCTGCTTTGCACCGAATTTGGGATTTCTTTGTGGCCCAACTGAATTGCGAAGCTTGTAAATAATAATGGGCTTTTGTCATAGGAAAAAGAAGGGCCCTGCGTTGCGGTGACATGTTCATGTTTATTAATTTGATGAGAAGCTTGGAGACAAACAGCAAAGTGACTTGTCTAAATCTCTTGACTCGTCGTTGACTCTGCCGTTGACTCTCGCTTGTTTTTTATTTGCAGATTTGGAACTTCCTTGAGCTGTAGGTAAAGGTGGGTTGGAGCTACACCGAGCCTTTTTCCTGTTTTTGGTATACTCAGCAACACCCGCAAGGACTGCCAACTACGCACATGAGGAAAACTTCTGTGTTTGAAGTTGCTTGTTTTTTGAGGGGGAAGAAAGCAAAGAATTTGTGGAGCTACTGTGTGTTGGCTCTTGGGTGGGCAGCATGGTTTGAACAAAATAAGAGAAACTTTCAAAACTATGTGGGAGGAAGTGGAGGGATTATGTAAGAGAGTTCGTTGTTGGGAATCATTGTGAGATTTAGGACTTGCCTTTCTTTCTTATTCATGCAGATTGGGGGGCGGCGGTGCGGCGGTCGTCTCTTAAAATTGATAGTGCTTAGTTAAGCTCTTAGGATATCTGTTTCAGATATTCTGGAACTGATTTTGATGTATTTAAAAGCAGTTTTGTCCTGGATTTTAATACATACTAACAAATGGTCTGTAAACCACTTTATAGGTGGTTACATATCTTTAGAAGTTTCTTGACAAGCATAGTAATATGAGAGAATGAAGGAAGAATGTTTGAAATAAAAACTTGAGAATGGAAGTTAGGGATTGTTTTTAGTTTTTACTCTTTGAACACTTTAGGTGCCATTTCATAAAGATTTTATCCTCATCTACCTCTTGCATTTGTTTTTCTCCTTAGAGAGAGAGAGAATCAAAATATTATAAGGGCATTTACAATCCTTTAAAACAATGACATTTTGATGCTCTGAGGTCACTTTAGACAGGACAGCCACTATGGTGCATATCAACTCCTCATCTGTTGTATTCCTCCGACGAGATATTTGGGTAAACAACTTCAACCGGCCTGACCAAATGCATTACTCTGAATAGGTTATTGCAGTAGATTTGGATGAAAGATATTGGCTGCATCATCCTCTCGAGACGATCAAACCAAATTTTGTAGTCCACAATCCCCCCAGTAAAACAGCCTGCAAACTGAAAAAAATAAAAAAAGTTTGCTTCAAAAGAAAAATGCAATTGTATGGTTGATATTAATCAGAAGAACTAATCTTCTTACAACTACTCCAGAGCTTGTTTTCTCATTGTGGTCAACCAATGCCTTCTCCCTTTAGACATGCTGCATGAACTACGCGATTGGTTGTAGAGACTAAATAAAAGAAAGAATGGTTTTTGAAGGCACTATGAGCACTTCATTGGATGACTGGTGCACAATTAAGGATGTAATGCCAATTACTAAGAGACATTCAGGATTCCACCTGCCTGCAGCTGTACTGGTGTGGTGATAATAGTACCCATATGCATAAGTCCATTTCAGCACTCTCCTACACATTTGTCAACATTTCTGTTGGTGTGTAATCCTTCAGCCGAGTTTTTGGAGCTAAAGGAATTGTGTCTGCTCTGTTTTTGTTTCTTTTAGTTGTTTATTTTTTTCTTCAGCTTTATTGTGCACCCTTGGATCACAGTCCAAGTGTTTTAATCTCTAGCATAGGATTAAGTGACATGTGTAAGCATCTAATAGGATGCTAGAACTTGAGCTTATTGTAAATATGGTACAGGGAAGAATATCTCTTTTTCTTCTCTCTGCCTAACGATTATACCCAAACAGTGGAACTGATATGAAATACACAGAAGCATTTTTCATTTCTCCAGAGCAACGCTCTCTCTCAACTTTTCTGTGTTTTTTCCTTCTTTGCTCCCAAAATATCCAAAATATGAAATGCTGAAACAAAGAATTCTAACATGGTATCAGAGCCAGGTTCGATTGCTGAGCTGGGCGTGAATCTGTGATTGAATCGGAGAAATTGGGTTTTTGTTTGAGCTAAACTTGAGCTCATCTGAAGATCGCGATTTCTCAAATCCAATGTCTAATATGGCAGGATCGAGTACCTCTGAGCTGCGAACTCCAATTTTCAATGGAGAAAATTATGAGTTCTGGAGTATCAAAATGAAAACTATTCTGAAATCTCATGGTTTATGGGATCTGGTCGAGAATGGGTTAAGTGACCTAGATCTGAAGAAGGAGAAAGAGGAGGCTGTAGACACTGAGAAGTCTATGGTGGTTCAGACTCTGATGAAGGATGCTCGTGCACTTGGATTGATCCAAAGTGCTGTTTCAGATCAGCTATTTCCAAGGATTGTGAATGAGGAAACTTCGAAGGGAGCTTGGGATATTCTGAAGCTGGAATTCAGAGGAGATAAACAGGTACGAAATGTCAAATTGCAAGGGCTGCGTAGGGAATTTGAATATACCCGCATGAAGGATAGTGAATCTTTATCTGTATATCTGGTTAGGTTGTTTGATATAGTAAATCATATGAAGAGTTATGGTGAGGAACTATCTAGAGAGAGAATTGTCCAGAAGCTATTGTTTAGTTTGCCTAAATCTTATGATTCTATCTGCTCTGTAATTGAACACTCTAAGGACCTTGAAACTCTTGAGGTTCAAGAGGTTGTTGCTTCACTGAAGAGCTTTGAGCTCAGATTGGATAGACACACTGAGAATTCTACAGAAAAAGCCTTCTCTAGTCTGAATGTTGGTAGGAAAAACCCTGAAAATGGAATTGCTTCTGCAGATCAAATACCTCAGAAAAATTGGAAATCCAATGATGGAAACAAAATGGCCTGCAAACATTGTGACAGATTTCATTATGGCAAATGTTGGTATGAAGGGAAACCTAAATGCCATGGTTGTGGGAAGCCTGGACATATGATCAGAGATTGCTATGGACACAAGAATGTGCAGAGAGTGAATTATGCAAATCAGGAGGAAGATTGTGGCACTTTGTTTTATGTGTGTAATGCTGCAACTGATGTGAAGGTAAATCACTCTTGGTATATTGACAGTGGTTGTAGTAACCACATGACAGGAGATGAGGGACTTTTGGTCAATATTCAAAGGAATTTGAGCTCTAAGGTGAAGATGGGAACTGGAGAAGTGGTCCCAGTTGCTGGAAAAGGGACTTTGGTGATAAAAACTAAGTTAGGCAAGAAGCACATTCATGAAGTAATGCTTGTACCTGGCCTTGAAGAAAATCTGCTTAGTGTTGGGCAAATGATGGAACATGGCTATCACCTTGTGTTTGGAGGAAATGTGGTGAGTGTTTATGACAATCAGTCACTAGAAAATCTGATTGTGAAGGTGCAGATGACAAATAACAGATGCTTTCCATTGACAATGATGCCTGCGAGTGAGTTGGTCCTAAAAGCAAGTGTCACACATTGCTTGCAGACATGGCATAAGAGGCTGGGGCATTTAAATGAAAGAAGTATAAAATTGCTTGAGAATCAAGGGATGGTTCATGGCTTACCTCACTTGGAGCAGAAGTCAGTTGTATGTGATGGTTGTATGCTTGGAAAACAGCATAGGGATTCTTTCCCTTTGGAATCCACTTGGAGAGCTTCAAACCCTTTGGAATTGGTTCACACAGACATCTGTGGACCAATGAAAACAGAATCACTATCTGGAAACAGGTACTTTCTACTGTTTACAGATGATTTTACTAGAATGTCATGGGTGTACTTCATCAGAAATAAGTCAAGTGCATTGGAATGTTTTAGAAAATTCAAAGCTATGACTGAGCTGCAAAGTGGGTATAAGATAAAAGGCTTGAGAAGTGACAGGGGTGGAGAGTTTCTATCTGGAGAATTCAACAAGTTTTGTGAGGAATCTGGTATTCAAAGGCAGCTAACTATGGCATATTCTCCACAGCAAAATGGAGTGGCCGAGAGGAAGAACAGGACAGTAGTGGAAATGGCCAAGTCCATGTTGCATGAGAAAGGTGTTCCCTATGAGTTTTGGGCAGAAGCTGTAAATACAGCAGTCTATTGCTGAATAGATGTCCTACCAAGGCTCTTAACAAGATAACACCATTTGAAGCTTATACTGGCAGAAAACCAGGAATTGCACATTTAAAAATATTTGGATCTCCTTGTCATGTGCTTATTCCTTCAGCATTGAGGCATAAGCTTGAAGAAAACAGTCACAAGTGTATTTTTGTAGGCTATGGTCTCTGTGAAAAGGGATATAGGCTGTTTGATCCAAGTACTAGGAAGATAATTCTGTCCAGAGATGTGCAATTTGATGAAAATGGCTTATGGAAGTGGGAAAATACAAATGAAGAAGAAATGGTAGTCCCTTTGCCTACTGAGAATCAAAGCTGTGAACCAAGTCAAAGCTTGGATACATCACTGCAAATGGATGAAGAAGTCACATTACAAGCTGAACCAAGTCAAAGCTTGGATACACAAACTCAAATAGTTGAAGATACCACTCTGCAAGATGAAGGCATAGGTGAAAGTTCTCATTTCTTTGATCACACACCAAAGAAATGGAGAAGTGTAAGTGAAATCATGGCTAAGTGTAATGTGTGTATTGTGGAACCTGAAAATTATGAAGATGCAGCTCAAGATGAGTCATGGAGAAAGGCAATGGAAGCTGAACTGGAAATGATAGAAAAAAATGACACTTGGGAAACTTGTCGAGAGACCATTTGCTAAACCCTGTGATTGGTGTTAAGTGGGTCTACAAGACTAAACTGAATCTAGATGGTACTGTGCAGAAAAACAAGGCTCGTTTAGTGGCTAAAGGCTACTCACAAAAGCCCGGTATTGATTACAATGAGACTTTTGCCCCTGTGGCAAGGCTAGACACCATTAGGACTTTGATTGCTCTTGCTGCACATAAGGAATGGAGCTTGTATCAACTAGATGTGAAATCTGCATTTCTTAATGGAGTTTTAAAGAGGAAGTATATGTGGAGCAACCACAAGGATTTGTAAAGAAGGATGAGGAAACAAAGGTATACAAGTTACACAAAGCTTTGTATGGTTTGAAGCAAGCACCAAGAGCTTGGTATGACGAGATTGATGCCTATTTCAACAAGGCTGGTTTCAAGAAAAGTCCAAGTGAGGCAACTTTATATGTTAAGGCAGAAGGTTCAGATGTTCTTATTGTTTCTCTATATGTTGATGACATAGTGTACACGGGTAGCAGCTCTCAAATGATTGAAGAATTTAGGAGAGATATGATGGAACACTATGAGATGACAGATTTGGGAGTATTACACCATTTTCTTGGAATGGGGGTGATACAGTCTAAACAAAGGATTTTCTTGCATCAGAAGAAGTATGGACAGAAGCTGGTTGAAAAATTTGGTTTGAAAGATTGCAAAATAGTGGCTACACCACTTGCAATGAATGAGAAGTTAAGTAAGAATGATGGAAGTGAGGCTGCAGATGAAGGAGAATATAGACAGATTGTGGGCAGTTTGCTCTACTTGACTGCAACTAGGCCTGACATAATGTTTGCAGCTAGCCTCTTGGCAAGATTCATGCACAATCCCACCAAGAAACACATGGGAACTGCTAAAAGGGTATTGAGATACATTCAAGGAACAATAGACTTTGGAATTGTATTTGAGAAAGGAAAAGAAACTACTCTTATTGGCTATTGTGATAGTGATTGGGCAGGAAGTGAAGATGACATGAGGAGTACCTCAGGGTATGTTTTTACTATGGGATCGGGAGTGTTTTCGTGGGCTTCAATTAAGCAAAATACAGTTGCTTTGTCTACAGCAGAGGCAGAATATATAAGTGCTGCAGAGGCTACTTCTCAAGCAAAGTGGCTGAGATTTGTACTTGAAGATTTTGGAGAAGAACAGATTGAAGGAACACAGATAATGTGTGATAACACATCAGCAATTGCTATGGCAAAGAACCCTGTTTTCCACCAGAAGTCAAGGCACATTAACAGAAAGTTTCATTTCATTCGAGAAGCAATTCAAGCCAAGGAGATAGAACTTGTCTACTGCAGAACTGAGGAGCAAATTGCAGATATTCTGACTAAAGCTTTGCCTAAGGACAGGTTTGCATACTTAAGGGAATTACTTGGTGTTAAGTCGGCTAAAGGATTAGAAGGGAATGTTGGTGTGTAATCCTTCAGCCGAGTTTTTGGAGCTAAAGGAATTGTGTCTGCTCTGTTTTTATTTCTTTTAGTTGTTTATTTTTTCTTCAGCTTTATTGTGCACCCTTGGATCACAGTCCAAGTGTTTTAATCTCTAGCATAGGATTAAGTGACATGTGTAAGCATCTAATAGGATGCTAGAACTTGAGCTTATTGTAAATATGGTACAGGGAAGAATATCTCTTTTTCTTCTCTCTGCCTAACGATTATACCCAAACAGTGAACTGATATGAAATACACAGAAGCTTTATTCATTTTCTCAGAGCAACGTTCTCTCAACTTTTCTGTGCTTTTTCCTTCTTTGCTCCCAAAATATCCAAAACATGAATGCTGAAACAAAGAATTCTAACAATTTCATGGCAAATCAAATATAATCTGATTTTATAACTACTTTCATATCTTTCAAAGAAAATAAATATTTATATATCTAACAAAAAAGATAGTTATGAACTAAAAACTCTCCTGCTGCCAGGCATCCGTTCAGTTATGAACTTGAGCTGAGACTCGGGTTCGCACTGTATGTCACTAAGCTTCTGCACCTGAGAAAAAGAAAGCCAGGATATCAACAAAGTAAATACTGAGTACTTCATACAATTCCATGATAGCTAGGGAAGTAACACAGGTACGATGAAAACAGACAATCCTACCCAACATCTTCAAGCAATCACACTTTTTGTTTCAATAACACAAACAATTTTTTATGGAACTGAAGAAACACAACTTTATTATTCAAATAAGGAAAATAAGTAAAAGTTGCTTGTGGACAAGAAGTCCATCATAATAATCCAACCAAAACTTCCCTCAGTCAGGATAAAGTACACCAAAAAGGTTTTAGGAATCCCAGTCGCATGAGGCTTTTAAGCCACAACCTATTCTCTATCGATAGGCTAATAGCGAGTTCTTAAAAATAAATAAATAAACAAAAGAAACACACGTTTCATATACCATAACATTCCAAATCTGCAAAAGTTTTAAATATGGTTCTAGTTCCACAATACAGTAGAAAGATGAGTGCTAAGATTATTTATGTTTTGAACACATTTGTTACCAGCTACTCCATTGAAAAATGAAGATAGCAAACACATAAACCCATGTCTGCATGTATGTGCACATGTAGGAATTTTTTTTTCTGCAAGTACAGATTCTTACATTCACAGTTTGCATTTGATGCCAATCGGCAAGAACTTTTTGCCTCGACTGCCAAGGAAGACCAAAAAGATTTTAGTGAATGATTAAACGAGAATAGGACATTTGTATAGGTCCATCAAGAGCAACATTAAGGCTTAGACAATTAAATCCATAAAACAGAAGAAACAAGCACAGACAAATACTACAAATTCAGGAGGCTTCCACACTTTTATGTAGTTGACCCAACAAAAAATACATAGCCAGGGTACTGTAACAGTATGAAAAGAAATGCATAATTCAAAGCATAGCAGAACAAACAGAGAGGAAAATTTGAAAAGAGAACTGTGAACACCAACTGATTTCTTGCCCAACATTCATAATAATGAGTGTATCCCTCCAGAGAATGCTTTGCCATTTCTCTTCTTCTCTCAGTTTCATTATACTAGAAACCACAATACAAACTCTTATAAACAGAAGAAAAGAAAACTATGCTCCCAAAAGGCAAAGAAGAAGAACAAATTCTCAGAATGAGCAAAAAGAAACTGTAAAATCCTTACAAATCCCTTTTTCTTAGCTGCTTCATAGTGGTTACAAGCATAGCAACCACCTGTCCTCTCACCATGATCCGACCGCAAGGCATAGCCTGCAAGATACATACATTCATTTAGAACCAGAACTTAACAATATAAGAGCATAAACAATAGAAAAGTTTCCTCAAACAATATTTTATTCTCAATGTGAATGATACAATGCTATTATTCATTATCAGATATGTTTTCAAACAACTATCAATTTCCATGGAAAAAAAAAAAAAAAAAAAAGAAAGAAAGCAAAGCCACAGAAAAATCAAATTTGCAAGCAAGGGTGTGCATGTCGTGTGCATGCACCCATGGTTTTTTCAGTAGGGCTTACACTTTGGACATGGCTTGGAATTGGGCTAGTATCCTGAGTGTCATCAACGAAAGTTATGCAAGAACAACAGAAGACGATATATGAAGTACCATTGCTAATAGATGCTCTAATGTAGCTACCCACAAGAACAAAATAATTATATGCGGAAAACCATAAAGCATGGCAATGGAAAGAAATATAAAACATCTAGCAACAGATCATAGCAAGAAACAGATTAGCATGGGATTAAAATACTAGGGATGTTCAGAAAATGGTGGAAAGAAAGGCGAAAAAGTAGTTGCAAAAACTGTTTGTTTATACAAAATGATGGTATTATATTTTGTGGAGGGGGAGGGGGGTTCAAGGGAAATTTTCTACCACTAAACAACTAAAGACAGCTTTAAACGTTAAAGAGACTTGCAATTCAAGGTCACATTCTTCATATTCAAAACAAGAGCTTAAGATGCAAGTTCTTGTATCTCAGTCAGAACTATGTAAAAAAACAACCCATTACTTGGCAATAAAAAAAATAAAGTACGAAATTTTGGCAGAAATTAAAGAATGTATTAATCTTTTGGGGTAAAAATGTTGTTTATACAAAATGAATACTGATCAGCGAGTCACTTGACGGTTCACCAACTCCAAAAAATCAGAATTTACAAAACTAACTACATGTGTACATAAGTGGGAAGAATAGAAACTATGAATGAAAGGAGCATGGTAGACACGAGGTGCTGCAACAGGAAAGCAAGGGCGACGGAGGATCACAGGAGCATGCTGCCAATATCGTTGTGGAGAAGGCCGAGAGGAAGGCACATGAATAACCACAGTAGGTGCTCTCACGGTTGTTGGGCTAATTCCATACAAATAACCTTGAGACATCCAGCCACAGACGTAAACGTTGCTTTCATCTTGGAGAACACAACAGCAGTCAATAAACTGTCCGAAACCAGCTTGATGAGCTTCACCAGAACACTCCGCATCAAGAAGCTTGACCCCCTTATCAATCCAATTTCCCCCCAAAGAATCCTCGGCAGTAGCGAGCCATAAACTTCACATCATAAATGGTGCCAAAAACTACACCAAGAGCATAGCAAACATCACCACTGAATCGGGCAGAGGCTTTTGGGTCAGAGCTTGAGCAAATACGCCAGGTCATAAAGGCCATGAAAGCAAACCCATGTCAAATCATGCAGAAAGCAGCGAGATGAGAGGTGAGAGCGAGAGAGAGAGAGAGTTGTGATCTTGAATATTGAAGCGATTAGGAAAGAAGAGAAAGATTTAGGCAAACAAAAAAAAAAAAAAAAAAAATAAAATAACAAATAAAAACTATAAATCCCTAGATCATTTATAATAAAAAATCAATCAACTATTTAAACATGAAACACACCCAAAATCAACACCAAAGTCAAACTTTTTGGGTGTGTTTTATAAATGCGTTTGAGTATGTGTATGATGAGTTTGGGTATGTTTATAAAGTGTTTTGGGTGTTGAGTTTTTTTATAATTTCCAACCTCCATTTTGGGTGTTTCAGTGAAACTCCAAAAAAAAAAAAAAAAAAAAAAAAAAAATAAAAAAAAAGGGGGGTGAAAATTGATTTGTTTTGCATATAGCCTAGCAAGCCGCTTAACATGTAAACCAGTTTAAATGTGGGTGTTCACGCCTCTAACCTAAAATTGTATTTAATTGATAAAACCCCTCACCGAAGTTAAGCAGAAAAAGAAATCCAAAAAGAAAAGGCTAATTAGTACATGCCCCCTGTGCTTTTAAGTATCTCATATTACACATGTGGGGGAAAACGTCTCAAATACCCCTCAACGTATAAATAACCGTCAATTTACCCCATTCCGTCAAATTTTTGACGGTCCGTTACGACAGTGGGCCCCACTTCGTTTAACCTTTAGATGTTCGAATAAGGGTTTCTCAGTTTGTAACAAAGGGGGAAATTGGGTTAGGGTCATTGGAGAAGAGGTTGTTGTCAAAATCTGAGGGTTCCTTCGATTTGGGAGAATTTTGGGAGAAGAAATCATTGTTTGTAAAACTCTGAGGTGGAGTTTGAAATTGGAAGATTGTGGAGTTAGAAGATTTGGGATGATGGAAACAGGAGAGAAGCAAGGAGAAGGCGGCATGGCCAATGGTGTCATTGTGGGAGTTAGCACGGATGCAGACTTCTTGGACCAGTTCAAAACCCCAGGCGAAGATTTCTAGTCTGCCCAAAGTCAAAGGTAAGCATGTTTAAGATAAAATTTTCAGTCATTGTTTTGGGCATCACAAATTGATAGAGTTGTTAGTGATGAAATTGTCAATGATTGATGAAATTTCAGTCATTTTACCACCAAATTTTCAGTCATTGTTCTTGGTTGATACAGGGAAGGGGAGAAAAAGGATGTAGGTTTTTTCAGTGGTTTGATGCAAAAATGTGGAGCGTTCAAAATCTTTGATACCTGGTTTGCGGAGAAGATTGATAGGGTGGAAAAGGAAATGCAAAGATTCGAGCAAAGTCAAAAAATGTGGGCTGCTATGTGGCTTTCCTGGTTGGTGGGGTTGCCATGAAGAGGAATTAGGCACTTTGGCAGTAGTTCAATGGGCATTGTAATTTGATACCTGATGTGTAATGTAATGTAAGGCATTTGGCAGTAGTAGCTTGGCAGTAGTTTATGGGCAAAATTTAATTTGAGAACAAATGCTAATTAATGTAAGACACTTTGGCAGTGTAATGTAATGTCATTGGTGTAATGTAATGTAGTTAAGTTTGTCATTTGTAATTTATTTAGGGGTTACCAAATGGGGACATGAATGGTAAGTTGTTTAGAGGTTACAATGGTGACATGAATGTAATGCTAGTTAGTTAAGTGATGTAATGCTAGTTAAGTTTGATATGTGATATGAATGGTAAATTGAATGGAATTTCTTGATGAATATAAGAAGAGAGATAACTAAATTCAGTTTTCCTAAAAAGTAGGACCCTGCATTCTTTGCCAAAGTTTATGGTGGATATGTAGCCTTGGAACTGCCAAAAGTTTACTGGAATATGGAAAGCAAGAGGCCAAGCCCAAACTAGCAAAAGCACCTTGTCATTATAAGCACAAAACCCAACCAGAAAGGTTCCCAAGCCCAACCCCACAAAAACAGAAACAGGGTTCCAAACGACGAACCACCAAACCAAAAACAGGTGCCCACCATAAAACACCAAACGGCCACTTATGAAAATATAAGCACAAACCAAAACAGTCCAAACAGAGTCCAAACACCAAACAACCTTAGGAAAATATGCCACAAACCAAAATAGGTTCCAAAATAGGTTCCAACCCAAAACATCACATTAATATTCATGTTTCAAAACAGGTCCAACCATAATGTTTCCAACAATAACATACATCAACATATTCAAACCATAACATACATCAAATTTTTAGGTTCCAAAACAGGTCAACCGATAATAGGTTCAATACCAGACAGACATCAATATACAGGTTCCAACCAAACGTTTCCAACCTAACCGACATCAATAATCCAAACCAACAACCAGGGCGGACCATTAAGTCTTCCAACAACATCAAGGATACAAAAAAAAAGGGTCTCTCTGACAAATTTTGACAAAGAAAATATATGATCTATTTCATCCTCGTCCTCCTACGTTGTTGTACTCGAGGAAATTTGGCATGGTTCCGGGCTGTGAGATGGCTGGGATTGAAAAGCTTCAGACTGCTCAGATGGCTGAGATTGAAAAGCATAAGCTAACTTCAAATGGCTGAGATTGAAAAGCCGCGCGGGCTCACCGAGCTGGTTGGGGATAGAGAAGCAGGCAGCTATTGAGGATGCCTGGATGGAGCAGGCCCTGGGAAGGGTGCTTTTTCTCTGCTAATTGCTATACCTGTTGGCCGGCCACCTAGGTCTCCCCCATATCTACTTCTTACCTAAAAAAACATAAATAATTAGAAAGTTTCATGATATAAAATTTGATGAGTGAAACACTAAGTTGAAACACTGTGGCATTACTGCAAGTTTGCACTTTGGCAAATGTGCCTCTTCCTAGTAGGCTTTATGTGGGACTTTCTAGGTCTCCATAATAACAGAGTCATCAAGTCAGAAACCAAATCAAATACATTAATGTAAAGAGCAATAATTCTAAAAGACCACCATACCTTCTCCAACCTCTACTTAGATTATTCGCCCTTCTCCCACAGCAAATTGGCACACTTTAAGGATCCATACCTAGGAAGCTATAGGGATTAGCAGGGGTGGGTTAGGTGCGTAACAGCTTGTTTTCTTATCTTCTTACTGAGCTACCCAACGCGCTGTTAGTGGTATTCGGAGGGGAGTAAGGAGGGTTAAAAGTAACCTTCATCCACTGAGCTATGCGCGATGTCATTGTAGGCTATAATCATTGGTTCATAAGGTCTCAATAAGCCTCTTCTTGTGACAACTGCACTCACAAAAAGTCCTCTGGATTCTCAGAAACCAACTTATTGCAGCACTTGCATGCAAACATTGGTTATTTCCATTTCAAATCCCAAGATGGATCATGAAAAACACGAGATGGGCATTCAACAATCAACAGTAAACGGTGCGTGGCATTGGTAGAATAGCTTCAAAAGGATTATCAAGCGCGCTTGAGGAATGCCACCAGGGAAGCTTGTCCTTAGTGTTTACTAAGATCTTTCTGAGATTCTTGGCCCAAGATTGCATGGCTCACTTTGCTTCACAGGAGAACCATTCTTCACCCAGCCCCTCAAAAAACATTATATACAAACCGAATGAGCTTTCTAGCATACGTCAGGATCTAGGCTGTCTCGGGGGGACGACCATTTATGCTTACGGTGAATGCCTACATAGATTGTTCATAAGCTGGACAATTGGAGATCAACTCGGGAACATGCCCGGACTCCAATGCCTAGGATCTTTCCTCTAAGAGCCAAATCATGTGCAGGTTTAGCAACGTGCAAAATCGTGTATTCTGCAGGAAACCAAGGGCAGGTTGTGGACCCTGGCAATTGTTCCATTTCGAGTATTCAAGGCCGGCAAAGACGTATCTGTTCCCACTAGACGTTAGCAACACGACACGGAGGTTTCCAGACGACCAATGTGGTAGCTGCTCTGGCGAGGGAACTAGGAGCCGCTCATCCGACGCAGACGAAAGCTCCACGCACAATTTTGATTGCGAAGTGCAATCAATTATCCATACCCTGGTATTCGTAATATTGAGAGCACCCACGGCCTCAAAATACTACAAATCCACTAAACGAAGACACTGGTTGAAAAATTGCTATCAAGCTCTGGCCAGACCAGAATAAGCGAGAGGCACACGTGAGCAAGCAAATCCCCGGAAGTATGTCTATGCTCGCAGAAAGAGCGTCCAATGCCGCAGGGAAAATAGCATCTTGCCGGCAGGTGAAACGGACCGCATTTTGTGGAACATGACGCAAACATCCAGCAACCCACCGTCCTCCCACCCCTCTAAACACAGCCTTCTTGCGGCTAGGCAAGATCAAGATGATAGCCATTCGTTTGAAACAAGGATAGATGGACCTGGGAGTAGCAGCCCAGTTACCCAGGATGTCAGAGTAGGATGATAAAACGCTATACTTACAACACATATCTAGTGCTTAACCTCAGGAGGGACCGAATATTCCCAGGCAATACGTATATTGTGTCACTATAAGCCATCATTACATTATGTCCACACCTGCAATGCTCCGAACTTGCTCTGTACACCGGCTCTAGATGTGGGTAACCATAGGCCTGCGTTGAACGTCTAAAAAAAGAAGAGCAGCAATTTGGATGGCTTAATGCAGAATTACTATCAGACCCAGCACAGAGACAAACGGTAATGAATGTCGACCCTTTACCACCATGCTGTCGGAGTCTACTGTGTCTTCAACCTGCACGGTACGTGTACCAAACATGAAGCAGGATAACAAGGACTCCCCCAAACACACAACTTTTTTTTTTTTTTTTTTTTTTTTTTTTTTTTTTTTTTTTTTTTTTTTTTTTTTTTTTTTTTTTTTTTTTTTTTTTTTTTTTTTTTTTTTTTTTTTTTTTTTTTTTTTTTTTTTTTTTTTTTTTTTTTTTTTTTTTTTTTTTTTTTTTTTTTTTTTTTTTTTTTTTTTTTTTTTTTTTTTTTTTTTTTTTTTTTTTTTTTTTTTTTTTTTTTTTTTTTTTTTTTTTTTTTTTTTTTTTTTTTTTTTTTTTTTTTTTTTTTTTTTTTTTTTTTTTTTTTTTTTTTTTTTTTTTTTTTTTTTTTTTTTTTTTTTTTTTTTTTTTTTTTTTTTTTTTTTTTTTTTTTTTTTTTTTTTTTTTTTTTTTTTTTTTTTTTTTTTTTTTTTTTTTTAAAAGTTTAACATTCTTGATAACTTTTCATTACTAATACTGAACTAATCAAACATGGGAATGATAGATAATTACATTTCCCAGCATTCCCAAACGTGTGAATGAACATCCTCCATTCTCATCTTGTAGGATTAGACATGGAAAGTTTATTCTTAAGAAATTCAATCCGCGAACCAAACGGGCCACAAGATCAATAGTTAAGAAAACAATAAGCACAATGATTAAATTTCAACAAGAAGAAACTGTGGCATAACATAACTAAGCTTTGAATAATTAGAAAATGGCTACAATGTGTCTTAGTAAAAGAAAATTAGTTACTCATAGTCATGGGAACCAAGCAAAACTACATGGACAAAGAAATGAAAAAGGATAGAGAGTTACGACCACTCTTCCCTTGCTCCAAGAGTGAATAGCGATTTTTCTATGATCCTTTGAGCAAAGTCGATCTCTCTTATTTTAAAGGAACCTAAACCCTATAGAAACTGGGCCTAAACAAGTGATCTTACACGAAAACTTAATTGCCAAGTTGTGTAATGGATATCTCAATTCATCATCAACCTAAAATTGATGAATTGAGCTATCAATTAGAGTTGGGTACCTCAAACCCCAAACTAATTATGTAAGAGATCCATTATTCCTTTTTAGGCCTTGTTCACCATATTTCATACTGAAAACTCTCCTCCCACATCACATTAAAGGTAGGCAAGCTCTAGAGCTCCTCCAAGGCCTATTTCAGTGGAGTCCTTACTTGCACGCCTGATCAATACAAATCATACGTAATCTGTTCAATTTAATTTTATGGTAGCTAATACTCAGTAAGAGAATTTATGCAACTAAAGTAAATTGAACAGATTTTTTTTGTAACAGAGTTGACGAAATTGGGCACAACTACAGAGAGAGAGTTCATGAGGGATCCGGTTTCTTTGCTTGGATTCTTTCTGTCATGATCTGTTTGACTTCTCCCCTTCATGTGCCATCTCATTAAAATTTAATCCAAGGGATTTCAAGTTATACACATCCTCTTTAACATAAAACCTCAATTTCCTAATAATTAAAAAAGAAAAAAAAAGAAAAAAAAACCTAACTCTAAACTAACGTGAAACTTAACATGGTTGGTTTCTCTTCTCCCTTATTTTTTAAAGTCTTTGTAAGCATTCATTTTCTGGATCCCTCCAAGTTGGGTTGGAGTATTTGTTTTTAACGGGAAACATGGTGAGCTTGAAATTGGTAATTTATTAAAAGGATTCAATTTAATAATATTAAAACGAACAAAAGGAGACTAATATGCTTCCATCTTTAAATCCAAAACATGGTGAGCTTGAAATTGGTAATTTTGGTTTCTATTGAACCTATTATTTTATTCCAGAGAAAGGAAGGAAGAAAGGTAATTTTTGGGGGAGACTTGGCAGAAAGGAAGAAGGAAAAAAAAAACCGAAAGTATTGGTGGAGTAAAAGACAAAGAACGAAACAAAACAAAAAAAACTAAACTGATTGGGGGAGACGTTGTAGAGAAAATAAGTAGGGAATTGGGGGAGATGTTTGCAGATAGGAAGAAAGTTTCACGTTAGTTCAGTCAAGAGTTTTTTTTTCTAAATTATGAAGAAATTGTGTTTTTGTTTTAAAGATTAAGTGTCTAACATAGGTCATCACTAAGAGAGGGCTAAATCCTCATTTTTACCCTTTCACATCCAAAACCCAAAATCCATCTCTAGTAAATGGGCTATATGTGCCATGTAACCGGGTCAAATCCAGTCAGCAGGCCGAAAGGGCTCTATGCTAGGGCAAATGTAGGATGGTTCTTGAGTGGGTTATATCTTATTTTATTATTATTTTTTTCAAAAGCAAGCAAGCCTTTTGGATTCTTCAAAAGCCTACGGCTCTTTCCACCATAGTATGTGTTTAGGCCTAAATTGGCACGCCTAGCCCAACAAAAAGAAAAGCCCATAATAAAAGCTACAAGACTCAAGCAGTTTGGGCTTTTGCAAAATGGAAGGCAAAGCCCAAAGTCCAGAGAGGCCCAGCCCAAGACTCATCAAAATGTGGCAAGCAAACTTGAGCCCCAAAAGAAAAGCAGTTACCTTTGGGCTCCAGACAAATCAGAATGGGCCCAGCATAATTAAAAGAAAAAAAGGGAAGAGACCCGTTTTCAGAACCCACGTGACTACCAAAATGGAAAAGTCAACAAACTCAACTGAGTTGATTGAGAATTAATTAAAGCAGGTCAGTGGCAAAAAGACTTCTCTGAATTTCTGCTACCAGAAGATCAAAATCCTTCTTATATATTCAAAAATATTGATTTCACTCCACAGAGGCACCATCCTTTCAAGAGATACGCATGCCATATTTTCAAAAAGGAGATAAGCAGGAGGACAGAGAATTGTTCATCTGGGAAATCAAACTAACCATCACGGTTGAAATCTCACAAAGGGCAATTAAAGTGGGAAAAGGAATTAGGCTTCTTTTAAAAAAAATAGGGAAGTGATCTCAAAGATTGATTGATAAAAAGCCTATCTGACATAATTAAATTAAATCATTCCCTCTCTTGTATCTCTTTGCAGATCTTTGAAAGGATTTGCCGCCCATTATTAAAAGAACCACCCTACTCTTGAAAACATTTCTTATAAATACAAGAAGGAGTGAACAGGGCAGAGGACAATCAATTCTACATCCAAATCATCAACCAAACAAACAACTCAAAATCAACCAGAAACTCACTTGAATTCCAAGTGAAACCAGCTTTAGATCAGAATTCCCAAGGTTCAGACTTAGAAAATAAGTCATTTAAAACGAGATTTCTCTCGTTACAAATTTGGTTCAGCAAAAAACCAAGACAGGTAGAGCTTGAGCTTTTCCCAAACATGAAAACCTCAACAAATTTCACAGTGCAGTCTCTAGCCCACTAAAGTCCTCAAGAATAGCCACTTCTGCCCTCTTAGATTGAAGAAGCCGCAGTTCTGCCCACTCAAAAGCCTCACAAAATCTTGAAGTATATTAAAGCTCTGCCAAAATTGACCTTTGGTATCGATTTACAGCTGAAGCTTAGTAGTTGAAGTTGTTAACAGTTTAGTCCAGCCTAGATATTTCCAGTCCAGCCCGGATTAGAGCCTCCCATCCAGCCAGAAATGGAGTTCCAGTCGTCTTTTTATCTTTCTAGCGTGGGTATTTATTTTTATAGTTTTGTAAAAGGCAGTTCTGCCTAAGACAGCTTAAATTCCATCAACCATTCTGGCCAGAACAACCTCTTTTTACTGAGATAAATTGTTAAAGTCCTCACCAGTCTGAGGCAAGAAACGAACTTACTTGGGAGATATTCCTCACCCAAATTCACAATCATTTCTTTATAGAAATCAATGACTTGGGGCGCAAGTTATCTATTCTAGAATAAGTCTGTTAGAATCTTCATTGCTAGCAGTGGCACGCTCATACACCAAAGAAAGCTGACTTGTTGACCAGTCAATGGTTTTCAAGGTAGTGGGGAACTTTTCCCTTCCATCTCAGGAGAAATCACAAAACGGGGTGAATAGTATGAAATATCGATAATATCAACGAAATATCGAGGATATTTCAGTTTTTTCGAATCACGGATATTTCGGAACATATCCATATACATATCATATAAATATCGACAATAATATCGGAAAATATCGATGTCGATAATTTCGCTCACACTTCAACAATATTTTATCAAAATATTGATATAATATCACTTATTCCTCCAACACCTTAACCACCATATATCACTTATGTTTTAGTGATAATATGCTAAAATATTTATATTTATATTGGTGGCATGTTAACAATTACATGCAAAACTATTTTGGGGATTTATCATTTGATGAATACTCTTCACAATACACTTACTCTACAGATAGAGATGATGAAGATAGTAAAAAAATTGAACCTCATAGGAACTCTATGTGGTACTAAGTCACTCATATATCTTACCATGCAATGTATAAAGTGTAAAATATTGTAGTAAATCATTGTATATAAATGATTATGGTGTGTTTAATCTTTTTTCATTAATTACTATATATTTTCTACACTTACAGTGTTTGCCAGCTCGCTATATAATCAACTTAAATCAGTTAAATCCATCATGTAATGCATTTCCTTCTATTTTTTTTTATATTTATATAAACTAATAGATAATTTACTAAATAAACATTCTCCAAAGTTTCAATAAAAATTTCCAAGTTTTTCTTACAATTTCAGTGGTTTTATTCAATTTTTAGAGATATCGATAATATCCCGATATTTCCACTGAAGTTTCTATGTTTTTAGACTACTGATATTTCCGATATCATCGATATTTTAGACCATGCTTTCCACAAATTATGCAACGCTTGCCCATGAGGTTCTCTCAGTCTGCTGACTCAAATGATGTCAGCTAGCCATATATATATATATATATATATATATATATCAAAAAATCCTAAAAATTGTTTTTTCTTTATTTTAATTATAAAAAATCCTAAATTTTTTCCATAAATACCAATCTCATTTCTACATAATTTCTCACATTCTTTTCATCCTTCTACATAATTTCCCACCATTTTTTCATCCATCCAACAATGCCAAGAGATGATGCTTATCTTTTCTAATTTGTTAGTTGTTTTAAAATTATACAATATATGTAAAGAACATACTAAAAACTAATTAAAACATTGGGGCGGCTATGATTTAGCCTAACACTGCTTGTGACAGTAAAAATATAGCCCATCACTATTCCTTACGAAACTATAATTTTATGAGTGTGCTATATAGAGGGAAGAAGTCAAGCAGATCATGGCAGAGAAAATCGAGTTGAGAATTCAGATCCATTCAGGAGGATTAATTGAGGCAAAATGAGAACGAAGTTATAATTGGGGGCAGATCAATCGTTAAGCCTAAACAAAAGCATAAAACTAAAAGTAGTTAAGAAAACACGGAATACACGCTTCACATGTGAATCTTCATTTGTCCATCAGTCTCACGCCTGCAAATAACACACCGCGTCTGATCTGTTCGAATTTAAACAAAGCGGCAAACTCAAAATACATTTAAGTAAAATAACCGCAACATCACGAGCTGAAGCATCTTCCTCATAAACTATTACCATGTCATACTGTCCCAAGCATGAAGAACTACCGTTCTCTTTTACCTACACTCACTTCGATTAGCATCAACACAACACCAGCAGAGCTAAATAATGTATGACCGTGATTCTACATTGTCTGCGAAACCCCCGCTGTTGCATTAATCCCAAAAAAAACATAAACAAAAACAAACAAAGGGGCATATGTTAGGATCAACTTGTCCATAACAGAATGATAAATAAAAATTTAATATGTACGATAATTGTAATCTAATAGACTAATCAAGCAAGGGTGGTGTGAGCATTCTTTGGCCACAATGAAGGATCATATGAGACGAACAAACTTAAAAGACTAATTTCGCCACGCAGAGTGCATAAAAAGAGAGGGGGGGAAATTTAAAATTTGTCCTCTAATTCCCATCCTCAGTAACCATACAAAGGGGAAGTGCCTGTGAAAATAAGATTACAACTTTTTATTGTGGGAAGTAAATAAAAAATTTGGCATTCAAGATCTTTAAATCTGGTAACTTCATTGCTAAGATTTAATTCTTATCAGGAAGCTATGTACAATTCCCATATAATGTATTCCTATCACCCATAAAGACAATGCTAGAGTCGGGGCTCAAAAATCACAACTCAAAGATACCAAAAAACATCATTACAGAAGTATCATCAAGGCCTCAAATACCTTAAAATAACCTCCAAGACAAAGACACCTTTATTAGATTTAGAAACACAAAATATCAATCCTACAGGCACTACAAACTGCTATGTGTGTTTTCAGGGGTTTCATCGGTGAAGGCACTGAGAAGAAGGAGAACGCTCTTTGGAGATGTGCCATCTTGGCTCTTTTATGGTGTGTGTGGCTGAAACAGAATAACAGAATCTTTGAAGCCAAGGAGGAGGTTGTGGAGCCAATCTGGGAGACGATTAGACGCTTTGCTTCTCTGTGGGTATCTTTGCCTAAACATTTTGAAGACTTTTCCCTTAGAGAAATTCTTATTGATCCCTCTTGAAAAAAAAGAAAAAAAATTATTCTTGATGGAGGGTGGAGTGTTGGACTGAGTGTATCTTGGAAACCTGCAGTTCCTAAGTTCTAGTTTTCCTGCTTCTGATATTTGGCTCTTTAACAGTTTTGTTCATGTCTACTAGTTTTTATGTTCTGTTCTTGTAAGCTGAGGGTACTTTCTATGGGCTGCTAGTCCACTTTGATTGTACTCTTCACCTTATTAGTACAACTATTGTGTTTCCAATAAAAAAAAAGAGGAATTAAACCTACAAATTGCAAGCAGAATGGAAAGAGAACTCAAAATCCATGGTTCTAAAAATATTACAAATGATTCTCTTTCAATTAATGATCACTGTATTCTGACTTGTGAGTCAACTTTCATAATACAGAGTTATTATTTAGAAATATACAAATCAATTCGTAACAGAAGACAAAAAGAACAATCAACCCTGGAGACAACTTTATACCAGGGTTTATCTGCAACTAAATGGAGAGAAAAAAAAAAACAAACCCTAACTAGGCATCCTATTACTAGTATCAATGATAAAAATAACATTGAAACGTTTAAAATGCACATAGCAAGGTTTGACATAAAGTACCTGGGAGCTCTAACCCTTTGGTAATATCTTTAAGTGAAATAAAGCTTGGAATAAGGTCCCATGCCTCCACAACCATTGCAGGTAACTCATCAACCTCAACCCACACAAGTCCCATTGTTGCCGGAGTATAAGCGTGCAAGTGAGACAAATGTAACACCAAGACTTTCCCTTTCCCTGTAAATTTCAATATTTTAGTACCAAAACAACCAAGTGGGTCTCTAATTTCATGCTCTTTAGTCCAAGACTCCTTCACACCATAATCCTTCATCACCCAAACATTGATTTTAACTCTGGAGCTAATAATGAGGCAGAGCCAACCTTTCAACACTCCAAGCTGAACACGAGTTTTTTTCAGGTCCAAAGAACAAGGCGGTAGTGGCAACTCTCGGAAGTGCTCGCTTTCAATGTCGAAGGCACATATCAAAAGAGAACCCTCACTACGCCGCCGACCAATCCAATGAAGAAACCCATTGAGATAAATCCCATTACCAGTTATACCAAAAGAGTTGACAGAGGCCCCAATGTCTCTCCAAATCCCAGACCCCACATTTAAAACCATTGCTTGCACCTCGGACCCTTTGATTGGAGACATAATCCGGACTACTTTATACACATTACTGATGGAACTAAACCCAAATCCATACTTACCAGGAGAAGTTCTACAAGGATTAGTGGGTTCTGGAAGAGATAAAGACTCACCCGTCACGGGATTAGATATGTACAGTTGGTTGCTGACGTGAGAAAGCAACTCGTGGCAGAGGAAGCCATTGCAGGAACCCACAATGTGTATACCCCTACTACTCTGGACATTTGGCTTTATACTGAAAAGCTTCAACACGACGTCGCTCGAAGCCCGGTTCAGGGTCGAAGCCCTGTCGAGGTCGATGAAGAAGTGCCCAGTGTCCTTGGATGTGGGTGTGCGGTAGCCAGAGACCAAAAGGGAAGCGGGCGTTCGTGAGAGTAGGTCACTGGTGAATTGAGGGTCTGCAAGCCAACAACGCCAAGACTTGCACACACGCTTGCATTGAATGAGCGTTTTGGTTGTGATTTTGCAGAAGATCTGCACCATTAAGTGGTCTGGCAATTGCAGAATGTAGGATTTCTGATCGTGCTCTTCTTCTCCTTCTTCATCATTTGGGGCTCTCTTTGTGCAGCACGGTTTAGTTTTCTTCATCGTTGAAGCGGTGTCGTTTCTGTACGGACTAGGGCTAGGTCGGAGAAGAGCCTCCTTGTAGTAGAGAAGGAGCGTTCAAGCTAGAAGTGCTCGCTGGAGCAGAAGCAAGAAGCTGCTCTACCAGTGACCCGCCCCACTTCAGCTCAACTTTCTACCTTTTTCTGTTTAACGTTTTTTCATTTAGCTGCTCATAAATAATTTTTCGAAATATAGATTTTTTTATTGTCTGAAGAAAAATTGAAGTTGTATACCACATTTTCATACCACTTTACGTAACAAATAAGTAGACAGTCATATCAATTAAAAAGTGTCCAAATATCTTAAAAGAAAATAAAATATCAAATTAATTTTAATTGATATGGATGTCCACTTCATCTGCCACATAAAATAGTGTAAGAATATGATATATAAATGTGATAAGAGTAGCATTATTCATTTTAAATTTATAAAGCCTCGTTCTATATTGTGGGTAGTTTTTAGTGTCGCATAATTTATGAATACAACTGTCTTCTTCTTGTTTTTTTTTATCGAAGTAGTTCAATTCATTCCAATGAAAGGCATTATCCAGCCAGAAAAAGTACAAAAATAAAAATAGCTCATCACCTAGTACAAGACCTCAGCCCAACATAAATCAAAATAGAAACATCTAGCCCAATATAACACAAAGGAAAAAATCCTAAATCTAAGAAGCTAGAGCTGCTGCACCCACTTTCCTCGCCGCTATCGCAGATGCACGACCACAAAGATGGGTAACTTGTACTCAGACATACTAATGCTTTGAATAGGAAATAGTGTTGGACAAACCCACCCGCACAAAAAGTCCTACCATAATCAAATAAGTACATGCAAACTGAAGAAGGTGAAAGCAAAGAGAAAAAAGGAGACATAAGCTCCAAATCCGAGATGAAAATCAGGGACAAAACACCCATTACTCTCAATTTGGAGGAGGGGCACATAGCAATCTATGTTTTCTTTTTCTTTAGTTCCTTCCTTCTTTTTTTATTTTATTTTATGTTTATTTTTATGAATGCAATCTCCTTAAACCCTAATTTATGAATTCAATCTCCATACCATTTGACCAAGAAAAGCATTTTTTAAATATATCATTTACGAAACCTTCAAATTTACATACATATGCATATACATTCCATCTGAAATTTTGTAAAAATTCTTCACGGATGACACACATGATTATCACCTTTTCCACAGCATATTTGTTCAACACTTTCACTCAACTCTCTCCTCTCCGTCCGCCTCATCTTTCTCTATACGCCTTATCCCTTCACCTCATCCTTTTTCCCCGCACTGGTTCTTTCTTGTTTGTTCCTTCCTTCCAAACCATTTCTGAAGTTCACTATGAGCTATTCATAAGCCTTAGAAGTTGAACGTACCAAATTCAATACCGAGCCTAATCTTTTATGAGTAATGCTACACTTACCACATTATTATCCCACATTTCTATACCACATGATGTGGCATGTCCATATCATATGACATATCAATTAAATGAATGAAGTGTATTTTAATAAATAAAATTAGAAAACAGAAACTAGTATTTTACATGATGTGGTATGTACACATCAGCCGCCACATCATGTAGTATAAAAAATGTGGTAAGACTAGTATTATTCATCTTTTATTCATGTTTCATCCGGTTCTCGTAAGTTTGAGATCGAATGAGCCAAAGCAGGCTAAGCACACACGAACTTGAACTATGAAGCAGATTTCAATCCTAGACACGATTACAACCTTATGCAGGGTGTGCTGCGCAACTGCTGCTTCACACTATTACCTTCCAGGACTTTAGTAAGAAATGCACACAAATTTCAAGCATTCTTGTTTGTCACTTAGAGCAACTCCACCCATTTGCCCTTTGCCATGGGCCGGGGGGGGGGGTGGGCAGGGCACTATTCACGTGAATAGTTGCTGCCCTTGCAAAAGGTTGTGGTGTTTCCACCAATTGCCATGGCAACAACTATTCACATGAGATATGACGAGAGAAATTTGTATAGAGTTTTGGTGTGAGAAGTGAAAACTACAATTACGTACTTATTATAAAAAAAAATCTGAAATTTTTTTTATTTTTTGTAGATTTTTTTTGTTGCTGACGTCAGCAAACTAGGTATGGACCTAGGGCAAATCTTGCCTGAGGGCCAGCCAGGGTTCGTGGGCCCCATATCATGCCAAGGCAAGCCAGGCCCGCTGGAAATGGATTTTTGGCGTTGCCTCCCCCCAGCCTCAGGCTTGGGCTCATGGGTGGAATGGCTCTTACTGTCAATGCCGGCCTTGAGGGTGGTCAAGGAGCATTTGTAGGCCCTAAATTTTATATATATATATATATATATATCATATATGCACCAAGTTGAAGAATATGATTTTAGAGGAGAATAATTTCAATAGTGTTTATACCAAAATGAACAGCCAATGAACATCGGACACGTGGACCAAACCCGAGCTATGGGAGCCTTCAGCACCTACCTTCGGTATCATTCCTACCGGTCGCATCATTAGGGCAACCTCACCCCCAGGGACACGTGGCAGTCCCACAATTGATATCCACAGTCCCATATCGAAACTCTAAACAAATTGCACACTTCCCAAGGCCTATAAAAGAGGACAGCTACCCCAGTTTGGAGGTAATCAATCAGAACTCACGGCATACTGCCTATTGATCTGTAGTTCAAACTTACTAAATCCGTACTTACTTAAGCATCGGAGAGCCCTCGGCCAGTACCACATCGGTGCCCTAGGTCTTACCGTGCGTTTGCTATCTTACAGATTGAACGCCCTACTGAGGCCACAGCATATCGAAGGAAAAATAAATCACTAAATTAAGCGGGAAAGTGCCGAACCATTTTTCTGCGTCAACAGTTTGGCGCCGTCTGTGGGAAACGATAACAATCAACCTACAATTCCTAAAAAACATATGGGAACCACTTCAGGACCACAGTTCCTATCGGAGGATGGATTACCATACGGTATGCCAAGTGGAGCAAGCCCCGCGCTGCACCCTAGCACCCCCTTCGGTAATCCTCCAGTGCTTCAGACCACGGTCGAAGCGGAGCTTCTGGCTCAAATGACTTCCCTTCGTAGGGAAATGGCTAAGCTCCAAGAACATAACAATCTCCTCTCGTCCAAAGTACACGAAACCCCGCGGTTGCTTAACCAGCAGGAAACACAGAGCATTCAGGCTACCGAGTCTTCCCAGAGTCTGCTGACCCCTGGTCGGCAGAAGAAGGGAAAGAAGGGGGCAAAGGCAACGCCTGCGCCTTCCAAACAGTTGGTGGTCCCAGCTCCACAGGACCAGCCTCACGTGCCGAAGAAGGTGTACACCGATTGTATAGAGTTTTGGTGTGAGAAGTGAAAACTACAATTAAGTATTTATTTAAAAAAAAATCTGAAATTTTTTGTATTTTTTGTAGATTTTTTTTGTTGCTGACGTCAGCAAACTGGGTCTAGACCTAGGGCAGATCTTGCCTGAGGGCCAGCCAGGGTTCGTGGGCCCCATATCATGCCAAGGCAAGACAGGCCCGCTGGAAATGGATTTTTGGCGTTGCCTCCCCCCAGCCTCGGGCTTGGGCTCATGGGTGGAATGGCTCTTACTGTCATTGCCGGCCCTGAGGGTGGGCAAGGAGCATTTGTAGGCCCCAAATTATGTATATATATATATATATATATCATATATGCACCAAGTTGAAGAATATGATTTTAGAGGAGAAAAATTTCAATCGTGTTTATACCAAAATGAACAGCCAATGAACATCGGACACGTGGACCAAACCCGAGCTATGGGAGCCTTCGGCACCTACCTTCGGTATCATTCCTACCGGTCGCATCATTAGGGCAACCTCACCCCCAGGGACACGTGGCAGTCCCACAATTGATGTCCACAGTCCCACATCGAAACCCTAAACAAATTGCACACCACCTAAGGCCTATAAAAGAGGATAGCTACCCCAGTTTAGAGGTAATCAATCAGAACTCACGGCATACTGCCTATTGATCTATAGTTCAAACTTACTAAATCCGTACTTACTTAAGCATCGGAGAGCCCTCGGCCGGTACCACACCGGTGCCCTAGGTCTTACCGTGCGTTTGCTATCTTACAGATTGAACGCCTTACCGAGGCCACAGCATATCGAAGGAAAAATAAATCACTAAATTACGAGGGAAAGTGCCGAACCATTTTTCTGCGTCAACAGTTTGGCGCCGTCTGTGGGAAACGATAACAATCAACCTACAATTCCTAAAAAACATATGGGAACCACTTCAGGACCACAGTTCCTATCGGAGGATATTACCGTACGGTATGCCAAGTAGAGCAAGCCCGGCGCTGCACCCTAGCACCCCCTTCGGTAATCCTCCAGTGCTTCAGACCACGGTCGAAGCGGAGCTTCTGGCTCAAATGACTTCCTATCGTAGGGAAATGGCTAAGCTCCAAGAACATAACAATCTCCTCTCGTTCGAAGTAGACGAAACCCAGCGGTTGCTTAACCAGCAGGAAACACAGAGCATTCAGGCTACCGAGTCTTCCCAGAGTCTGCAGACCCCCGGTCGGCAGAAGAAGGGAAAGAAGGGGGGCAAAGGCAACGCCTGCGCCTTCCAAACAGTTGGTGGTCCCAGCTCCACAGGACCAGCCTCACGTGCCGAAGAAGGTGTACACCGATTGTCGTCATCGGATCAATGACAAGAAGGATGCCAAAAGGCATAGGTCCCCAATCAGGGTTAATACCCGCCTCAGGGACTCACAGATGAAGGTCCTAGGAGATAAATCGCCCCTTAGGAAGGTCCAGGGTTTGGATTCGGGGTTGGAATCTAATGATGAGTACGTCCCCACCAAGGGCACCGAATCAAACCACCGTTCGGAAACTCCCCCGGAGTATTTGAAGGCAAGACCACCAAGTCCGAGGAGAACTTCCGAAGACTTCAGTTCCGAGGAGGTCCCAAGCCGAGACCCCGCTATCCGTCTGCTTTTCCAGAGAATCCAGAAGATGAAAGATGACCGAACCCAGTCCCAGGTTCCTGACTGGGGAAAACTTCGGCCAGGACCATTTACCGAGCGCATCAAGAAGTCCAGACATGACAAGGAGGTGTAGCCATTGCGCATACCATTTTATACAGGCATGGAGGACCCTTTGACGCACCTTCACTCCTTCCAATCGGCGGTTGGATGCAAGGGCCTCAGCGACGAGGGGCAATGCCTACTGTTCCCACATCCCTTACCGAAGCCGATCTGAACTGGTTCTACCGTCTTGAGCTAAGGACGGTAGACTCCTTTGACGAATTAAAGCAGATTTTCCTCAATCACTTCATGATCCAGACAGATCGCTTGTACTCTGCCGATGATCTGTACATGATTCGGCAAAGAGAAGACGAACCCCTACGGGAGTATGCTGCGCGCTTCAGTCACAATACTCAAGGTGTCCAGAAACGGACGATAGGGCAGCCTACGACGCCTTCAAGAGTGGCCTTCGGTCCTCTCATTTCCGGTATCTCGTGCACAGTAGTAACTGGCGCACATATGACGAGTTGATAAAGCAGGTGGCAGTTCATGCGAAGGCCGAATATTTCAACTCCAAACCCGGGCCTTAGGCTCGGAAGAAGGAGTCAGCGACCAAGATTTATCCAGGGCGAACTGACGATTCTTCGGCAGGGCACAAACGGAAGGACGACCGTGATAGTCGTCAGGGAAACTCAAAGAAAGAGCGCGGGAAATACGGTCATAACGACCACCGTGCGCCGCTACCGAATCACGATCGTGCCCAGGAAGTCTTCACCCTGCTGAACACTACATACGAGACCGTTCTGATCAACGAGCATGACCAAATCCCGAAGCCAACCAACCGAAAGCCCAATCGGCAGGACAATCGGAACACTGGCAATTTCTGCCGATACCACCAGCAGAATAGCCACAACACCAAAGACTGCATTAGCCTAAGGAAGATCGTTGAGCGCCTGTTTCGGGAAGGAAAGTTGGATCAGTACATCGCCAGGCCACCACAGGCACCCGTACCGAACTCGAATCGGCAGATCAACATGATCAGCACGATCAGCGGAGGCCCCACTCTGGCGGGACCCTCTAACCGTTCAATGAAACAGTATGTGCGTGCCGCTCACCACCCTCAGGTCTTCGGCATAGAAGACGATCGGTGCCGCAAGGTCCCGAAAGTGGGGTGGGAGCCCATCATATTCTGTGAAGAAGAAGAGGAAGGGATCGTTTACCCCCACGATGACCCAATGATCATTCGGGCCAAGATCGCCGACTATGATGTAGGTCGGGTGCTGATTGACACCGGAAGTTCGGTGAACGTAATTTTTGCCGATGTGTTCAAAGGACTGGGAATTGCCGACAGCATGGTTAATCGGCAAATAACGCCCCTCCTCAGTTTTTCTTGGGATCTAGTCCAGCCAGTCGGCAGTATTAGTCTGCCCATCGCCTTCGGCGTCGCCCCCAGGAAAACAATGACCTACGACCAATTTCTCATTGTCGACTGCCCAACGGCATACAACGTCATCATTGGGCGAACGGCACTCACCAGGGTCAAAGCCCACTTATCCCCTCACATGTTGCTAATGAAGTTCCCTACACGCAACGGTACAGGCGTCATCTGGGGTGACCAGCTCAGCGCACGGACGTGCTATGCCACAGTCCTTAAGTCGGTAGCTTGCAAGCCGTCAATGGAAGCCATGACCGTGCAGGGACTACCGAACGGTAGCGGACCCATAGATAACCCCAGGGAGGAAACGCCAACGCTGGTGGCGCAACCAGTCGAAGAGCTCGAAACCGTGGTCCTAAACGAGGATTTTCCCAATCAGTGGGTAAAAATCGGCCCCAACCTAGATCCTGACCTCCGAAGACAGTTCATCGACTTCTTACGGCAACTTATCAACGGAGGTTTTCGCCTGGTCTTACGACGATATGCCCGGCATATCACCTGACGTCATCAGCCACAAGCTTAGCATCTCCACCGCCCATAAACCGGTCAGGCAGAAGTGCCGTTCATATGATGTCGAACGGTACGAGGCGATGCGTGCCGAAGTTGACAAGCTCAAATCCATCGGCTTTATCAGGGAAGCTACGTACCCTGTCTGGCTTGCCAACTCAGTCATGGTTCAGAAGGCCAAAGAGGATGGCGGATGTGTCAGGACTATACCGACCTGAATAAGGCTTGTCCGAAGGACAGTTTCCCCTTGTCGAGAATCGACCAGCTTGTCGACGTCACCGCTGGACACGAGCTGCTCAGCTTCATGGATGCCTATTCAGGATACAACCAGATCTTCATGGACCCTGCCGATAGAGAGCATACGGCATTCATCACCAACCGCGGTTTGTACTGTTACAACGTCATGCCCTTCGGCCTGAAGAATGCGGGGGCAACTTATCAACGGCTCGTCAACCGGATTTTTGCTAAGCACATCGGCGGCATTATGGAAGTATATGTCGACGACATGTTGGTGAAAAGCCGAACGGCAGGGGGGCATCTGGAAAACCTAGCCCTCATGTTCGGTATACTAAAGGACTACCGAATGAGGCTGAACCCAACGAAGTGCGCCTTCGGTGTATCTTCCGGTAAATTTCTCGGATTCATGATCAGCCAAAGGGAAATCGAGGCTAATCCCGAGAAAATCAAAGCCATAATTGACATGGAAACGCCGAAGACACAGAAGGACATTCAAAGCCTTACCGGACGTGTCGCTGCCCTAACACGCTTCATCTCCAAGGCTACCGACAAGTGCGTGTCGTTCTTCAAAGCCTTGAAAGGGGGCAAACATCATATCGCATGGACTCCCGAATGCGACCAGGCATTTCAAAACTTAAAGAACTACATGAGCAAGGCACCGCTATTATCAAAACCGCTCCCAGGGGAAGTCCTCCTCCTATACCTTTCGGTATCCAACACTGCCGTCAGCTCAGTATTGATACAGAAGCCAGATAAGGCAGAGCTACCGATTTTCTATGTCAGCAAGGCCCTTCAGAGCGCAGAGCTTCGGTACCCACCCTTAGAGCAGCTAGCACTGGCCCTGGTCATCTCGGCGCGAAGGCTTCGCCCATACTTCCAGGCTCACGAGATCACTGTTCTGACAAACCAGCCCCTTCGGCAGGTACTCCAAAAGCCAGAAACGTCGGGCCGATTGGTCAAATGGGCAATCGAGTTGGGAGAATTTGACATACAGTTCAAGCCAAGGCCTGCAGAAAAAGGTCAAGCCGTCGCCGACTTCATCTCCAAGCTCACACCTCCTGCACTATCGGAAGCATCCTTTCCGAACGCTATTCTTACTGAACCTGAGAAAGTGGATGCTGAGCGCTTTGACACTTCCATCCCTCTCTGGATTCTGCACGTGGATGGCTCGGCAAACCAGCAAAGCGTGGTGCCGGCTTAGTGTTAACCACTCCGGACGGTGGCAAAGTCGAATATGCCCTCCGATTCAACTTTCAGACCTCTAATAATGAGGCAGAGTATGAGGCTCTCTTGGATGGCCTTCGGCTAGCCAAGAGCATGAGCGCGAGACAGATCAGCATTCACAGTGACTCCCAGCTCATTGTGAATCAGATAACGGCAGACTTCGCGGCCAAGGATGCCTCTATGTCAGCTTACCTATCGGCAGCTCACAAACTCCTGCAAAAATTTCAGGCCTACGAGATACGGCAGATCCCCAGGTCAGAAAACAGTCACGCCGATGCGCTCTCGCGTTTAGCTTCGGCAATAAATGACAAGATCGGAAGAAATGTACCAGTGGAGATATTATCCCAGCCAAGCACAACTACTGAGGTGTGTACCGTACGGTACGAAGACACATGGATGTCTCCAATCTATGCTTTCCTGACAAACAGAATCCTTCCGACCGATAAGTCCCAGGCTCGGAAGCTCCGGTACCGATCGGCAAGATAAACGGTCATCGACGATGTTCTGTACAAGCGAGGCTACACCACGTTGTATCTAAAATGCCTAACCAAAGAGCAGGGGGACTACATCTTTCGGGAGGTCCACAGTGGAGTATGCAGTGACCATTCAGGATCCCGATCGCTCGCACACAAAGTCTTCCGACAGGGATATTTCTGGCTGACTCTGCACCAAGATGCGAACATGTTAGTCAAGAAGTGTGACAAATGCCAACGGTTCGGTAGCGTCCCTTATGTTCCTGCCGAGCCACTCTCACCGATTGTAAGCCCGTGGCCATTCGCCCAATGGGGATTAGATTTAATTGGTCCGATGCCAGAAGGCAAGGGTCAGGTCAAATACGCTGTGGTTGTCATCGACTACTTCACCAAATGGGTAGAAGCCAAAGCCTTAGCAACAATAACGACAGCCAGAATTGAAGATTTCGTTTGGACGAACATTTGCTGCCGATTTGGCATCCCTACGCCATCATCACGGATAACGGCAGGCAGTTTGATTCGGAAGTCTTCAGAGAGTTCTGCATTCGCCTCAAGATCAACTTGTTCTTTGCTTCGCCAGCTCACCCCCAATCGAACGGCCAGGTCGAAGCAATGAATAAAATTGTCAAGAAGCTATTGAAACGACAGCTTGAGAAAGCCAAAGGAGCCTGGCCGGAGAAGCTTCCAGAGGCGTTATAGGCTATCCGGACATCCTGCCGAACGGCAACCGGGGAGACACCGTTCTCCATGGCTTTTGGCTAGGAAGCAGTAGTCCCAGTGGAAATCGGAGAGCCCTCCTACCGAACGGAAGCTTTCAGACCAAAGGCGAATGAGTAGGCGCTCGCCCTGAGCCTCGACCTGCTTGAAGAACGTCGAGCACAAGCCAACCTTCGGAACGAAGCTTACAAGCAACGCGTCTCTCGGTACTATGACTCCAGGGTCAGATCCCGCTCTTTTCGAATCGGAGACTGGGTCATGCGAAAAGTCTCTCTGGCAACTAAGAATCCCACGGAAGAAACCCTCGGAGCTTCCTGGGAAGGACACTACGAAATCATCGGTATTCAGCGATCGGGGACTTATCGACTTAGAGACTCCAACGGAAAGGCCCTCGGTCATCCTTGGAATGTAGAGCATTTGAAATATTATTTTAAATGAAGTCACCTAGTCTACGGCAGGGTTAAAATAGAGTCCGGAACGCCTTCGGCAGTGTACGGTCCCCTAGCCTACGGCAGGTTTTTAATTATAAAACGCATTCCAGATGTATCTTTGCCTTCGGCAATTTATCAAAGAAAGGGCCTTCGGCTCGTATATTCAAAACCTTTGGTGTACCCCTTAAGCTCTTTTCATTTAAAAAGATACGGTAGAGACCATCGGTCGCGTTAAACTATGTTTTTTGGCATTGCTATTAGCCTATGGACTGAAGGACAACTTAGTTGCGCGATTAATGAATCATCTTAACTTCCTACCGATCCAAAGTGAACTTGATTTTGAGCTCCTACTTGCCTTCAACATTTAAAGCCGTTACTTAGCCTTCGACAAGATTGGCAAAAAACACAAACATACCGAGAGTAAAACTACTTAGACCCTTAAGTTTGAAAATGAAAACTATTTCAATTAAAAGATGCCCACGGCATAAGGGTACAATCAAAAGATGCCCACGGCATCAAGGTTGCATCAAAAGATGCCCACGGCATCAACGTTACATTAAAGGATGCCCTCGGCATCAAGGTCACATAAGATAAAAGCTGGAAATGAGAAGAAGCTTTTGGAGAAGATTGACACCCTGCCGTTCGAAATAGGACTGTACCTATGAGTATCATTGCAGAGCGTACAAAACTTTCTGTCGAGGATGGAGAGCTGTCAAGTAGCCTCCTCGGCATCTGCCTCTTCGGCACCAGTGGCAGTGTGCTCTCCCGAAGCGTCCTCCCCTTCATACTCATCTATCATTTCTTCCATGATGCCTTCGGGAAGGGGAGGGGGATCGGCAATAAAGTTCAAATTCAGCTTCGTCCCAGGGTTGTACCGCTTAAAACGGTAGATCAGATCCACCATCTCCGAGCCCACCTCCTTGTCGAGCAAGGTGGAGAAATCGGAAGAATGACAGTACTTCCGGATAGCCTCCTGGACAGCAGCCTCGATCTCCGAAGCCCTGGCCCGCTCCGACTCCTCCAAAGCCACCTGGACCGCCTCCTTCGCCTCCAGAGCCTCTTTTGCCGATAGCTGCGCCGACTCCAGGGCTGCCGACAAATCGGCGAACTTAGACTCATAAACCCTTACCTGCCGTTCGGCAGCCTGCAAATCCTTCGCCAAGTTCGCATGGTCCTGGATAGCCTTGCCAGCCTCGGCAACCCTGGCCCTACCGTCCTCGTAGGCGTTCTTCGCTTTCTCGGCGACATTGATGGCCCACTTAACGCACAGCCACATGTCCATCGAAGCCTGGGAAACAATGGAAATGTCAGATGAAATATAAATAAATAAATAAGCAATCGGTAAGTTAATCCGGGAATACTTGGAACTTACCGAAGCTTGAAGGCAGAAAGCGCGACCAGCCTCCTCCCGAAGGAGCTTCTTCGGCAGGTCTTCGATCTCGGAAAGCTCCATTTGCGAACCCAGGATCATGTGATTCGCAAACTAGACCATCTTCGACGGACAGGCCAAGGTGACGGGGTTGGCAAGCTCATCGTCGTTGTCAGCGACAAAGACGGCCCGAGGAAGCTCAGTCTACCGCCCGCACTTTGGGGCAGGTTCGGCATCCAGGTCGACGGTGAACGGCTGCTTGCCGGCTGCTCGGGAGGAGGTCCCCTCGGTAGGAACACTTCGGCCTAGAGACGGACCGACCGCTGCCGCCCCAGCCTGCGCCGAGACAGCGTTGAGCTAGCGGAGACGGTCAGCCAGGGTTTGGTCTTTGGGGTCAGCTTCTACCAAGGACGCCGGTACCGTGTCCTGCTGCTGGCTTTTCTTTTTCTTCCCCTGGAAGCCCATCATGAGACGCCGCTTGGAGGACTCATTCATCCTCTTAGCCTCGGCAGCTCTCCTCTCTTCCGTCACTGCACAAACAGCGATTAGTAAGGCTTTACTACCGCCAAAAAATAACTTATAATGGCCAAGTACACTTACTCTCGGCAGAATCGACCAGCTGAGCTTGGATCAGGTTGGCGGTGAAGAGAAACTGCGGGTACACCCTCTTCTCGGTAGGGACCTTACTCCTTACCCTCTCCACTTGCTGAATCTCTGCTTGCGTAGGGATCGGCTGCTTTAGTTTACATACAAGAGGAATAACAAGGAAACGATCAGTCATAGTAAACAAGGGCCCCGAAGAAGGTACCGAACGGCATGTTATCCTACCGGCTATTTGGAATGTTGTGGGAATTGGAAATCAGACAGGCTGTCCCGAAGGCGACTCCCAGTCACCCGAAAGAAGCACCCGCTGATTCCTCCATGACTTTTGAGAAGTCGGCACCCAGCTAACAAAGTGGCCACACTCGGTAGCCTTGAGACAGTTTGCCTGTACCCATCCACCGTGATCGGCACACTTGGACTTTGTGATACTGTACAGGTGCGAGAACTGCTCGTAGGATGGCCACCCTTCACCGGCCATGCCGAAGGCCGTTATCACTCCCATGAGGGCCACCCAGAAGTTCGGGTTAAATTGTCCCGGAGCATAGCCGATCTAGGCCAAAATCCTCTGTACCGCCGGCTGCAAAGGCAACCGAATGCCTTAAACAAGGACGTCGATAAAGAAGACCACCTCGTCGTCCTTCGGCTTGCTGAGGGATTCTGTAGGGCCTGGGATCCTCATTCGTACTGACTCCGGGATGCGGTATTCCGCTCGATACTTGGCAATCTCCCGCTCGGTAATCTTGTTTGGCCCGAGATAGTCGACCCCGAACAAATTTGCCTTCGGCACCCCCATAGGTACCCTAGGGTTGCTTGGGTATACTACCGATACCCTCGGCCGAGAGGATGGTTCGGCGGCTGACTCTCCACGGCCAAATTGAACAGCCAATGAACATCGGACACGTGGACCAAACCCGAGCTATGGGAGCCTTCGGCACCTACCTTTGGTATCATTCCTACCGGTCGCATCATTAGGGCAACCTCACCCCCAGGGACACGTGGCAGTCCCACAATTGATGTCCACAGTCCCACATCGAAACTCTAAACAAATTGCACACCTCCCAAGGCCTATAAAAGAGGACAGCTACCCCAATTTGGAGGTAATCAATCAGAACTCATGGCATACTGCCTATTGATCTGTAGTTCAAACTTACTAAATTCGTACTTACTTAAGCATCGGAGAGCCCTCGGCCGGTACCACACCGGTGCCCTAGGTCTTACCGTGCGTTTGCTATCTTACATATTGAACGCCCTACCGAGGCCACAACATACCAAAGGAAAAATAAATCACTATGTTACGCGGGAAAGTGCCAAACTATTTTTCTGCGTCAACAAATAGTTTGGCATTTGGAGGCCCTAAATATGATTACAAGTGTTTATGAAGAGTCCAAATCAAAATTATATAATATACGAACACCAATTGCATGTATTTAAGTATTTAGTTGCCAAAAAGTATTTAATTGCTAAAAGTAGTAATCAATGAAAGAAAACCAATAAGGACTAGAAATTATTTTATTTATCCAAAAATTCTTGTTAGTAGATTATATAGCGAAGAAATATGAAGGAGTGCAAATTATTTGTATCCTCATTCTTGTTTATTTTCAGATTGGGGAAAAGATTATATGACCAATACAGAAGCCATGTTTATTTATCCAAATTGTGTTTAATTGCATAAATTTTCTTTTCATGTTAGTTTATTATATTCCCGAGAATAAAAGAGAAATGGGTCTCGTTTTCATTTCTAGCCTTGGGACACCCAAAAGTCAGGGCCGCCTTGCTCACTGTTATAGACTGTAAACCCAAAAACTTTCACTTATTTCATAAAAATTGACTGCACTAGTGCTTCTCTAAATTCCTTGGTAAGAGGTTTACTTGCACAGATTCTCTATTTTCCCCTTGTATTGAGCTATACTCTATCCCTTCGAACTTTCATAGTTGGAGTCATTAAACCACTATCAATCTGAAATTACAAGGTATTCTTATTGCCTCTCCTTCATTGGGCATTGGACAACAAAGTGTCCAAAACCTTGGCATCTGTAACATCTTTGTGCTCCACCACCACGTGTATCAACTAACACTCCTTTTCCTTTGGCAACTTTTACTAAATTAGTCATAGATGTTGGAGTCATAGATGTGCCAACATGAAAATCAGATCTTTGAGAATCAATTTGCTTGATTACATTGGAGGACTTTAGATAGTGCTCTAAAGTATTCACGTTATGAGGAATTAATTCTCTTTGAAGCTCTGGGCGAACCTGATCTAAACCGAGAAAGAGTCATCCTTCAATCTTCCCTTATGTCACATCGCAACATGAATTCCTCAAATTTTGCAATATATTCAGCAACTGACATGTTGTCTTGACGAAGAGTTTGCCACTTGTCCAACAAACACTGTTGATAGGATAATGGTACATATTTCTGCTTCCTCCTTTCTTTCATCTCATCCCAATGGACGATTGGTTCTTCACCAGCTCTCTCTAGTTGTGCTTCAACATTGGTCCAAAATAATCCAGCTTGACCCTCCAATTTTATCTTAACAAATCTCACCTTTCGAGCTTTGACATGTCATGCCACTCAAAATAGCGATCCATGGTCGCTAACCAGTCGAGGAATGTTTTAGGATTTAGCTCACAATCAAAATTAGGAGCGCCAAGTTTCACTAATCTCATCACCTTTTTATCAGGGTCTTACTCATAGCCACAATGAAAATTTTGTCTTTTTTGTCTCGATATATTATACTATCTGAGTCTCGATCATTCCTTCTATCATGATGTTGTCTAACATGATTCATCTCTTCTCCCTTCACACTTGCTTCGTCATGTTAATTAGCACGATCAATGGCTCCAAATTGTCCTTCGAAGTCTGTAAAATGAAGATAAAAAAGTTCCAATCTGGTGGATTGCTCTTTGACGACAGTGGTTAGTTTTGCCATCATATGCTTTGTCATATTTTCCATCATCTGAGCAATCTGCTCAAGGTCCCATCACTGGCTGGTCTATCTTACCAGTCTTAGTTGGAGCCATCACTCGACAAACAGCGTAAAGAACAAGAAAACAACTGAATTTTAAAGAACTACATGAGGGATATTTATAGCAAATTAAAACCTAGAGACAATAGGATAAAAATCCTTTACTAAAACAGAAATCCTAATCCACCAAGGAACTAATTCAAATAAACTAGGAAACTTTAGGGGGTTGTATCAATTAAGATTTTAATATATTATAATTATATGATTGTAATGTAATAGATTTCAACGGGATTTGTAATTACAAGATTTTAATATAGATTGAATTTACATAATTTTACCTATGATTTTAATAGATAATTGATAGGAATCTCAGGGTTAATATGGTCTTTTTGTATGTTAGCTGAGGTGGCAAGGTTTTGTTAGGCAATTGTTTAGTTAGCTGACAATTTGTTTTGTTATTTGCTTAACTGGGAAGCGATTATATTAGTGGGCTTATGCTCATTCTAAGGCATGTAATTGTAAATCCAGTTTCAATAAGAAATAATAGTTTTGATTCTTTGACATTGGGTTAGGGTTGAAGGGTTTCTATCATTGGTATCAGAGCCTAGTCGAAATCTCGTTCCCTTCTCGTGCTTCCGTGTATGACTCGTGCGTCGACTCGCCATAACTCCATGGATAATCGCATTAAGAGCACTGAAGCCCTTGTTGGTGAGATTTTGAACCAGTTCGATTCTTTGGATTCGAAGTATGATCAGCTTTGTAAGGAGTTCTCCAAGCGTTCTGATTCCACTTTGCACTCGCCTGTTAATGACGACATTGGTGATCGTCCACATGATTTTTTGATTCCAGGCCCCATGCGACCGCCATTGATGAAGATTGAATTTCCTCAATTCTGTGATGGTGATGGTCCATTGGGGTGGATTTACAAAAGGGAGCATTATTTAGATTATTTTGCTGTTCCGAACAATTGGAAAGTTTGTATGGCTTCCTTTCATATGGAGAATGAAGAGTTGAAGTGGTTTCGATGGCTCGACTGTGTTCATACTCATCCTAATTGGGAGGAATTTACTAGGGTTTTTTGTTAAGAATTTGGTCCCTCTGAGTTTGAAGATTATGCATAAGCTCATACTTGCTTGTAGTTTATTAGGGCAACTGATACTTTCGGACCTGTACTCCTCCTATATACTTCACCTTTATCTCTTCTCTTCTTTCAATATTGTCATCTCTGCTAACTCTCTAGCACTCTCTCCTCCCTTGGCATTCTTCTCCATCCATCAATTTCTATATGGCCTCCTTCACCTTTTCCTTTCTGACCACCACCCTAATCTTCTCATCCTCAACCCATTTCACTTGAAATTCCATACCAACTCTCACTGTAATCTTTAGAATCTGTTCAACAAGTTTCTAATTCATAACTTGAAGGTCTAGGCAACCAAACCCCCAACTTTGTTGGTCTTCGTCCTTCAAAATGATGACTCCCATGCCCCCAAGGAGTTAGTTTGCTGGACTAGGTGATTTGAAGTGTTTCCAGTCTGAAGATGTACGTTTTGTTTTTTATGCCTAGTCTGGTGTCATTTTTTCAATTGGTTAGCTGCTGTGTGTTAGTGGTTCTTTATAGATTGGTTCTTGCTGGGGGTAATGCGTGGGTTAATATGGTCTTTCATGAATGAAATATTCCAGTTCAAAACGATAATAATAAAAAATTAGTACCCGAACAGTGGCCATATGACCAAAGGCACAACACAAATGCCTTCCAATGTAGAATTCCGGCCACAACTTGTCAAGAACCCACCAACAACATTCACGGTGTCTGTTCATTTTCTCCCACAAGAAAAAATAAAAGAACTTAAGAAACATGCATAGGAGGGTGAGATTTGTTATGAGATTTGGTATTTATATTACCCACTTAAAAGTCTCGCACAATACACCATTTAATGAAATAATTCAAAATCAGTAAGTTTTTTAATACCACAATACTTTTATTAAGTACTTAAAAATCCTAATTGAACACTAACATATTTTTATCGATGACTTAAAAATCCTAATTGAATACCATTGGATTTTTAAGCTTCAAAACAATCTTTCAAAATCTCAATTGAATACACCCTATCAAATGTTACTAAAATCTGGAAACTCAAATCCTAGAATCTAGGAAAACTAATAAATAAGGAAACTAACTAATGATGTCCGCATCACAATTCCAAAGTACTACTCTCTTCTCCACAAATTCAAATTACAAGATCCAAACTAACATGTGTCAGAAGTTTGTCTTTTCAAAATGATAAAGATTTTATTTCGTAAGAGAAAACTACACTGCAGCGTTCCTATCTAGAATAACAAGTGTCACAAGTTAGAATGTTAAGCCATTTCTCAGTAACAGCTGACAAAACAGTAATTGGATGGATCCAAAATAACACAAGGGGTTATGTGCAACTAAACGGAAAAACACTAATCAAAACTACACGAACTAGGCATTCTATCACTATTGTTAATAAAACATGACTTTGAAAAGTTCATATTCCACAGAGCAAGAAATACAAAATGCTTATGATTGACATATGGTACCTTCAAGCTGTAACCCTCCGGCGATATCCTTAAGTGAAACAAAGCTCGGAACAAGTTCCCACGCCTCCAAAATCCATGAAGGTAATCCATCAACCTCAACCCTCAAAAGGCTTCTGTCGTTCTCCCCTTCTTAAGTGCCCTTCAGCACCCCTACAATCAGCATCACCTAACTTGCTGTCCGACAAAAGTGACATGCAGAAGATGAATCCTTGCAAAATAATAGCACAAAAGAAGAGGAAATACGTGGGCCACCCTAGCTTTCCTTTACATGCCTTATTGTTCGGCACCTTTGGTGAATATTGATGAGTGGGCTCCCAAAAGATAAAATCTCCATTTCTTATCTTGTGTCTTTATTTTATTCCCATTTGCGAACATAAATGGTACAAGTCCACTAATCTATTCGCCAATCAAAATGTAGCTACCATGTTGCATGTCTTGCATGGCTTGCGTAGCCAAACCACCATCTCCATTCAAAATACCATTTGGCACCTCTTTGAAGAGAAAGTTTGGGGGCCCTTGTGTATTCTACACGTCTTTGGCAAGATATTGGGTACCCAATGCCCACGTGGTTCACTACCAGGAGACAAACAACTAGTTGCAAGTGCTGTACAACACCCAATGCCCAAACCCTTTTCGGCACAACCAAATCCAAGTATCTTAGACAAGCTACATCTGAAGCAAATCTCATGCAAATCACCAAACACCACCTCATCTGCAATTGCTGAACGACAATAAAAAAAAACATATGATTTTTATCTCCAGGCAATCATAAAGCCCCAAGTATGCCATGCTTGCCTAAGAGACCATCTCTCTTGGCTTTTATTGAGGAATGCTTGCATGGCCAACATCTGTCACCAATCACTACTCTTACTAATCTGTCAAAACCACATCTACTTGTTGGAAAATTTCTCAAGACACCCAAGGAGGTATCGCACATGTCATCTTCATCACCATAAGGTGTGGTCTCCTATCAGAACTTCTAAATTGCCGAACGGTAACGTTGGGCATGACTCATCTGGGAACCACCTTCTCAACGACACAAATCCTACCTTTCGATAGGATATGATTGAGCCAAGTGATATGCTTAGACCTCCAATTGATCTGCAAATTATTAATCAGCAAGACAAGAAGGAAGCAGCTACACTAGTCCTCCCTTCAACTCACCCTGTCGGAGCCTCTCACCATTCGGTACCTCCAACAGAGAATTTATCAATACACCCATGCCTTCTTGAAAGTGCTAAACAACAAACCAACTCCCCATGGATGTGCTGAAGCCAATTACACCAAAAAAATAAAGAAAAAAAGAAGAAAGGGATTCAACGTGCTGAAGACACCCACTTTGTCAAAGTCTTACAAAAGACTCAAATCCTGGAAGGAAGCCACCATAAGGTGTGGTCTCCTATCAGAACTTCTAAAATTGCCGAACGGTAACGTTGGGCATGACTCATCTAGGAACCACCTTCTCAACGACACAAATCCTACCTTTCGATAGGATAGGATTGAGCCAAGTGATATGCTTAGACCTCCAATTGATCTGCAAATTATTAATCAGCAAGACAAGAAGGAAGCAGCTACACTAGTCCTCCCTTCAGCTCACCCTGTCGGAGCCTCTCACCATTCGGTACCTCCAACAGAGAATTTTATCAATAGACCCATGCCTTCTTGCAAGTGCTAAACAACAAACCAACTCCCCATGGATGTGCTGAAGCCAATTACACCAAAACAAAAAAAAACAAAACAAAAAAACAAAACAAAAAGGGGATTCAACGTGCTGAAGACACCCACTTTGTCAAAGTCTTACAAAAGACTCAAATCCTGGAAGGAAGCCACCGTTTCATCATTTGCTACATTTTAATATTGGAAGGAGTGGACCACCATTGGAATCAAGGAATCCAAGGCTAGGCCACGTGCACAATCTACAAAAGATAAGTAACATGAATATTTGTTTATTCTTTATTATTATTTGATGGATAGAGTGCAAACTTTCTTATTATTTGGGAGTACAGAATGTTATCGATAACCATCAGCCATCATACGCAAAAGCTTCACAAAGCCCCACTAAGATTGCCTATTTGCTTGCCAAAAGGCAGGACAGTGGGCACCCAATCAAAGAGACATGCCATTCGAAGCCAAAACAGTGCAGCACAACACATCCATCCAAACCAAACAGCACCGCCCCTACCGTTCGGCAAGCATCTTGCCGAATGTGCAGCAAGCGCTCACGTAAACACCTTCCAGCATACAATAATGAAGCTGTCTTATATTTCCAGAATCACCATACCAAAGCATCTGCACCCACAATCATACAATATATTCGAACCAGCCTATGCAGAAAAACGGGGGGGCTCAGCTCCAAAATTACGCCAAAACATCACATGCCCAACCTCTTTGCCGACTGTCAAAAGAGAATCGTTAGAGTATATTCAAAAGGCCTTGCCGTGCGTGAAGAAAATGGGCTCACAAGAGCACTTACTTCAGCTGCAGAAGCAAGCCCAGCGAAAAGCCCTCACAAACTCTGCCGAAGCAACAAAGCTTGATGACATACACCTCAGCACAAAGACACTGCCGAACGGCAACCCACGTGCACAGCCTACCTGCACAAGCAAAGAAGTCTTTAAACTTACAAATCCACCCTTGCCGAACGGCAAGGGTTGTACAGAAACAAATGGAGGGCAATGCAACCTTCCTAAATTATGACAAAATTCAAACAAAGGGGGACTCACAAAAAACAACAAAGGAGTCTTGCAGAATGAAATCAAGCACTGCCGAAGCAAGCAACCTGCCAGCAATCCCCTTCGAACCCAGTCCTCCGAACTCAAGGAAGTCTCACAAGGTCACGGCTCCAAGTCACGCACCACAACACCCACTCACGGCTCTCCACCGAAGCTAACAGCCGAAGGAACCTAAGCAATTCAAACTCCCTGCTAACCCGCAGAATCAGAAGCACCGCCTCTCCTTGAAGATTGAAGATCCACCTCTTCCCCACGTTAAACCTGCGCCACAGACATAAGGATCCGTGTGAAATTCGGAGCATGCTTTCAGTTCCGCATGTTGATGCTCTTTCTGGGAGGTCAACTTAGAGAGTAGGTGATAGTGAATGATGGGTGAAGGTGAGGACCTTCAGCATGTGTGTGAAGACTTGGGCAAGCGATAAATGTAAAGAAGACAAGATATACGTGGTTCACCCTTAATGAATGGGTTACGTCCACGGAGAAGTATGTTCTCATTATAATAGTGTATGATTACATTTGTACATGGGGTTGGACCCAAATATAAAGATGACAAGTGAGATGCCCAGGCCAGGGGTCTAGAAGAGAGTCCCCGGCCCTAGGGTCTAGCTCTGAGACCCGAATCCTCCTCTAAGTGGAGAGAAGAAGTCCCCTTTTCATATGGATACTATTCCCTATTTATAGGGAGGTGAAGTTGGGAGGTTGGTGTAGATTTCTGATGTGGGACTTTGTGTAAGTCGTTGCGGTGGTGACATGTGTCATGGAAATTAGGTTTAGCAGTTTGTGAGCTTCGGCAGTCGAGAGTTTCGGCAGGTGCTTGGCACCTCGGAAAAGTGTCTTCCTTCGGCAAGGGAGAAGGGGTGTATGCCTTGGTGCTAGTTGTTTTGAGGCTGGATATGCTCGATTGATTATGGTGTAAACAGTAGTCCTCCAAGTTCGTGGTCGAGAAGTGACTTCTGGGTTGGGAACTTGTGAGTTTTTGTATAATCATGACTGAGCATTCCAGGTTCAGTGGGAGCCGTAGGGCAGTCCCTAGTCCCCCAAGTTGGCAAGCTAGAAGTTGCGCTAATACTTGGTAGGTATGATAAAAGCTGTGTTAGTCTCTGGGATATTTAATAGCTGGGTACCTTTGAAAGAAAAGTAAACCTGGGTCTTGAAGCTTCAGCAAGGAAATCTGTGGGCCTCAGTGATTGTTGACTCGAGTCCTGCCATTTGATAACGAAGTGATGGTTTTGGGCAGCAAAGGCTTGGGTCTATTGGGGTTGTGGCGAAAAGCTGGGATTTTGATTAGATGTTTTGGGATGCACAAAATTGGAGCTGGGCTCTCTTTGTTTCGGCCGGTGGCTCATAATTGGAGCTAGGCATGCACAACTTTAATAAGATGGTGCTGAAGTGAGAGAAATTGGCCCAAATAGGTTCAGCATAGCTGGGCCTTTTTGTTTCGGCAGGTGTGCACGGGGAGAGCCTCGGTCGCGGTGTGGGTTGAGCCTCGGTCATAATTAAAACCTACTGCTCGGCAAGGTAAATTGAAAGGGGCTAGGTACCTTGTCATGAGCTGGGGCTTGGGTGTTTTGCATATAAAGGTTTTACCGAGTGAGTACCTAGGAAGAGGAAGATTGCTACGTGTGGTGGGTTAGGTTTTTCACAAGTGGGCGTCTAGACAAAGGAAGACTGTTCGTGCTCATTCTTTCTGCACGACCCTTGCCATTCGGCAAGGGTAGTTGATCTGGGAATCGAGTTCTAGCTTCGAGGGAGGAACCTGGAGTACAGAGTAGACTCGGTGGGGAGTGCGGAGCTGGGTATGTAGTGCAGCTCTGAGGAGATGCCGATAGTATTCACGGCTTGGCAGATTTGGCGTGAGGCCCCCCTCGATTGTTTGAACGGCCCTTGCCGTTCGGCAAAGGCAAGGTCCTTCGTTGCTGCAGTACAGGGTGAAGCAAGGCTGGGTGCTGGAGATTCTTTAGAGGTCTCATCCGTGTCGGCAAGAAATGGGTTTCGAAACTGCCTGCGTCGAAAGCTGATTGGTGCTGTTTGGATTTTTGCTTTGCCTGGCCAAGTTGGGAGCTAGACCTGTGGGTTGGAGCCGTGACCTTGGTGAGCTATTCTTCAGTTTGTTTTGCGGCTCTTGCCGTTCGGCAGAGTTTGTGAATGGAGATTTTTGGTTGCCAAATTTCTTTTCGAACAGCCCTTGCCGTTCAGCAAGGGTTTGAAATGCTGTTACTATTCTTGGGCAAGAGTCATTTGTGGGAAGGCTGTGAGGCCTTCGAGCTAGTTCGGTAAGGTCAGAACCTGAGTTCGTCGGCAAGGGCGCTAGGTTCTTGCGCGAAAGCCTCCGGTTTGCAGGAGTCCTTGGCATCAGGTCCTGGCTATTTCGCAAGCTCATCAGCAGAGGTTGGGTTGTTTGAGTCGTAGTTGTGCATGGCCCGGTTCATCACTACAGGACCTACCGTTCGGTAGGTGTTGCTTGGTGTGATTTGGGGGGGTGATTTTGAGCTGGTCATTTGGCAAGTGGGTGCTTGGGCTTAGGAGGCTGGGTGTCCTGATCAATTTTTGAGGTAAGATGACACCACCGTAGCTGCTGCTGAGCCGGTTCGAGATCGTTGGTGCAAGAGCCTTTGGATTGGTGCAGGGAGGAGGGCACTCGTAGCTTCTGCATGACCCTTGCCGTTCGGCAAGGGTGAGTTGAGTAAATTTGGGGCTGTGCAATCGGCTTCAGTCGGCAAGCTTGGTGGCTTGAGTAAATGTTGGTTCCGTCGGCAAGGTGATCCGGAGCTGTGAAACTCTCGGCAGGTGCTGCAGGTCGTGAGTCCTTGGACCTTCGGCAGGGAAGGGTTATTCGGGCCCGTAATTCAGCACCCAAGTTTGGTGAGTGTCTTTGGGGTCGGGTCCTGTGTAATCCCAGCTTCCAAATCTGGAACTTTTGAATTGGTGTCCTTGGCAAGCCTGACTTGGAGATTTGATTTTTGTTTCCCAAGCTTCAGCCCATTTTTAGAAATAGAGCTATATTCAGCCGACTGGGGTCTGGGTCCTTCATTTTGTTTGCAGGAAGTGAGGAATTAGAGCTAGGCCCTTTGGAAAATTTCGTGCTTCAACAGGTTGGAGCTGGCCCGTACCCTTGCGGTTCGGTGGTGAGGCAAGGAGAGGGTTTGGGGTCCGGGCTCGGTGACTAAAAAGGGACTTGGCCTTGGTGCCTAGAGAAATTTTTGCCAGCCCACGGGGTGGTTTGAGGGCTAGGGCTTCGCTTGATTGGAGGCTATAGGGCCTTTGCTAAGATAGGGTTGAGGACTTGGCCATTTTCCAGCAAGGGGGCTGGGCTATTTGGGCTGTGCGGCAAGGCTGCAAGGTAATCTTTTTCGAGATCGTTGGTGCAAGGTAATTGGTGTTGGGCCCTTGGGTTTCGGAGCTGGGCTCGTGGGTTGGAGCTAGACTTTGGTGACCTTAGTGTGGGCCTGGGTTTGTGCCTTTCTTCAAGGGCTAGGCCTTGGGTAATTTGTGCGCACGGGCTGCTGAGGATTCGGCGCAAATTGTAGTTGGTCTCGAGGCTTGGAGCTGGCCGTGCCATTTTCAGTCCCCAATCTCTTTCATGAGTTGGCCATTCGGTGTGATCATTTTGGGAAGCACTTTTGTGGGCATGTGCAGCTGGTGCGAAACACTTGATCACTTGAAATTGGAGCTAGGCCATTTGAAATTTGGTGAAAATTTTCCGGAGAATGTGGGGTGTGGTTGCCATTCGGTGTCCTTGGGTGCCCTGAGAAATTTTCCAAGTGTCCTTGTGTGCGCCCTTGAATGCCGTTGAATTTGAAGCTGCTTCCCATTGGGTGTTTTGATAAATTTAGTGGATGGGTGCTGTATGGCTTGGCCATCTAAATTGCTCCAAACTTTCAGCTAGTTGTCATGTAGGCTTCTCATTGGATTGAAATGGTGGTTGGCCTCCTTAGCCCTGCAAAGTGATGCTATCGGTGACTTGGAATATTTGGCACTTGCCAAATTGGAGCATCTTCAAAGTGGCCCAAACAGCTTTTACTCATATGCAATATTCATGAACCATATTGTTGAATAGGATTGTGCAATGAATTATTTAAATATCACATGCTCGTATGCGATATTTATATGTAAGAAGAGAAATCTTATATGGAGTAATTTTTTCTTGGCCATGCGCAAGCCATGCATGGTGATATCCTTGGTGCATTTGGGATATTTGGCCACCCATAAATTGAGACTTTTTCAACGTGACTGGAAGGTGGTTCCTTGGGTTGAAATGGTGGCTTGGCCATGCAAGCCATGAAAGGCGAGGTGTCGAAGGCATAAGAATTGCATGTCGCAAAGCGATGGGCCTAGGCACGAGGGTGCCGAAGGTGACACACGATGTGGCTAGGCACGGGGGAGCTGAAGGCAACACAAAACTTGCATGTCACAGAGCGATGTATCTAGGCACGATGGTGCCGAAGGCTACACAAAGCTTGCGTGTCGCAGAGCGATGTGGCTAGGCATGATGCTGCCGAAGGCAACACAAGATGTGGCTAGGCAAGGGGGTGTCGAAGGCAACACAAAGCTTGCATGTCACAAGGCGATGTGGCTAGGCATGGGGGCGCCGAAGGCAACACAAAGCTTGCGTGTTGCAAGGCAATGTGGCTAGGCACGGAGGTGCCGAAGGGGACACAAAGCTTGCATTGTGACAAGGCATTGTGGCTAGGCATGAGCAGCAGTGCTGATTGATGGCTGGGTGCCTAAGGCATCACTCGCACCGGTTAATGGCTGGGTGCCAAAGGCATCGTACAAGCTATATGATGAAAATTATATGGGTGTCGAAGGGCACTGAGGAATGGGAGAACAACATAAGCCTTTTGTATCACTTCCCACAGACGGCGCCAAACTGTTGATACTCTTTTTGGGAAGTCAACTTAGAAAGTAGGTGATAGTGAATGATGGGTGAAGGTGAGGACCTTCAGCATGTGTGTGAAGACTTGGGCAAGCGATAAATGTAAAGAAGACAAGATATACGTGGTTCACCCTTAATGAATGGGTTACGTCCACGAAGAAGTATGTTCTCATTATAATAGTGTATGATTACATTTGTACATGGGGTTGGACCCGAATATAAAGATGACAAGTAAGATGCCTAGGCCAGGGGTCTAGAAGAGAGTCCCCGGCCTTAGGGTCTAGCTCTGAGACCCGGATCCTCCTCTAAGTGGAGAGAAGAAGTCCCCTTTTCACATGGATAATATTCCCTATTTATAGGGAGGTGAAGTGGGAGGTTGGTGTAGATTTCCGATGTGGGACTTTGTGCAAGTCGTTGTGGTGGTGGCACGTGTCATGGAAATTAGGTTTAGCAATTTGTGAGCTTCGGCAGTCGGGAGTTTCGGCAGGTGCTTGGCACCTCGGAAGAGTGTCTTCCTTCGGCAAGGGAGAATGGGTGTCTGCCTTGGTGCTAGTTGTTTTGAGGTTGGATATGCTCGGTTGATTATGGTGTAAACACCACAAAAATCTTACCATAGTCCAAGCTGTCCAAACCCACGGTAGAGACCCGACCCGCACTCCAGCTCCAACGGCTCAACTTCTCAATTCCCTAAGCCACCCTACCGGAGCTGTGGATATGGGCTTCGACAAAATTCTCCCTCAATTTCCCTTGCCGAATGGCAAGGGTTATTGCCGAGGCCGGATCTTGTTCTCCGAGAACTCAAGTTGCGACATGCAAGTTTTGTGCCTTCGACATCCCTTTTTGCCTTCTGCACCCCCGTGCCTAGCTGCATTTCCTTGCAAACATGCAAGTTTTATACCTTCGGCACCCTCATGCCTAAGCACACCGCCTTGCGACATACAAGCTTTGTGTTGCCTTCGGCACCCCCGTGCCTAGCCATATCGTCTTGCGACATGCAAGTTTTGTGTCACCTTCGGCACCCTCGTGCCTACGCCTTGCGACATGCAATTCTTATGCCTTCGGTACCCTCGTGCCCAGCCACATCACCCTACGACATGCAACTTTATGTCTTCGGCACCCTCGTGCCAAGTTCTCTCCCTTCCAAATGTCCTTCTTACCCGGGGACTTGGGGAACTATGGGCAATGCACTATACAACTTGGAAGATGAACTATGGTGTTGCTCGACTAGTGCATTATACAGCTTGGAAGAGGAACTATGGTGTTGCTCGACCAGTGCACTTAAAATCACAAGTCTCCAATCAAGAAGTACCTTCTTACTCGCGAACTTAGAGAACTACTGTTGATACCGTAACTGATCGAGCAACTAGTTAGGCTAAATCATCCAAGTGCCATGCCTTGAGAGGTCATCACCTTAGCCAAAGAAGCATTACCACAAGTCACAACTCTAAGCAAAGTAAGAGGAGTCCCACATCGGAAAACTACAAGAGATGAAGACTCCCCCTCACTTATAAAAGAAGACTACTCTTCCCTGAGAAAGGGACTCTCTCTTTTGGATCCCAAGACTGGGCTGGGCTTCTCATTTGTTATCTTTATATTTGGGTCCAACCCCTTGTACAAATGTAAACAAATATCATCATAATGAGAACATCCTTCTCCGTAGACGTAACCCATTCATTAAGGGTGAACCACGTATATCGCGTCTTCTGTATATTTATCCCTTGTCCAAATCTTTGCACAATAAATGAAGTCACCCATCATTCACCATTCCACATCTATCTAAGTTGACCTCCCAAAAAGAGCATCAACAATGCTCTTTAGTCCAAGACTCCTTCACCCCGTAATCCTTCATCACCCAAACACTGATAACATCATTTACTTTATGAATTACAGAGAGCCAACCTTTTAATACGTACTCCGAGCTTAAAATATGTTCTTCACAGATTATCAGAAGAAAGCGGTAGTGGTAACTCTTGGAACCGCTCACTTTCAACATCAAAGACACATATCAAACGCTGGGACCTGTCCCTACAACTGCGACCAATCCAATGAAAAACCCCATTGAGATAAATTCCATGACGAGGATTTACCCTATAAAATGAGTAGCCAGGGTGCCCAATGTTTCTCCAAATTCCAGAGCCAACAGTCAAAACCGTTACTTGGTTAGGCTCTCCACCTAGAGACGTAACCCGAACTAGCTTATAAACATCACTAATGGGGCTGAACCCAAAACCATAACAGTCTCCATTATCACAATTTGAAGGTATTGGGAGAGAGAAAAACTCACAGGTACCAGGATTGGAGATGTGAAGATGACTGGTAAAGTCAGAATTGAAATTGTAGTGACAGAGGAAGCCATTGCACGAGCCTACAACGGTCATACAAAGAGCTTTGAGATTACTAAAAAGCTGCAACGCGACGTTGCTTTGGCTCCCGATCCTGTCGAGGTCGACCAAGAAGTGGCCAGTGGTTAGTGACCCAAAGGGAAGCGGGCGTTCGTGAAAATAGTTCTCTGGTGAATTGAGGGTCTGAGAACCAACAACGCCAAGATTTGCACACGCGCTTGCATTGGATAAGAGTTTTTGTTGGGATTTTGCAGAAGATCTCTATTATTAAGTGGACTGGCAATTGAAGAATGTAGGATTTCTGATCATGCTCTTCTTCGTCGTCTTCTTGTTTTGGAGGTCTATTTTTGTTTATTGGTCGGTGGCGATGGCGTCATTTAATTCTCCTCATTGATCGAATCGTTGTTATTGCGGTACATGGCTAAGATCGGAGAAGCATCTCAGGGTTTGAGCTTGAAGATTCAAGCCAACCTGAACCGAAGAGTTGAAAACAACCAAAATGGGCATCACCAATGGGCCGGGCTAGTATATTATTTACTAGGTGCTTTTGGACGCCAAAGGCGTCCCACAAAAATGTGGACCTCAATCTTTTATGTATATTCCCGCGATTTATTTTTAGGAAAATTCTAGAGATACTAACTTTATATACCAACTTGTGTACCATCTCTGTAATAGAGTATGAGACCCATTGTATTGATGAGTTCCACCTCTATTAGAGAGATGGTACATAAGTTAGTATTTAAAATTGATCTCCCTAGCATGACCCTTATTTTTATAGTGTGAAATTTGAGAAAATATTATATGTACTCAAATTTAAGATAGTAGCATACTAGTGAGTATAGTTAATTTGGTTGAGCTATTTCACCTTCACTCTCTTACAAGTAGAGATTAAAAACCAAAACACCGAATGAATATTTGTGCAAACTTCATTTTCCCAATCACATGTACCAAAATAAATTTAATACTGTAACATTAAATAAATAAATAAATAAATAAATAACCAAGTAACAATACATAATCCACATCTTACACAACAAAGAAAGGAATAAATAAACTTCACTCAAATTATGTACCCCCACTAGGGATGGCTTTTTAGACCAAAAAAATAAAATTTAAAAAAAAAAAAAAACCGAACATGCGGGAAAACTAATCGTAATTTGCAGTTTGAGGAACCGACCGGCAATTGCAAATATGTTCTTATTGATTAAAAATCTTAATTTATGAATTCAATCTCCCTATCATTTGATTAAAAAATTAAATAAATATATCACTTTATAGAATCAGCTTCCTTTCCTCAGTTACGAATATGTTCTTATTGATTTTAATTATAAAAAATTAAAATATATATAAATAAATAAAAAACAAAATAAAAAACCGTCGTATGTTAAAATTCTTCACAGATGACACAAGATCATCACCTTTTTGACAGCATTTTTGTCCAACACTTTCCGCTCAAGTCTCCCCTCCCACTCCATCTGCCTCATCTTTCTCTATACACCTTCTCTCTTCACCTCATTCATGAGCTATACATAAGCTTTAGAGGCTGAATATACCAAATTCAATACCGAGCCTAATCTTTTATTCATGTTTCATTTGGTTCTCTCAAGTTGGAACTCGAATGAGCCAAAGCAGGCTAAGCACGACACGAACTTGAACTATTAAGCCAATTTCAATCCTAGACAATATTACAACCTTATGCGGGGTGCACTGCCCAACTGCTGCTTCATACTATTACCTTCCTTGCAGGAATGAAGTAAGAAATACAACAAATTTCAAGAATTCTTGCCCGTCACTGTTACAGACTATAAATCCAAAAAATTTAAATAGTATATTATGCTTGAAGAGACAGGACAGCAAGGAACTTGCCTAAACAGGGAATCGAGCGAATGGGCACCACAGTACAGTGGCTGGGGCTTTGCCCCTTCCTAGGAGCGGTCCTAGGCTTGACTCCCCGCATCGACGTGTGTGTGAGTTTGTAGATATTTATCGACCCTTTCATTAGGAGAGGCCTTATAAAAAAAAACAAAAACAAAGGAGAATCAAAAAACTATTGGACTGGCTACCTACCTATGCTTTGCAATACCTACTTCATTCAAATTGCCTGCCCTTCAAAATGCTTCTGTTAATTCCTGGATAAGAGATTTACTTGTACAGATTCTCTATTTTCTCCTTGTACTGAGCAACAAATCTGTTCCTTCGAACTTTCATAGTTGGAGTCATTAAACCACTATTGATCTGCAATTACAAGGTATTATTAATCAACCAGACGGTCACATCTATACCTTGTGTGACAATGCGGGTATGGATATTTTACCGTAAAGGGCTCGCTCATTCACGATGCACACCCTGAATTCCTGCATGAAATAGAATGAAAATATTAGAATGCAATGGTCTAAAAGATTACTTAAAACAATAAATTTACAGGTGCTCCCACCCCAACCAAAATTTCCAGGTATTATTTAATAAGCATTTGTGACACTTCATATCCCATTTTTTTAATATTAGATACTATAATCTAACACGGAGGAATGTATGAATAATCCCATCAACTAGATGTTGAAAGAACTTTTTTGTTTCTTTTGACGAGAAACAACAGTTTATTAAAGTAGAAAATCTGATTAGAAAGAGTGGATGAGGAATCCACAATATAAAGAGAAGGGAGAAAAGAAAACACAAAAAAAGACCACTTAAAAAAAGGCGAGTAAGAAAAACCTCAAAATTTGAAAGATCTAGTATCACTTCGCAGCTGCTAACAAATCCAACATTATAGAAGAATGATAATAATCCATAAACTCAGCTGAAAGTGATGCCCTTAAAGCTTCGCAGGAACTCACTCTGTCCCAGAGTTCATCTACCCTCGCACCCTTATAATCCTCAAATATTCTTATTGCACTCCATCCAAATTGTTCCAGGAAAATGCCAACAACAAGCACCCCCGTAATGTTTTGGCTTTCTTCCCCCTTCCCAAAGCCTCAAACTTGGTGCTCAGAAATTCAAAACACCCCTTAGGGATAACCCAACCGGCCTTCATCTCCCTAAACAATTTCCACCACAATTCTAAAGAACAAGGGCAACGAAAACAATTCCAAAATACTCTCCTCTCCACCAATTCAAATTACAAGATCCAAACTACCATTTGTCAGAAGTTTGTTTTTTGTTTTTTTAGAGGAAAAGATTTTATTTTGTAAGAGAAAACTGCAGTTTAGTGGACATTTAATCCACCAACAGCAGAAGAGAAAGAGCATTAATTCAACAAACTACATCTAGCTTAAGAAGGCAAAATTAATTATAACACTGCAGCTTTCCTATCTAGAATAACATGTGTCACAAGTTAGAATGTTGAGCCATTTCTCAGTAACAACTGACATAACAGTAATTGGACGGATCCAAAATAACACAAGGGGTGATGTGCAACTAAATGGAAAAAACTAAACAAAACTACACTAACTAGGCCTTCTATCACTACCATTAATAAAAAATGACTTTGAAAAGTTCAATTGCACAGACCAAGAAATACAAAATGCCTTAGGATTGACATATGGTACCTTCAAGCTGTAACCCTCTGGCGATATCCTTAAGTGAAACAAAGCTCGGAACAAGGTCCCATGCCTCCGAAACCACTGAAGGTAATTGATCAACCTCAACCCTCACAAGGCCCTTTGTTACCAGAGCATAAGCCTGCAATCGATTACGATGTAACCCCAAGACTTGCCCTTCCTCTGTAAAATTCAATACTGAAATGCCAAAAAAACCAACTGGATTTTTAAACTCGTGCTCTTTAGTCCAAGACTCCTTCACTCCATAATCCTTCATCACCCAAACAATGATATCATCATTCAAGTTAAGAATTACAGAGAGCCAACCTTTCAATACTCCGAGCTTAAAATAAGTTTCATCCAGATCATAAATACAAGGGGGCAGTGGTAACTCTTGGAACTGCTCGCTTTCGACATCAAAGGCACAGACCAAACGGGAACAGTCACTACTACTGTGACCAATCCAATGAAGAAACCCATTGATATAAATCCCATGAGGAGTTACACCATCAAAAGAGTAGGCAGGATTCCCAATGTTTCTCCAAATGCCAGAGCCAACAGTCAAAACCATTACTTGGTCAGGCTTTCCGTATGGAGACAAAACCCGAACTAGCTTGTAGACCTCACTCATGGGGCTGAACCCAAAACCATAACAGTCACGTGTATCAGGATTTGGAGGTGTTGGGAGAGATAAAAACTCACCAGTAACTGGATTGGAGATGTGAAGATGACAGCTCAAGTCAAAATGGACTTCGTAGTGACAGAGGAAGCCATTGCACGAGCCTACAATGGTCATACAAAGAGTTCGGAGACTTCTTATACTGAAAAGCTTCAAGGCGACGTCGTTTTGCCACCCGGCCCTGTCGAGGTCGACCAAGAAGTGGCCCCAGCGCGAGCGGACGCCAGTGACCAAGAGGCAAGCGGGTGTTCGTGAAAATAGTTCTTTGGTGAATTGAGTGTCTGAGAGCCAAGAACGCCAACACTTGCACACGCGCTTGCATTGGATGAGGGTTTTTGTTGGGATTTTGCAGAAGATCTCCATTATTATGTGCTCTGGCAAATGCAGAAGGTAGGGTTTCTGATCATGCTCTTCTTCATCGACGTCGTCTTCTTGATTTTGGGGTCTGTTTCTGTTGGTTGGCGGTCGTTTATTTCTCTTCATTGATCGAAGCGGTGTCGTTGCGATAGGCTGGCTAAGATCGGAGAAGCGCCTCACTCAGAGACTCAGAGTTTGAGCTTGAAGAACGTTTCTTCAACGCAAGCTTCGTTAGAACCGAACAGCTGAAATGAGCTAAAATGGGTATGAGCTCAAATCTGCTTCACAAGCAGTTTAAGTTGTTTAGTGAAAATAAAATATTCCAATTATTTTAAAAGTATTGGCATTTTAATAGAAGCTTTTAAAGGCAGGCTCTACGTTACTTTTTAAAGCTGCTTTCAAAAGAAGTATAGATAAATCTTTACAGTGCGTTTGGATGAGGAAGTTTAAAAGTACAAAGGATTTCATAAATGATGGAATTTAAAATGACGGAAATTAATGTTTTAGAATTTGTAAAGTTTCTTATTTGGGTGACAGATTTAAAATACGGAATTTAACCTTTATTTGTAAAGTTATCTTTTTTAAAAACTCAATCTCTCTTGGGATTTTAGAAATGACGACTTTTAGATAGAATTTAAAGTTGAGATTTATGACCCTCAAATTCCATGTTTTTTCCCACATGGAATTTCTAAATTTCTATGTTTTTTTATTCAAACACGGGAATTGGTTCATGTTAATTTAGAAATTCTGAGTTTTGTCAAAATCCCAAGTTTATTTCCCTCATCCAAATGCACCGTTAATAAATTTTTTTAATTCCCAAAATACCATCATTAATTTTTTGTTAAATGACACCACCTCCACTTCCTCATCCAACTTCACCACTTGCACCACCACATTCACTACCTCCACAATCACTGCCACCACCACCACCACCACAACCAGTACCTCCACCTCCACCACCACCATCACCATCACCACCACCACTAACACCACAACCACCACCTCCTCCAAAACCTCCACATCCACCATCACCTCCACAACCAACACCACCACCACCTCCACAACAGTCATCTCCACCACAACCACTACCACAATCACCAACTCCACCTCCATCACTACCACCACCTCCACTCCATCACTACCACTACCACCACATGATTAGTACATAACACTTTCAACATTATGTTTATTTTAGTCATTATTAACAGTTACAACACTTTTATATTAAAATTTACCAAACGGTTTTGACACTGCTTTTTGTACTAATAGTACTTTAAAAACATTGTTTACCAAACACAGAGCTGGTTTACTTTACAGCTAATTATTTTTAAAGCACCGCAGAAGCAACTTTTTTTAAAAGTGATAGCAATCCTAAACTAGGCCTAAGAGCACTTCCAGCGCTTTGGGCTAGCCTGGGCAAAAGGGCTTGAGGTCCTTTGCACAGTTCTAATGGACTGCTGGTGGGGGGGGACCTACAAACTAGGCAAACTCAAAGGTAAATCGAGCCCGAGCTTATGCTCAAGGTTGATGACGTCAGCACCGATGCCAAGTTATCGTCAACGCACGGGATTCAATTCTTTTTACCGTTGGCGCGTGGAAATTTCAAAATCGCATGCGTTGACACCAGCCTAGCGTCAGCCCTGCTTTCTGCCAACGGCTACAAGCCACGTGTCATGTCTTGGTGTCTCTTATCCTAATTTTTCCTCCATTCCAACAATTGCCAATTTTTGTGTTTTAAAAAGAACATTTGAAAAAAAAAATCGAATTTAAACAATTAAAATAAAACCAAAAAAATTCGTTTTTTTTTTTTTTTTTTTTTTTTTTTTTTCTACCAATATTCTTCACTCTTCCACACCACAAACTTCATACATTTTGTTCTCCTTCCAATATTATTCACTTTCCACACCAAATTTTATTAACTTTTCCAAATTTCGTTGGTGTAACTATACAAATGACATCTTCCATCGAAGCCAAAAGCTTGTGGACAACCATGGAAGATGTTTTGTTGTGTTGGGGGACTACTATTTACATCATAATCAACCGAGTATATCCAACCTCAAAGCTACTAGCACCAAAGGCAAATACATCTTCTTCCCTGCTGAAGGAAGACATTCGTCCAAGGTGCTAAGCACTTACCGAAGCTCCCGACTGCCGAAGGTCCCAACTGCCGAACTTAATCTCCAAGACACATGTCACCACCACAGCGACTTGCACAAACTGCCGAACCTAATCTCCAAGTCACATGTCATCACCACAACGACTTGCACAAAAGGCTCACATCGAAACTTTGTGCAAACCTCCCACTTTCACTTCCCTATAAATAGGGAATAGTATTCAAGTAAAATGGGTAACTACTTTTTTACTTTTACTGCTACTATGCCAAAGTTATTACTCTTAGCTGACTTAAGCATCGGAGAGCCTTCGGCCGGCACCACACTGGTGTCTGAAGCTTAATGACTGCTTCTTCAATTTTGTCTTCTCCAGGCTATTCTCTTGCTGAAGGTCCCAGCCCTCTACTCTGCTGAAGTCGATCCACCTCTCTCTAAGTTGATCTCCCAAAAAGAGCATCAACAAGAGTTTTTGTTAGGATTTTGCAGAAGATCTCTATTATTATGTGCCCTGGCAATTGCAGAAGGTAGGGTTTCTGATCATGCTCTTCTTCTGCATCGTCGACTTTTTGTTTTGGGGGTCTGTTTCTGTTGGTTGGTGGTAGTTTAATTCTCTTCATTGATCGAAGCGTTGTCGTTGCTGTAGGCTGGCTAAGATCGGAGAAGCGTATCAGAGTTTTGTCTCTGTTTACGAGGTTTCTATGAATTCAATTGACCAATCAAAAAAAAAAAAAAAAAAAAAAAAAAAAAAAAAAAAGGGTGATGGGCATGGGAAACATTTTGATATATTTTTTGGATTTTTAAATTAATTGGAAATTTTAATTTACACTCTTTTGTAGAACTAAATACACAAGAATTTAGCATATATGGGCTTGTCCAAGTTGGCTAGAGCGGATGTACTTCCCACTATGCACCAGAGTTCGAATCCTCCTCCCACAATATTAGAATATCCTTATTGACAATTTGTATTAAAATGAAGAGTGTTGCTATTTTCACCCAAACAACACCCAAAATGAATCCTACAATTACAAGCATAATGGAAAGAAAACTCAAACTACATGATGCTACCAATTACATACAAATTGTTCTCATTGATTTAATGATGAATGTTGTTGACAAAGTGAGGAATCATTGATTGAAAATCAAGAAATACAACTAGGGGGGCATGGAGCCTTACCGAGGCTATAAAATCAACTAACATGAGTCCTGAATAAAAATCAGGGGCAGTTCTACCCAAAACAAATTCAAAATCGTCGTGAGTCCATAAAACAGAAATTTGTTTTTGGGAAACACCATTTGTTTTAAAAGTCATATAAACATCACGAAAATTAGTCGCAGTGGGTAAAACAAAAACAAAAAGAGTCAGGAAGAAAAATACGAAGTAAACAAAATTGATTAATCTATTAGACGCCTCTCTCTGACAACATCTGTTTAAGAAAGGGCTCACCTACCTTATCTCAGGAAGAAAAATATGAAGTAAACAAAATTGAATTGAGACAATATTAACACCCTGGATTATCTGCAAGTAAAGTGAACCAAAACAACTTTGAAAAGTAAACAAAATGCTTAGGTTTGACATATGGATCTCTAACTCTTTGGTGATACTAGACTGCTAGCTGAAAATCAAATAAATAAATAAATAACCTTTTACAAGCAATGGCAATTGGGTAAGAAGGTAATAATATTGAGTTGTCCTCCTTCCGAACCATTTTTACAGTTTAATACTGAGTTATTCACAAGCTTTACGACTCGATCATGCCAAATTTGTTGATGAGCCTAGCCTAATCTTTTTATTCAAGCTTGACTTCTCTTACATTTGAACTCGAATGAGCCACAGCAAACTGAGCACGAGAACGAGAAGAATTCGAGCTATCAAGCCGATTTACAGCCTTAGGCATGATTTCCATCATGTGCTGAGTAGGGTACGCAACTGCTGCCGCACACAGTTACCTCCCTTGCAGGTATGAAGTAAGAAATGCACACATAAGCATTCTTGTCTGTTACTGTTACAGAATACAAAGACCAAATATACATACTGTACAAATTCCATTAAATTATTACACATATTACATATAAAAGTATACAAGATTACAGCCAGGAACTAAAATAAACAAAGGAAGTTGAAAGCCTTGCACTGGCTACTGTTCCTTGTACCTAGGATATATGCTGCTTTTCATATACAGATATGCAAATCTACAGATTCTAATGAATGAACGAGGTTTGAAGAGATAGCAAGGAACTTACATAAACAAGTACTCAAAAGTTTATTGGAAAGGCTACATACCATGGGCTTGCTAAACTTATTTCATAAAAGTGCATGCACTTCAAAGTGCTTCTGCAAATTCCTAGATAAGAAGTCTACTTATACAGATTTTCTATTTGCTCCTTGTACTGTGCCACGACTCTATCCCTTCGTATTTTCATAGTTGGAGTCATAAAACCACTATCAATCTGCAATAAAAAGGTACAATTAATCAGCCAGCCAGTCACATCTGTAACTGGAATGACAATGCTTGCAATGATATTTTACCGTAAAAGGCTCATCCACAATCAAGACTGGTCCAATTTGAAATGAACACCCTGAAGTCCTGCATGAAATTAAAGGAAAACTATAAGGAAAAGAAAACATCAGAGTGCAATAGCCTACAAGGTCTGCTATTGTTCCTTACTGGATTTGGATGGCCTCCGATGGCCATAGGCCTTAGTCCTTTTTGGTTTCTTAAGTTTCTATGATTGTTGAAATAGTATGGCTTTATGTTTCTTCTTTATGAAGCTCGACGATACGAGGGGGTTTGATTGTTTTTTAATTATGACAATTATTTGCATGAGTATATAAGAAGAAACATATTTTTATTTCCAAGATAACCTATGACTGAGTAATTAATTCTAGTAAGCACAATAAGTTGCACTTTGAGCCAAGGTTTGACATGCACAGTCACACGGTACATCCATTATATCCGAAATAATTGAAAAATAAAATTTACCATTTTCTTAATTCTTCATATAGCAGGCTTGTCTTTTTATCCTTACTGAGGTCTGAGGCATTAACATCTACAATAGACAGCTTTTTGGCTGCAAGTAAAACCTCTTCTTTGTTTGGAACAATTATTGCCCCAAGTCGCCGTTGATCCTACATACAGGAATGCCACCAAATGCATAAAATCAGTACGTGGCCTCTTAAAAGTGGCAGAATATAGATAACTACAGTTCTGGAAAGTCCAATACAGAAAAAGGAAAAGAACAAAAGAAAGCTGCTGAAACTCAACCTGGCCGACCACAACAATTTGTTGAATGAGACTACTTCTCATGGCAGCCTCCTCAAGCTCTACTGGTTCAACGTTTTCACCTAATTTTTCAAGCAACTTGTGTCAAAAGAACAACCAAAAATACCAAGTAGGGTATTAAGAAGAAACAAAAAAGAAATGAAAATGAGTACTAAGTTATAAGATTGGCATCAACTAAAATACCTCTCACTAAATGACCGTTTTCAGATTTTAGAATATGGAAACCATAGATGCCCTGACCCACATCCAAACAACTTAAAACTTTTGGGAATAGTGAAGCCAAGTAAATTTGAGATCAGCATGAGCAGGCAACTAAAGCTCTTAATTTGAAATGTAAATGAATAAACAGATAGAGGGGAGCTCGCAACTTTAATAACCCGTTCTTGAAGAAACACAAATTTCCATGTAGGATGTCCATCAATATAAAACGGGCACTACAGACCACATACATATAAAAGATCTATACAAAGTATGAGTGTCACAAGCCCAAGAAAAAGAAAATGCTGAAAGTTAAACCAAATGGCATGGAAGGTAAAAGGCATGTGGGCAATTTCAGGGAAGCGGGCAATTTTCAAGTAAGTGAAATTGGCTTGGGTAATTCCAGGTGGGGTGTTCAACCTCATTGAGTGAAAGACAAGTAGGTTTTTGGAGGTGGGAAGAGGGTTAGAGTATTGTTCAGGTGCAGAGTTTTAGCGGTAATTTGGGTGAATGACAAGAACAGAAGAATTTTGAATGAAAGAAGGC